ACAAAAACTGCCTCCTGTTTTTCCGTGGTCGGCACGCTGGGCGGCAGGGTAAGCGATAGCGGAGCGGAGGGCTCCTTCGCAGTAGGGTCGGCCCGGTCGGGGTCGCAGTTCACGTCAGCAGTCAGGGGCTCGGATACTGTGGGCGGTAAAACAGAGCCCTTCGGGCGATCATCACATAACCACGCCGCCCCAGGTCAGACACGTCAGACTTCGGCAGTCCAATTTGTGGAGATGAAGGAGCAAGCCAAGGAGGGAAAAACGACTTCAACCGCAAGGGGTGGACAAACCAACGACGGCGGCCCACCCGGATACGCACACACTGTGGACGTTTGATTTCGACCACCTACACAGGTCTGTGCCAGGGCTTATGCAGGGGAGGTGCCAACGGGAACTTGAGGGCAATGCAGCTAAGCCCTGTCGCCGACGGACCAAGACACGTGATCGTGCACAAAGTTCATTGCGCGCTTGTGTCTTGGCGGTGTTCCGGCAGTTTAGATTTAGTGTTAGCAATCGGCGCACCCAGTTGGGCATCAATAGGGGGTACGTTCTCCCACCCAAACATAAGGAAAAACGGCGAAAATCCCGTGTCAAGCATGCGGGGCCATCCTATATGCAGCGAGCATGCTCACCACATGCAGATCCCAATCCGCCTGCTTGGCATCCACCGTCTGACAGAGCATGAAGGACAGGGTCCTGTTCACGCGTTCCACCATTCCGTCTGTCTGAGGGTGGTATGGCGACGTTCTGATTTTCTTAGTGCCCAAAGCATCGCAGACCTCGCGCAATAATTTAGAGGTGAAGTTCTGACCCTGGTCCGTAAGCAGCTGTTTGGGAGCACCCTTATCCATAACATACCCGTTCAAAAGCGCGTTGGCAATGGAGGCCTACGACTGGTCCGGTAGCGGCCAAGCGAGAAAAATATTCAACACCCACCAAAAGGAATTTGTTCCCTCTAGATGTGACTGGAAAGGGACCTAAGACATCGAGTGCCACCAACTCGTTGATACGCGAGACCAAAATTGATTGCAGCGGCGGGTGACATTTTTGCTGCAGCGGTTTCTCTGAGCACATGCCCTACAAGATTGGATCCATTTGGAGACATTTGCTGTCATCCCCGGCCAATAGTAATCCCGTTGCAATGTCAACAGTGACTTCTGAACTCCAAGGTGTAACAATTTCTCCCCATGCAGCGCACGAACCAACCCGGCCCGGAGGACAAGAGGAACGACAACCCGCCAACGATCCAACGTTTCCTCCCTCCGCATCAAAAGGCCATCGTGAAGAGTCAACCGACCACCCTCACCAGAAGCAGAAGTCACCTACGCGTGCCCTGCCCGATGCCGCAGATCCCCTCAGGAGTCGTCAAGCAGCTGCTCGCGCATCCATACGGTGTGAGGAAGCTGCAACACGCTGTCAACCGGTGCACCTGTGTCTAGAGGCTCAGAAGCGGTGACAGCAGACATTGCCGTACGCGCATGTAAGGCAAGGGTCCACAACGACTTGTCCCAGACAAACACGGGCAATGAGGCGGTTGTGGCAGTCGCGATAAAGCATCCGCATTGGAATGGCGAGAGCCTTTACGGTAAACAATGCTGAAAGATAATTCCTGCAAAATTTCTAGCCAACGAAAGAGTTGGCCAGCTGGCTGCTCGATTTTCAAAGAGTATTGAAGAGCCACATGATCGGTGCAAACAACAAACTCCCTGTAATAAAGGTAAGGCCTGTATTTGCGGACGAAATAAACAATGGGCAAAAGTTCCCTCCGGGTAACACAATAATGACGTTCCGCAGGCGAAAGACACGGCTGCCATACGCGACCACTTTTTCCACACCGTTCTTAATTTGAGACAGGACAGCGCCGATGTCGTATCGCTAGCGTCGGTGTCAAGGAGAAATGGCAGCGAAAAATCAGGATACTCAAGCGCGGACGCGTTAGCCAGCTGTTCACGGAGGGCAGAAAACGCAGCCTCTTCCTCCAGACCCCATTTAAACCTCTGATTTTTAGCAGTCAATGCGTGCAATGGTCTAGCGACCGTAGCGAAGTGCGGCACGAATCTATGGTAGTATGACGCAAATCCCATGAAACTGCGCACATCCCCCAAACTCGTGGGGGTCAGCCAATCATGGACACAGGCAGTCTTTTCAGGGTCCGTGGCGATGCCCTCAGAACTAACGATATGACCCAAATAGCGTACCGAATTCTACAGCAAGTGACATTTGTCCGGATTAAATTTCAAGTTAGCGGAGCGCATTCATGTTCGTCGAAAGTGCGACTAAACACAATAATGTCGTCCAAATACATGATACAAGTGTCCCACTATAAGCCGGTCAAAATGAGCTCCATTATCCGCTGAAAGGTGGCCGGGGCCGAATTCAAGCCCATCGGAAGGCAGTTGAACTGAAAGAGACCTTGAGGCATGCGAAACACAGTTTTAGGTTTTGACGAGTTGTCCAAGGGTAGCTGCCAAAACCCTGAAGACAGATCAAGAATGGAAAAATACCGTGCGCCAGAAATCGACGCAGAATCTGAGGCTACCGTCCTTGTTGACAAGCACAACAGGCGTGCCCCAAGGGTTATTAGACGGGGAGATAATATCGGCGGCCAGCATGTCGTTGACCGTCAATTACACGCATTCCTTCTCCACCGGGCTCAACCGGTGTAAGTTTTGTCAAATAGGGCTGGACTCACCCATATCAATATGGTGGGATAACAGGGTTGTGCGCCCCAGATCGAATTCGTTCCTACTAAAAACGTCCGAAAATTTGCATAATAGGGCACGCAATCTACCCCGTTGGTCGGAGGATAAGGACGCATTCTCCCCACACAACACGGTAACCCCTCGCTCATCCGGCACCAACCGCCGCGGCTCAACCTCGTCATGGTCCGAAAACATGAGCCAACACCGTACCAGCGGGAACTTTCACAATGTCCGGCCCCCCGTTGAGTACCTGCAAGAACGGGGCCTGCTCAGAGTGAATGATTGTCTGTGCACCAGAAATCGCCAGACCTCGAGTCGCGGTATCAGACGGGGTCAAAAGGACCCCAGCCTTCGAATCAACACATCCAATCCCCTTATGATAGCGCAGTGGCACAAGCATCTGGGAACTTCACTCTCCCAGCCTCGCCGCTGACTGACGGTGTGCCAGAAGGAGGGGTGAGTTCCGTTGGAGGATCCGCCACGTGGCCCGTGGCGAGGAGGGGATGAGCAGCGATGCGGTCCGAAACCCAGGCTTCCCACACCGACCACGAGTCCTCCCCTCCCTCTCCTTATATTCACCCCGGCGGAGCTAGGCTCCGCCTCTAGCCACGCCCCCTCGTGGAACCTTCCCGATGGTTCCAGAACCTCTCTGTGCGATTCTGCCCATCCTCCCTGGCCCAGATATTATCCCCCTTTCGGATTGGATGTTGATGACGTCATGGTGTCTGTCCCTGTTACCCTCTGGCACCCCCCGGATGGCGCTCTCTCATTACATAATTAATGTTGATTACTTCTTGGATAAAAGTCAATGTTAAACGCTGAGTATCCTTATAACTGTTACCTGAAATCGGCCATACCTGTATAATTAAGAACTGTTCAATGTTTAACATTACTCATATCTATTACCCCTTTGATGGGGTCAAATGGTTAATTTATCGTTTTCCGTAACTCTGCAATTTGTAACCTCTTAATATGCCAAATTGTATGTAGTGTTTGGTGACAAAAATACTAACATCACTCAACCAGTTAGCAAGTATTGTTTTAATGCATATGCATGTACCCTATTCTACATACATTCAAATAAATAGTTTTCAAAGTAATAGTTAAATCGGATAATTAGACAACAATGTGCAGATTCTACTTTAAAAACTGTAAGGGAAATCCCACATTTGAAAATATATAACTTTTGACGTAGCCCACCGTGCAAATCAGAGGTGCGGGGGAAGGACAATAGACGAAACACAAAAAGGAATTCTAAAGAAATTATTTTCAATCTAGAAATAAATGGAAGCTGCCATACAATCGCAATGCCTGGACGCATTTACGTGCACCTTGATTGTGTAAGAATTATGAGTTTGAAACAGAGCTGTTCTTTATACAGGGTATCTCAAAAGTCAGGACACAGATTTTTGTTTTAAAAAATGTTAACACTAGCATAAATTTGTTTCCGTTGTTTATTATTTAAGTTAATATTTTATCTGTTATCATGATTAATATCTTAATATATATTTTTTTCCTTTTCAGATGACATTAAAAAATGTAAAGATATTTTTACGAAAGACGAACGAGTTCAATTCGTTTTATATAAATTTTCTAATCTTTTTTTTAAGTCCTACTTTCATTTCAAGAGAATGAATGCGTGCATTCATTTTAACGGCAACCAGTTTGAGCATTTGTTAAAAATAGATTAAATAACCCGATGTTATTTGTTAAAAAGTGTGTCCTGACTTTTGAGCCACATCTGCAAACCGGCTGAGCCAGCACCTCGTCACCCGCAGACATGTCCGCCAAGTGGTGACAGTCGGCACTGCAACAGTTTCATCTGCGCACCTCAAAGGGCCTCTGCAACCACCATCACCACCACAACAGGGCCTCCCATAAGGCAAACAGAAGCGCACATTCCACGTTTATCAGCACACGTTCAGTGACATTTTCGCGTCACTGTATTTTAATCAGACAATTGACATCTGATTATCATTTGTAAATGTTGGTTGCACTTGTTCAACACATCCTCTGATTAGCAGGGTTGGGGGCCGTCCATAAATGACGTCACGCACCTAGGGGGCGGGGGGGTCAGCCATTTGTGAGGATGTGTGACGAGGGGGGGCTTGAGAAATGTGACGTCACATCAAAATGCGCAACTTAAAAAAAATATAGACAACACGTTCTACGTAATTAAATATACTTTTTAATAAATGTTTTCTCCTACAACATCAGAGTACAGCACCACATTAAATACGCACTACAATAACAATAGTTTAAAGCGATTTGAAGCATGTTTTATTGGGGGGGTGGGCAGAGCTTTGTGACGTCATATTTGAGGGGGGGGTCTGATTTTTTGTGACGAAGGGGGGGGGGCAAAAATCGTCCAAAATCACGTGACGTAATTTATGGACGGTCCCTTGGCTATATACGGTGCGAAAGAAGTTCAATATACATACGTACATATTGCACAATATATTAGGTATGTTAAAAGAAGAAATCTCAAAAATCAGAAATGACTTTGTAAAATAATCGAGGGTAATAGTAAGGACTTATATATTTAACATGAGTCTGACATCCCTATAATCTTTTGGATAGCTATCGACTTAGTGCTGCGCGGAAACGAATCACAAATAATAATACATTGTTTAAATGCATGGCTATACAGGAACACCATACTTCAATACGACGATTTTAAAACACACAATGGACAGAAAGGACAAGATCAAAGGGCTCGCATAATGCGCATGCATAATGTACGTTAACTCATTAATCCCCCACCCCCTACTTTGCGCCAGAGCGCAGAAATGTGGCCACCACTGTGGCAGTCAGAGTGATAGCTTTGGGGGCAGGGTGTCTCTTGATTGAGGAGTGAGGGATGCGCGGGGGGGGGGGGGGGCTTTGTGCGAAAGTGGTTGCTGGTGTGTGTGGGATTAGATCAGCTCGGGAGCACGAGGGTTTGTTTGGACTCATGTGCACAACGTGCTCATCAATTTGGAAAAAAAACAAGGGTGTGACTCAATAAAAGGGCCCGCCACGGATCCGCAGTGGTGAGGACTCTATCCTGTGGCCCTCATCATCTTGCGGGCCTCCTGTGGCCGCTGTGCTGGAGATGTGAGACGACCGACCACGGGAAAACTCCTCCTTGTCCAAGGCCTGGGAACCAGTCGTGTTTGTGGTTCAGCACCGCGACCATCGCCTTGGAGTCCAGCCTGGGGGTGATAACACTATGCAACACAAATGTTGTTCCTGGGTACTAAGAGATATTGTTTAAATTGTTTATGCATAAAAGGTATAGAAAATGGCTGTTCCCCACACTTTGCTTTTGTGACCAGGAGTTTGTGAACGAAAGACACATGCGCATGTTTTCTCATTGAAAATGGGTACATTTCAAAATATCACTGTCCTGGTCACAAAAGCAAAGTTTATGAGGAATAATAGCCATTTTATGTACTTTTGAGGCATGAGCAATTAGGAAATGACACTACCCAGGAACAAAAATAGTTTCAGTGTAACCACTTGCTAGCCGGTGGGCACGATAGACTGGGGCTCTGCAGTGGACGGCTGGTCCATTCACCAGTGGGTCGTCTCCACCCATCGTTTTTGGAGCCAGGTGTAGGGCATCACGGGGAACCACACCCGCTGTTGCCGTGAAGGGAACGCTTCGTGAGGACTGCGGGGTGTTGACAGATGGGACGTGTGGGGAGGAAGGGAGGTGATCCTTTGAGGTGGTGCTTGCAACGTTTTGTTTGATCTGTTCCAGAGCTGGGTGATACTGCGTGCGTGCCTTTTCGGGGGGTTGCTCAGCCGCTTGCTCCCCCGCTTGCTCCCCCCAGTGTTCGTGGTGGAGGAAATCTGACGCTGTGGTCGTCGGGTTGTTGTGACTTTTGCTGTTGCAAGGGACATTTGGGTTGGTATAATTGCTTGTGATGTGTGCACTCCTCCGGAGAAGTAGCAGTCCTGTTACCATTTGACAATTTAAAACTTGGACAAAATTTTTTAAGTTCAAAGTAAACGCTAAATCTGGAATATACTGGCAGCAGTCTTTTATTCTGCAAACGGTCATTTGGGGCGTCGTGTGAAACGGGGGCCCCACCATAATCTAAACCACAGCGATGCTACCTAGGGTTTTGGGTGTAGACTGAAACCCTCAAGCATGTCCCAAAAGGACGAACCGTTGCAACCACATCTACGCCTCTATATAAGGAAAAAAATAGGTGGATTTCTCCACATCTGGCTGTCGCCTGATTAAGCAAGTTGTAATTACTGTGCTGTACTAGTGACGAATTGGCCACGTTCTGTTTAAGCGAACAACCCTTACTAGTTGGGTGATGGCGGTTTTTAACGACACATGCGATCTAACCCAAAAAAAAAAACTATTGGACATAAAAGAGATCTATATAAAATTCGAGTTAAACGCTGCTCTGCTCTCAAATATGTTTCAAGTCTGCATGCATTTTCCTGTTGTGATGGTGTTTTCTCGTAATTTGGATTACTGTAAATGTTGTATTTGCAGGCATGCACTTTTAGTGTGCACATTGTGAATGGCGTTGCGACGATTTCGCGGTTACAAGTAGACACGCTCAGGGCATGGCTCCAGAGGCCTCATGGCGGCGCCTCCGACGACCTGCACCATTTCACTGGTCCAAGAAAGGATGTTTCCAGACGGGTTGCTGGAGCAGTTCCACATGGAGGCCATCTCCGCAGGGGCCAGCACGCGGTCCCAAAGGTTGAAATACGCGAGCTCCCCAACAAAAGCCTGCGTGGCGTCAAAGCGCCCACCCACCGTGTCCTGCAGAGGATAATAAAACAAATCCAAATCGGGAATGAAAACCCAGGTAAAACGATAATCTTGCAAGGTTTCAATCTTCATTTGAAGCTTTCGTGACTGCAGTAATCCATACCCCGGGACCCCCTCGTCCCGCTTGTCCTTGTAAGGGCCGGGACGCTGTGTGGGCCAGTGGTGGGACTCTGGGACTCCCGGCTCTACGTCCTTGTAAGGGCGAGTTCCGAGGAAGCCAGAGTCTAGACCCGCATCTTGGCTGGGTCGGGTCGGATAGCCTCCCCTAGGGAAATTGTAGCCTGAGGACCCAAGAGCGTAGCCAGAGTCAGGCACGCTAGGAGGAGGCTGTGTCCCTAAGCTGTGTCCCTAAGCTGTGTCCCTAGGCTGTGTCCCTAGGCTGTCAGAGTATTGTTGGAGTGGTGTATCGTAATAAAGAAGTTACCTCTACATTACACTTATATACCACTGCCAATGCAGTGTCACAACCGTATGTAGTCAACCGTGCTAATCGGAGCTGCGGTGTTGAGTCTATGGTCAGGGAGTTTATGGGTAGTGTTAGTCTATGGACTAATCGGAGGTGCGGGACGGTGTATGCACCCTGTATATATTAACTATTCAGTGTTAGTCATTACAATTTGAAATTTATACAGCATCTACATTACAAAAATTAACCCCAAGAAACAATATTCAAAAAGTAGTAGGCTTTCGTGACCAATAGAGGTTATTTTGGGTTAGATCCATAAATGAATGCCACATTCCCATGGTCGCTGAACGAGCCGCCCAGTTCCAACATCAGGCAGCTGGAGTCGAGGCCAAGTTCCCAAGGCAGCCTCGCTGGGCTAACCCAACTCCGCTTCCGCATCCAATTCCGTCATTTCGAAAGTTGATCCAGCACCCGAGCCGCCGTCGGAAACAGTTGTGATGCCAACGGGGTCAACGCGAACGAATAATTTCAGTCCTGGAGTCATGAATTTAAGTTGAATTCAGAGTAGCGTCTTTGTTAAATAACACCACGGAAAATTACATACGGTATATATATTGGCTTTGGTTGGCCTAAACTAGTCCAAATATAAGTGCAACCTTGTGAACAAATACTAAATTCTTATCACTTCCCCTCCAACCATCGAGGAAAGAGCGTGAGTGAGTTGTACATAGTGGCGGCCATGCAACATAACTATGTGGTTCGTGAATTTGGGAGGTAAGAAAAGGACCCTGCTGGCCAGTTTCTAATGGTCATGGAAACCTCATACCGTATATGAGACGATTTAGGCCAGATTCTTCAGGTAGCCAATAAGTGTACTGTTATATCTGTTAAATATTACATATCTCCATATAAGGACACTTGATATGTTTTCGTGAAGACTTAAAATCTCTAAATAAATTACTACTAAACTGACCACTGAGCTAACCACTACAGTAAGCCCTCGTTTAACGCGGTAGATGCGTTCGTGAAAAGTGATAACAATTTTTCCATAAATAATGTAACAAAGTTTGTCAAGATACGATGGACACGATAAGATGGCGGGACAAATAAGTGAGGGTACACCGCCGCGTTATTGTATAATTCCGCATACTGTATTGCATAGTACTGCTCAGCTGCGTAACGTAAAGTAGTCCACCGTTTTTCAGATATGAGGACACCCTAGGAATTCCCCTACAAAATGGATAGGTTCGCCAGCTTGATTTTAGGGGGGGGGGAAAGAACAGTTCGCATCTGAGGTCTGTCAGAAGATGCCCTGGAACGTGATATTTCTGCACAGAATTTGACTTTTTGCAATTGATGGCTGCACACGTGCCACCCATATTCTTTCATTAATGTAATTTTCCATACCTGTTCTTGGCCCAAAATGAGCACACCACCCGGCTTAATTGGATGCCAGGGAGCGAGTCCCTCTCCCACACCACGGCGTACACCGTCTTGGAAGGCTTCCCACACACCGTCCCGAGTGGTCCACGTTATACAAACATGGTGCCAACCACCATCGTTAACAGACAGCGGTAGCTGGGCAACCTGCGTGAGCCAAAGGATTATCGTTGTCAGGCCCCAGAGCTTCACAAGCCAGACAGCTCAGTTCAAGATTGTGAAACAATAACAATTAAGCATACAATCTACGAAGTGAATACAGTCGACCCTTCCACATCGCGCAGGTTAGGGGTGCAGGCCCCCCACGATCTGGAAAAACCACGTAAAATGTTTTGGTCCCCTTGGCGAGCGAAGCGAGCACCTCCAGTTACTAACCTTTGTTTAGGTTCTCTCTACATTTCCAGCCTTTGTGTGTCGTCTGCTGTTGCGTTCTTTTCGCAAACTTAATTTTTTTTCAAAATTTGACTTTTAAAAAAATTGCGAATATTTATGGTATTAAAAGATAAAACACGTTAATGTTATACAGTACTGTACATATATTTCATGCATGTATGAGTTACTAAACTTTTTGTGTGTCGTCTGCTGGCCTTTGCATGTCGTCTGCGGCCTTCGCAAAACTCCAAAAAATTCCCATTTCATTTCTTATGCCGACCCCGCGATATATCGAAACCGCAATGGGGAAAGTTGCGATGCAGAAGGGTCGACTGTATATATGTTTTCATATCGTATGCATGTATGTTGAACTTCTTTAGCACTGTATGTAGCCAACCCTGCTAATCGGGGCTACACATGAGGCACATCCAATTTTTCATGAATAATCTCAATTGGCTCGAGTGCCTAAATTCTATATTTGGTAGATTTGAGTCACGATCTGAATCTTTTTTTGCAGATTCAAGATCAGAATCTACCACGGCAAGGAATACCTTGTCTTTGTAAAATTGACTACATATGTCTGCTAACATGGGAAATCCTCATCGTACAGGGGTAAAATTACTTTCTCTGGTGTAATGATGTAATGCATTAGAGATAATTGTCCAACATTGGAAATAGCGTTGAAAATCAAATGATTTTAATCAAAAATTTATAATCGTGGCCGTACATTTAAAAAAAATTGATGCTCCTTTTGCCCACATTGAGATATGATATGGAGCCATAATCATGATTGAACCTTATAGTGGTACCCCCTCGCATAATGTCCGTGATGCAGTAATTTTTAGTCTGATGGTCGGCGATGCGGCAATCGACTCATCTCGACGAGCTGTACACGATGCATTATGGTGCATAGGAGCGTTCGGGGTTTCAGCGCAATCGTCCTCGCTGCGTTTCGACATCGCGGAGTAGCACCGATTTCGGATTGATTGGTACCCCAGTCGCGGAGTTAAGTACACCCCTGGAAAAAATATTGTCCCAGAAATACAACATTTAATTGCCTCGGCCATTTTGTATTATTTGGTACCCCGGGTACCGCCATAAGGATCAATTGACGAGAATAATATGTAATTTATTATATTGCTTATTTCCCCAAGAAAGCCTCGGTCTCATCTCTTTTTCAGGAGGGTCCTATATATTCGTAATCACGATGGCGAAATGTTTCCCAATTAAGTAATTTCCAAGTCGTTGTTTCTCCAAAATTAAAAACATTTGGACCATGATGCTGGCACGCAAAGTCCCAAATCTTCTGCTACGATGACGATTATGCAGTGGCAGAGTTACGGCTTTTACCTTATCGTTGACCAGAAACTCCATGGGATGGTTCCCCCACTCAATGAGCACAAGCTCATTGGCCTGGCCCGGAACAGCATAAGAAAACGGCGTTCCTAGTCCAGCAGCTCCAGGGGCGGCCCGAAGCCACATGCAAATGGTCACTGCGTACAGCTCAGGCAGCGTCTCTTCAAAGCGTCCGCACATATAGTTGGTTCGGAGTGGTAAGGATAGTTTGAACTCGCCCGGAGGATTGAGGCCTGACACTCCTGCTGTAAGAAATGCAATTTCACATGCATCACAACACTTTAGGATTTGCAACTAGGCATTGCAGTTCGCAAACAAAAATACATTGTAAAGTTTTTGTCATGCTTTTGTTAGTGAGTGAGCCCATACACTTGATATAACCAGAAACTGAAATAAACCCATCGAGACTCGTGAAACAACATAGCATCCTCATACTCTGATGGTGCATTGTCTTTGAGTTGTGCGTCTTTTGGCGTCTCGGGTGTGGACCAATCAACTTCAAGGACAGTGCACATTATCAGAGTTATGTTTTTTGTTTGCATTATGACTGCAGGTATTGTGGTCTATGTAAACATGACTCCTTGTAAAAACAAGGTGCCAGTTTTGTTGCCAGATAGAAGGGTAAAAAAACAATTAACAACATAGCATCCTGTGCAAGGGCGGCCTGGCTTACATAAAGCCAATTTAAGTCTACGTTAGTTCTAGTCAGCTCATGAATAGCTGCTAATAAGTACGAGCTAAGTTCAGATCACATAACTCTTTCATGGTTTACGAAATATCACTGCATAATTTGTTGGCTCCAAATTACGCAACTGAATACCATTTTTCATTTGCAAATTATGTCAAAGTCAAACGTGTTGCCACGCGTAATGGGCATACTTAATTTGAAAGTGAAATTTCAAGGCACACGCAAGATTTGCAATCAGACATATGGTGCGCTTACAGAACACCGCTCACACTAACATTTACATTCACAACTGCTTTGCCCTCGTTAAAAGCCCCATCCTCGTAAAGGGTCAATTTTAAATAACAAGCATAACCACTGACCACAGGGCTGGCATTGACGAAACGTGGCAACCTTTTTTAAATCCTTTATATTAAGTTCACTTGCTTGCTTGCTTGCACGCTTACGACCGTGCAAAATTTTCACTCGTGTTTTAACCCACTTCCCGTGATCCAATCGAGCTGACATTTTGCACACAGACTCGTTGTGCGTGACAATTTATTTTCGTGAACATTTTTTTCCATAACTTTACACTTTTTAGGAATTTTTTTATATTTAATTACCAATTGCTTAATGGTGGCAGGCAATCATCTGACCCATAGGTGGCAGCCATCTCAAGCCAGAGGACGAGAGGACTCTAGCCGCCACGCATATAAAGGATTTATAGTGAAAAACTTTGTTTTTACGGGTTATACTTGTTTACGCTGCCCTGCACGACGGTTGGGACAACACAAAAATCCGACGCACGCATCATCGCAACAAAATAAGTCGCGGCGCGCGTGACGCACCTCGCTCCAATTCGGACACCTTTCGCGCAAGGTCGGCGAACTGCGTCTCGAGCACCGCCCGCTGCGCCACCGTCTCGTTGTGAGCGCGCAACTGGCCCGTGAGATGCGCTTGCACGCGGGCGAGGAGACGCGCTCCCAGCTGCTCCACGTGCTCGGACAGCAGCGCCTGCAGTCCGGCTACGTTCACCGGCCGCTCGCTCACGTTCTCCTGCTGTTGCTGCACGCGCAAAGACAAAGATCCCCCGTGTAGCCTTAGCAGATTGTTGGGGCAAGTGATGTTAGCGAGCACCTATGAAGGCCGGAATGGCACACGAGGGGGTGGGTGGTCAGCACCACGCCCGAATGCCTTTGTCTCCATAGTGGCGATGTTTACACACCACACAGGTACTCATTTGAGGCCGAGTCGACCTAGGAGAGGCCCAGGACCGGTTCGGATAATCGTCACTGGTGTTGGCCATGAGCAGGAATTGAACTCGGGTCACTGGGTTCATAGCGCAGCGCAATAACCGCTACACTATCGCTCCCCACTACTGCTCCCCCTACGCACGTACACACACAAGACATATACTCCTTAGTTGCTCACGCTTACCGTGAGCTTCTGGATTTTCGTGGTGATGTACTGCTCGAATGAGCATTTGAGACAGCGTTCGTATGTTTACAGGCCGATGCCATTGGTGGAATATTGCACATTACTTTGACAGGGTCGAGTCTATCCAGGGGACAACTATTGTTGAATTCCCCTGGGATGTTAGGCTGAGTCAACCCCCCAACCAGTTTTGAACTCGCAACCTTCCAATTACGAGCCGCTCGCTAATTCGCTAAACTAAACATTTTTTTTACTTTGTCAGGTTAAGGCCTCTTTTTCAGAAGCGACCAGGGCCACAAATGACGGCTCAACGCAGTGGCATATCACGTGGGAATGAATAGCAGCCAAATACTACAAATGCGCGTTTCTAAATGTGGAGGGAAACACCGGAGGACTCGGATAAAAATCCACAAGACCAGGAGGAGAGACACATGCAAACTCCAAATATACAGACATCGGGGTCGGGATCGAACCCACGACCTCCTGTATACCAAGCAAGGTAGTTAACATCTCGCCACCGTGGCGCTGAGCCACCTGGCGAGGGGAAATTAAACTTCAGTTTCATGTATTTGGTATAACCCTGTGAGCCATTCGGCTCTTGAATCGGGTGCAACAGCAACAAACAAAAACCAAAAACATGAACAAGAAAACATCTTAAAGTGACTATGCGCAAACAGAAAAATCCAGGAAAAAACTCCAAAGGCTTCCAGAAAAAATCACCGTGCACCAACGCTGTGCAAAAATCCCAGTGGGATGCAAGTAAAACAACAACAACAACCACAAGACAATTTAGATTAAAGCCATCATTCTAACTCCGTACTACAATGGCCAAACCAAAAAACTTTTCGAAATCACCAAAATAAAGCCATAAGCAATGTAACAGTGATCATAGGAACTGTGACCGAAATTTCATAAATTTCACAATAAACGACATAAACAACATGTATCACCAAACCCTATAGCCATAGCTGGCTGCATGAGTCACTCCACAACACTCCACAACAGCAGGAGCATCAGTAGGAGTATCAAATGCACCTTTAAAAATCAGCACACTAAATAAAAACACAAGATCATACGTCGCAGCGGTCATCATACGTTGCAGCAGTCATCATAAACGGATGCCTCCAAATACTGTAAAGAATTTGATATCAGCCAGAATTACAAAATAATTTACTCTCTTTGTTGTCACTGGGTGACTCAGGCTGCCCTTAACTTTTGGCAACGTGGCCCGCTTTTGGATTTGCTCAAAATCAATCCCATCAATATTAAACTGTAAACATATGCGAGTGCCAAATTGAGATGAAATAATGCAACACAGTCCGTTCTCCTATCACGGCGGTGGTTGTGTTCCTGAAGAACAACGCGTTCTGGTAAAATCGCGTTCTAATAAATGATATTGTATGTGGGGTAAAGCACGTCCACGATAATACGTGAGATGCGTAACACAGGCCGAACAAAGACTGAGGCGTGTGGATAGCGTGTGGATAGCATCTAGAAGCATCCAGCAGCATCCCACCTCGTGTTATGCTACGCCGTGGCAGCCGTTACAACCGCGTTATTTCCAATTCGCGTCCGCGTTATATATTTTTTAAAAAACGTGTTCCCTCATACATACATCGCGTTGTATCCAATTCGCGTTATGAAAACGACACACGGCGTTATGGGAAACAGACTGTACTGCATATAATGTAAGGCACATAATTAACATTTCATCTAAATACAGTCATGAACACACACCATTTCCTTACATAAACTACAATACGTACATCATAGACTTTGTTCAACAAATTCTATCACAATAATTATTTAATATACAGTTCACGATTGGCATGTATTGTTATTTCATATGATGAGATTTTGCAAGAGAGAAAAAAAACACAATCGTTGACTTCAACTTAGCTGGCAAGACCTGAAAGGTGCTCCGTGCATTCCGATTGCAGGGAGCGTAAATTGATACATCGCTATTCTCTACATTTTAATGTTTGACTTCTTAAGACAGGGCACACACCAATGAACCCAAGCCGCTTGCAAACAACTCTCTCAGTCTGCGTGACACGAGTGCGGGAGGGAGATAATCCTTGATATTTCAAAATCCACTCTTTACATGCCCACGGCGAATCCGTGAACGGGTAAATTGTAACACTTGTACAAAATGCTTTGGCACGCGTCGTGACCGGGCACTGCAAGATCGGACCGTGTCCATCCGGTGCTCCCTGAGCTGAATTAGCTTCCGGTTGCCAGACGAACGCGTTGTTAGAAGGTCGTACTCATTACACAGACAAAGTACTTGCCACAAGTGAACCACAGTACCTCGCTGATCGCGTCAAGGAGGATAAACCATCACGCGAACTCCGCTCATCATCGCATCAGCGGCTTTTGGCTGGGCCATCGACCAAAGACGGTCACCGCATCGCTCGCTTTCAGATGCGCCCCTGTGGCCGTCTGGAACGTTCTTCCTTCCGATATTGGGAAGCCACTGGAGCTATGCACTTTTAAATCTAGATTTTATAAGGTCATTTCTTTAAAACTGATTTTTTTGTTTAGTTTGTTGTCCTTCCCCCGCACCTCCGATTAGCACGGTTGGCTACGTACGGTGCGAAAGAAGCTCAACATACATGCATGGGGAATACACAGCTTATACCAAAGTATACTATAGAATCCACGATTACTTGTTAATTACCAATACATGTTCATTTAGTGTTGTAGAAGACCCCAACTTCCACCATCCCCCTTGTGTCACACACCTTGTGCTTCCTCCGTGCCGCGTTTTACAAAAATGTTCATTCACAAATTAATGTTTGGCTCAGATCGTCGCGTGACACAAATGTGTGTCGCACACCCTCCTTCACCCGACACAGGCAATGAACGAAGTGTTCACGTGAACAAACGTGCCGATTTTATTCAAGTTCGTTCACGTACAGATCTGTTTTTGTTAATTGGCTGTGTCTGGCGGAGCTGGGTGTCCAAACACACATTTTACTCACACGGCGAATCTGACCCAGCAATCAATTATGAACACACGCGTGTTCAGGGAAGTGCTTTCATTGAGGATTTTACTCAGCGAAATGAACATCAACAAAGGATTGATACGCATTGACTGAAAGCTTTCGTGACTGCAGGAATTCATATTCTTTGGGTCTTTCGGTAAAGTCGCGTAGATAGGTTCAAAGAAAATAACAAAAAACTAAGACGTTTCGATCGCAAGACAAGCGGTCGTCATCAGGATGACCTAATTTCCTGACTTTACCGAAAGACCAAAGAATATTGATAAGCATGGGAACCATACCCAACGTCTCCAGCAAATAGAAAAACTGCCATGATAATGCATACCCCCATCTACTCTACCGGTACAATACAAATGAGTGGTATTCAAATATAATTATTACCGGAAAAGAGTGAACTATCCGTTATCACGCGATCTGATCCCACGCGTGCTCAGGGTCGTGTTTACATTCGAGGATTTGACTCATCGAAATGAACATCAACAAAGGATCGGTACGCATGGCAACCATACCCAACATCCCCAGTTAAAAAGAAAATCTGCCACGATAGCTTATTCCTGCATCTACCACAACGGTGCAATACAAACGCGCAATTATCACCGCAAACGGTGAACTATCCGTTGAAGTTCCACGTGTGTGCTTGTGCCGGCCCATGTGGATGGGCCACCCCGGTGACAAAAAATAGAGTGTCCATACCTCGAGTATCTCCATCCGCTGGGAAAGAGCGAGCAGGCTACGTGCCAGGTGGTCTGTGGAGGCTCCTGGCGGGTCACCCATCGTTTCCTTTACGGGCGGGCGAGCCAGACCCTTCATACGAGCCGGGCGTACGGCTCCCTGCCCACCTGAAGCACCTCCCGCTGGGCCACCCTCGCAGCCGCTGAGCTTTGCCGTCAGCTCCTTGATGACCTCCTTCTGGTTAATGATGGTTTCGCGCTGCTGCAGAATTGCTTCTTGAAGCTGCGTGGGAGCGCGTGGATCGGTGGGACCCACGGGAGTGAATTTACCGCCCGATGCCGACTGCCCCATGGGGCACGCCACGCCAGCGTCTGGCTCAGCAGGGGCAGGCTCACACACGAGCCGCAGAGGGGGGGCATGCTCCTGTTGCCCCAGTGCTTCGGCTCCCGCCAGCAGGAGTAGTGCTACGTTGGCTACAAACAGCGGGAAGAAGCGAATTCTCGCTTGTATCCCGGTTGAAATACGTTCATCCATGCTGCACACTTTTTTTTCTTTTTTCTTTTACCCGTTATCTCTCCTTACCTATCTACCTGGGTGCCCACGTGTCCAGCGACCTGGTCAGCAGCCTGGTTTGCCACGGAGCTTCTCTCGCATGTGGCCCTGACATGCGGACAGGAACGGGACGAACTGTATGTGGGCCGACAGATGCGGATCAGCGGTTGCGACGGATTACAATGCATCGGCCGCTTAAGCCACTCATGTGACATTGTGTCCTCATAATGGTTACAAATACACCACAATTCGCCCCCTACAACAAAAAAAGAAACTCGGCGGTGTTCAACGCAGCGCCTTAAGTGGCCAAAAATAAAATGTTTCGCTCCAGATGATCGCTGCACAGTATGATCTGTTTTTTTATTTAGTGTGCTGATCTTAAAGGTGCATTGACAAATATTGACACTCCGACTGATGCTCCTGCTGTTGTGGAGTGACTCATGCAGCCAGCTATGGCTGCAGAGTTTGGTAATACATGTTGTTTATGTCGTTTATTGTGAAAATTCGGTCACAGTTCCTATGATCACTGTTTCATTGCTTTTATGGCTTTGTTTTGGTGATTTTCGAAAAGTTTTTCGGTTTGGCCATGTTTGTTTGTTGTAGTACAGAGTTAAACTGATGGCCTTAATCTAAGTTGTCTTGTGGTTGTTGTTGTTTGACTTGCACCCCACTGGGATTTTTGCACACAGTTTTGGTGTACGGTGCTTTTCCTGCAATATTTTGCTGTCTTTTCTTGGATTTTCTGTTTGCACATAGTCACATAGTCACTTTAAGATGTTTTCTTGTTCATGTTTTTTTTGTTTGTTGCGGTTGCACCCGATTCAAGAGCCGAATGGCTCACAGGGCTACACCAAATAAATGAACTTGAAATGAACTTGTACTTAAACATTTCCCGGGGCGTGCTTGAAATACGGTTTTCACACTCGGACATCTGACTTGAATATTTATACGCGGACAATCCTTCCGCTGGCAATTACATTTACATCGGTGTTGTGTCCACATTGATGAGCAAAAAAATTGTGCCAGCATCGAAGCGGTTAGTCTCTAAAGTGCTCACCGTGATTGGCACCGCTACCCGGACCACGCGCCCACGCTGGTCTCAGGGCCTACTGCCCTCAAGGTTTCACTGTCACTGTGACAACAGCTAACATTAGGACCAGCCTGGGCAACTGTTTAAACATAGCTACGAGCAGGGTTAATTTAAACTATTTAAAAATATATTTTACCAGGTGAGGCCCACTGAAATATATAGCTCTTTTGTCAGAAGCGACCTGGCCACAAGTGATATAGCACAACAAAGTGTCTTATCATGTGGAAATGTATAACAGACACACACTCTAAACGCATGTTGATTCTAAATGTGTAGGGGAAAACCCGAGGACCTGGGACATGTCCACGCCACCACGGGGAGAACATGCAAACTCCAAATCTATAGGCGTCAAGGTCTTAATCAAAGGCACCACCTCCTTCATACTAGGTGAGTTAGTTGACATCTTGCCACTGTGGCGCCCCATTGCAGTCGTGTTTGTCTAGAGATCAATCACCACCACATCTTTGGTCAGTCTGTCGTCAGACTAAGAATCAGTGACAACAAGGAGATCAGTCGATCACCACTTGGAGATCAGTGCTATCACCTTGAGGTCAGCATCACAAATGTGCTGGTGGTGATGCTTTGTTGGCAATGATGGTGCACGGACCCAGTGAACAGAACAACTCAACACATGCAGATCAATCAGCCCGGAGGTCAGCCTGTCAGCACCTGGAGGTCAGCCTGTCAGCACCTGGAGGTCAGCCTGTCAGCACCTGGAGGTCAGTCACCAGCTGGGGGTCAGTCACCAGCTGGGGGTCACCTGGGGGTCAGTCACCAGCTGGGGGTCAGTCACCAGCTGGGGTCACCTGGAGGTCAGTCACCAGCTGGGGGTCAGTCACCAGCTGGGGGTCACCTGGAGGTCAATCAGCACCTGGAGGTCAGTCACCAGCTGGAGGTCAGTCACCAGCTGGAGGTCAGTCACCAGCTGGGGGTCACCTGGAGGTCAGTCACCAGCTGGAGGTCAGTCACCAGCTGGGGGTCACCTGGAGGTCAGTCACCAGCTGGGGGTCAGTCACCAGCTGGAGGTCAGTCACCAGCTGGAGGTCAGTCACCAGCTGGGGTCACCTGGAGGTCAGTCACCAGCTGGGGGTCAGTCACCAGCTGGGGGTCACCTGGAGGTCAATCAGCACCTGGAGGTCAGTCATCAGCTGGGGGTCAGTCAGTCACCAGCTGGAGGTCAGTCAGTCACCACCTGGGGGTCAGTCAGTCACCAGCTGGGGGTCAGTCACCAGCTGGAGGAGAGTCTCAGTCAGTCACCAGCTGGCAGATCGGTCTATCATCAATCGCATCGAGGTCGCCTGTCACCGTCTGTCGGCAACAGGAAGCGGTCCCGCTGCGCCCCCTGCCGGGCTGAGCTCCGCAGCTTCTCCCGGCATCGCAGGCGCGACTCCCCGCGACTCCCCGCGGGCTTTAACAAGCGAGGCGGGTGACGGCGGCGGCAAGGGGCCGGTCATGGCGGGGAGCGGCGGCCGCCTGTGGGCCCTGGACGTGCGGGGTCGCGCCTTCACGCTCGCCCCGGCCGAGAGCCGCTGGAGGCCGTGCCCTGACCCGCGCCTGGAGCTCAAGCGGCTGTCCGCCGGGCCGCAGGGCTGCTGGGCCATCGGCTACGACCACCGCGTCTACGCGTTCGTGCGGCCCGGGGACATCCCCGTGCGGGTACAGGAAGAGGCCTTCGAGAACCAGGTGAGTCGAGCGAGCGAGCAGGTGAGCAGTGGGGCCGGGGGGCCGGGGGGCCGGGTGAGGCGGCTTCCTTGGTGGATTCGGGACGACTCCTCCTGAGACGCGAGGCTTTACGGCGATGCTGCTGGTGCTGCTGGGTGTAGGGAGCGGTGTGGTGAGAGCGGTGTGGTGGTGGTAGCGGTGTGGTGAGAGCGGTGTGGTGGTGGTAGCGGTGTGGTGGTGGTAGCGGTGTGGTGGTGGTAGCGGTGTGGTGGTGTTAGCGGTGTGGTGGTGTTAGCGGTGTGGTGAGAGCGGTGTGGTGGTGGTAGTGGTGGTGGTAGCGGTGTGGTGGTGTTAGCGGTGTGGTGAGAGCGGTGTGGTGGTGGTAGTGGTGGTGGTAGCGGTGTGGTGGTGTTAGCGGTGTGGTGAGAACGGTGTGGTGGTAGCGGTGTGGTGGGAGCGGTGGTGTGGTGAGAACGGTGTGGTGGTAGCAGTGGTGTGGTGGTAGCGGTGTGGTGGTAGCGGTGTGGTGAGAGCGGTGTGGTGGTAGCGGTGTGGTGGGAGCGGTGTGGTGGGAGCGGTGTGGTGGAAGCAGTGGTGTGGTGAGAGCGTGTGGTGGTAGCGTGTGGTGGGAGCGGTGTGGTGGGAGCGGTGTGGTGGAAGCAGTGGTGTGGTGGTAGCGTGTGGTGGTAGCGTGTGGTGGGAGCGGTGTGGTGGAAGCAGTGGTGTGGTGAGAGCGTGTGGTGGGAGCGGTGTGGTGGGAGCGGTGTGGTGGAAGCGGTGGTGTGGTGAGAGCGTGTGGTGGTAGCGGTGTGGTGGTAGCGGTGTGGTGGGAGCGGTGTGGTGGGAGCGGTGGTGTGGTGAGAACGTGTGGTGGGAGCGGTGTGGTGGTGGTAGCGGCGGTGTGGTGGGAGCGGGTGTGGTGGGAGCGGTGTGGTGGTGGGAGCGGTGTGGTGGTGGGAGCGGTGTGGTGGGAGCGGTGTGGTGGTGGGAGCGGTGTGGTGGGAGCGGTGTGGTGGTGGGAGCGGTGTGGTGAGAGCGGTGTGGCGAGTTCCATCCCCGCTCACGGCCGCCACCAACGCCGGAGACGATTATCTGACCCGCTCCTGGGTCGACTCAACCTTTAAATGAATACCCGGTGCGGTGTGTAAACATCACCGCTATAGGGAGACAAAGGCGGCCGGGCGTGGTGTTGGCCACCCACACCACCTTTCCCCTCTCAACAGCACTTGCCCCCGCGAATATCTGTCACGGCTCCCCGCTGGGGCACCTTTGTCTGTGTGTCTTTGCTGCACCCCCCCCCCAATACCCCACGGCTGCGGTTGGGAACCTTTCGACCGATCAGCGCTGGAACCCCGTGGACGGCTTCGGTGCCAAGCTCCTGCCCAGCGACCGCTGGGGCTGGAGCACCGAAGACGGACTGGGCCCTCGCTTCCTGGCCCAGGTGCAGCTGCCCTCTCCTGCCTGGGAGTGGGAGGGCGACTGGAGTCTCTTCCTCAGCATCGCCGGAGAGCCCACGGAGGCACAGGCGAGTTTCCCCAACCATCGTCCACCACCTTTCGCAGCCAAACTGGCCCACTTTTTGTTGTTGTTGTGAACAAGTTGTTTGTTCAGCCTTCGACGTACAGCGGTTGGCCTACGTACGGCGTGAAAGAAGTTGAACGTGTGTGCGCACATACCTACACGAACTCCAACGCCGTCTTCCACCAAGCCCACCTACCTAAGCGTGCTCCACCGCGGTGGTGAGATGTTAACTACCTCGCCTGGTATGCAGGAGCGCGTGGGTTCGATGCCCACCCTGACGCCTGCTGTATATTTGGAGTTTGCGTGATCTCCCCGTGGTCGCGTGGATTTTTCTCCGGGTCCTGCGGGTTTTCCCTCCATATTTAGAATCAACATCACCACGCGTTTAGAGTATTTGGTTGCTGTAAATGTCCACGTGATAAGCCACTTCGTTGAGCTATCATTTTTGGCCAGGTGGTGCTGGCCACCCCCCTCCTCGTGTGCCGTGCCGGCCTTCATAAGTGCTCGCTAACAGCACTTGCCCCTACAGTCTGTTAAGGCTATACATCGGATATTTTTGTTTGTGTGTGTCCGTACAGGGATGGACTTATGCTTTAGACTTTCCTGCTCCGTATTCCCATAAAAAGCACTGGAATTCGTGTGTCCGGCGCCGACGCTGGATCCGCTACCGTCGCTACACTGCCATCAACAAGTGGGCTCAGGTGCGTGCTGGTTGCGTGCACGTGCTCAGAGCACGGCTTCTGTGCTGGAAAACATACCTACGGCTTGTCTATGGGACCTTTTTGCCAGTATCAAAAATTATGAAAAATAAGAATAGGTTTTACCCTTGCAATTTCAAAGACAGTGCGTATATTATCAGAGCATGGTTGTTGGCATCTTTTTGCCACGAGCATGTGTGGTTAATGCAGACATGATGCCTTGCAAAAGTTATCCATTTGGTGTTTGAACATATTAACACCTGTTCTATTGCCAGAACGGGTAAAACCTATTCCTATTCTTCATACCTGCTGCTGTGCAAAACAAACGTGAAATGGATGCTAATATTTTCGTGACAAGCCATGATGCGCAACACGAGAAGGGCCGGAAGAGCACATTGCATGCGAGTGTTGTCGATGTTATTCGACAAAAACGCTTGCGCTGGCTAGGGGCGTGTGTGCAGGAGGGGGAGAGACGCGACGATCGCCAAGACGCGCAAATTGGCGTGGTCTACATTCGTCAGGCGTCCCAAGGGGAAGACCTAGGACCCGATGGCGTGTAACTGTTAGGGTAGATCTTGGATGTGCCATTTCTACTGTGCAGCAGCTGCAGGATGCGGGGGAGGGTAGAAAGCATTGGTGGAGAGGTGTGGTGAGCGTCAACAGCTTTGGCCACGACCGCACGTTGATCTTGAAAAACAAAAAAACGTCGCTGTTGGCGCGCGTCACGTATCCACGAGGTTGTTTTTGGTTTTTTTGTATTTCAGATTCCAGTTCAGGAGGAGGGTTCGTACCAAGATTTGTTCCACGATGTTTGTTTGGGTGGATGGGACCTTGCAGAAGAGCCACCCGGACGGCTCTCCGTGTGGGCCGTCACCACCGAAGGCAAGGTGAGGACACAGCGCCAACTGACACCCTCTATCCAAGTGCTTCTAAAGTTTTGTTTGGTTACTGCACCACCCCTTGTTGAATTTAGTTTCAGCCTGGAGGTCAGTCTGCCCTCCATGTTGAACTTCTTTCGCACCGTACGTAACCAACCGTGCCCATCGGAGGTGCGGGGGAAGGACAACAACTAAACACAAAAAGCAGTTTTAAAGAAAGGTGTTTTAAATGTAGATGATTTAAAAGTGCACAATTACAGTGGATTCCTAATATCGGAAGGAAGAGCATTCTAGACGGGCACATCAACATCACCACCATCACCACCATCAACGTCAATACCCCCCACTTCCTCATCATGCAGGTACCTCCTCAATGCCACCACCATCATCATCATCGCCACCACCATCATCGCCACCACCATCATCGTCATCGCCACCACCGTCATCGCCACCACCATCATCGTCATCGCCACCACCATCATCGTCATCGCCACCACCATCATCGTCATCGCCACCACCATCATCGTCATCGCCACCACCATCACCGTCATCGCCACCACCATCATCGTCATCGCCACCACCATCATCGTCATCGCCACCATCGTGCATGTGTGGACGTTGAACTTCTTTCGCACCGCACGTGGTCGACCGTGCCAATCGGTGGTGTGTATGTGTGTGTGTGTAGGTGCTCTATCGAGATGACGTGCATCACTCCAACCCAGAGGGGAGAGAGTGGATCGGGGTGGAGATCCCGAGCGAAGCCCTGCAAGTCAGCGCAGGGCCCATTTCACTCGTCTGGGTCTTGCTGTGGGAGGGCAAGCTCCTGGCGCGTGAAGGTGTCAACCAGAAGAACCCGATGGGTAAACGTGCCGCCACTCACCAAGCGCTGCCCCCCTGCCTGACATATTCAATTATAAAAAATACATATATATAGTCTGTTCTCCTATAACGCGGTAGTTGCGTTCCTGATGAACACCGCATTATGGAAAAATAGCGTTATAATAAATAATATATAACAAAGGGTAAAAAGCACAGTCCGCAATAACACGTGAGATGTGTGTCGACTGAACAATGACTGAGGCGTGTGGGTAGCATCTAGAAGCATCCAGCAGCATCCCGTCTTGTGCGATGCTACGCCGAGGCAGCCGTACAATGGCTTATTGCTACTCGCACGATGTAGTTCTGGTCACTCGATCGGGTTGTATCCAATTCGCATTCGCGTTATAAAAAAACGTGTTACCTAATACCTTCATCGTGTTACGTCCAATTCGCGTTACAGGAGAACAGACTGTAATTATGAAATGGAGAGCTCCCAGATACTCAATTGGGTTTTGGATGTTTCTATAATCTGCAGATGCCTATTATAAGATAGAACAATTTATGATAGAGGAAATTTCGATTGCAAATTTGATAATTACACCTCAATGCAATATCTAAAATGCTCAATTCTAAACGTTGCAATGCGCGTGGTTAAACAAAGTTGTAGTCCGTTGACCCGTTCCTAATTTGCTGCCGCAATGTTGTGCGATTGCAGGTGAAGGATGGGTGGTGGTGGACCCCCCAGAGCACGAGTTCGGTGTCGTGCAGGTTTCCGTTGGCACGCGGGTCATCTGGTGTATCACAAGCGATGGGCAGGTGACAACATCACGTGACCATTATAAAGACAAAGATCCCCCCGTATAGCCTTGACAGACTTTTTGACAAGTGTCGTCAGCAACTATCTATGGGTGGCCAGCACCACGCCTGGCCGCCTTTATCTCCACTCTGCCACTGCTTCCCACAATACTACAGTACAATACTGTTTCTGTGCAACTACACCGATTTGGCTGTTGGGTCCCAGTGTGCCTTTAGATCCATTGAGACAGTGGATGATTGTTTTGTTCGTCTGCCAACCTAGGCACGCACAATGCTACTGAGCAAACGGTAAATATTCCACACCTCTGGCGATTTGATTGACATGATTTGAGGTCAAAGTTTATTTCTAGAATATATTCTTCTGTGTTTACTATATTGTCTTTGTTTTTTATTCTGATTTGTACAGGTTCGTCTTCGCCATTATCATACATATAATTAGCATATAATTAACATAAATACAAATTGCATTGCGTGCAAAACTATTTAAATCTATAAATTGATGCACATTTCACGCCGACTTCTGAGTACATCTGTACACGCGTTCGTCATTTGTATAACTTTGAAAACCTGTCCTCTAAAATACAGTGCGACACAAATTATATTCGTATACCATCTTAATGCACAAACTGCATCTCAAAGCACTATTCAAAAAGTGTGACATTCGTAACATCACTGTTTCTATTTTCAATGTCCGGTGCGAATGAAGACACTTCATAGACAGGCAGCCATAGGCAGAGGTGACCAAGATCTCGAGTCTAGACTTGAACAAGGGACACGTAGCACAAACTTGCTGGGGAGAGCCAGTTCCAGGTGATGAGGGCAGCAGTGGAGGAGTGATCTGCCACTGGGCGAAGGTTTAACGGCGGCTGAGCGAAGGCCTTGGTTGCTGGGGTGAAGAGCATGGGAAGGGCAGGTAGAGTGACATGAGAAAGGGCGAGTCCGTGGTATGTGGAATTTCCACAGCTGGCTCTACGTGATTTTATCTTCATCGCCTGGTATGCAGGAGGTCAGGTGTTCGATCTCGACCCTGATGCCTGTATAATTGGAGTTTGCATGTCTCTCTCCCCGTGGTCGCGTGGATTTTTTTCTCTGGGTCCTCCGTTTTTTTCCTTCCACATTGAAAATCAACGTGCGTTTATATTATTTTGGTGCTGTAAATCTCCACGTGATAAGCCACTTCGTTGAGCTATCATTTGTCGCTCAGGTGTGGTTCGCCGTGGCGATGTTTGTGTGCTCAGGTGTGGTTCCGCCGTGGCGTGTGCGCAGACAGTCCCGCTGGCCTCAGCTGGGTGTCTATGGTCAGCAAGATGATGATGGTCAGCGTGGGGGTCAACGATCAGGTGTGTGTGTGCACGGCCTGTCGGTTCAACGTGTGTGCATTTCCCATGTTGTAATACGGTGCGGCGAAGTGGCCCTTATTTTATGCATGGATATTTTTTTTTATACGTGGCACCGCTCCAGACGCAACTGTTGGTAAACTTACGTAACGCCATCATTGTTTTGTTACATGTTCGGCTTCAATCAATCACTAGAGCACGGTCATAACCTTTGCCATACAGTATTTCTGTGGTTCGGTGTGTGCGTGTGTGTAGAAGTGGGGAGCGGTAGTGTAGCGGTTAGCGCCGTTGCCCTACGAACCCTGGCGACCCGGGTTCGATTCCCACTCACGACCAACACCAGTGACGATTATCTGAACTGGTCCTGGGCCTCTGCCTCCCCTAGGTCGACTCGGCCTCAAATGAGTACCTGGTGATTTGTGTAAACATCGCCACTGGGGAAACAAAGGTGGCTGGGCGTGATGTTGGCCACCCACCCCCTCGTGTGTCGTGCCGGCCTTTATAGGTGCTCGTTAACAGCACTTGCCCCTACAGCCTGCTAATGCTATATGGGGGATCTTTGTATTTTTGTGTGTGCGCATTTGTGTGTGCGTGCCAGGTGTTTGGGGTGGGTCGGGAAGACCGGACGGTGTACTTCCGTCAGGGTGTGTGTGCCGACGAGGCGAGCGGGAAGGTGTGGAGGCCCGTAGTGTGCGAGCGCGATGCGGAAGAGGGCGTGGAGCAGAGAGCAGCAGGCGGCTCCCACAGGAGCAGCATCACCAGCCTGAACAGGTGACCACACCTGATGGGCAAGGGTGCTCTAGCAGGTGCCCACACCTGAACGACAGGGGTGCCGTAGCGGCTCTTCAGCATAATATGTTGAATTCCTCAAGTGGCGTTGAAATGAATGATTTAAACGAAACGTGTGCCTTTAATCTGGTACCAAGCTTTTTGTGAAATTTTTTTTAATGAATTTTGATTTAAAGTTTTCGTGACTGCAGGTATTCATATTCTTGGTTCTTCGGTAAAGTCACGTAGAAGGGAAATTAAATAATATAAAACAATAAAAATTCTCACGACGTTTCGACTGCAACACAAGCAATCATCAAAAAGCGCCATTTTTTTCTAATTTTCTTGCTGTGGATTTCACACCTGATGATGATTGCTTGTGTTGCAGTCGAAACGTCGTGATAATTTTTATTTTTTTATTATTTTATATTATTTTATTTCCCTTCTACGTGACTTTACCAAAAGAACCAAGAATATATTTTTATTAACTTTTTTTATTTTAGCATAATGAAATTCCGAGATACTGTGTTTGCTTATTTAGAGAATATCCAAGGCCCCTGGTTTGTTGTTGATAAGGTATACAAAAGCTAGTAGAGGTGGTACCACTTTGTTTACACGTACTTTTGGTCAGTGCACAGATACATGTGGAAGTCAACCAATACAAAATATAGTTTTCAGCATAATTTCGTGGCTTTTTGCAAAGGTTTGTGATTCGATTCTGGCTGGCTGCTCTGGTTATTGCTGTGGGTATATTAAGCATACATATGTACCGTCTGTTTCAAAGTGAACATGAAAGATTTCATCATGTTATTGAAAGAAGAGTATTCCAATTTTTTTTATATTAAATTTAAATACTTCGTTGGAAAACGCATAGCAATCAACACCTCCGACTGAAACATTTGCAAAACCCTTCTGAAATATAGTTTTGAGACTCGGTATGGCTTTTGTGGGTAATTAAGCATAATGCAGTCGAACCCCTCTTAATGACCACCCTTGTTAACGACTAATCGGTTAACGACGAACCTCCATAGAGCCTAATGTGTTCGCTTACCCACCTGTTAACGATGGGCTGTTGTAGGTATAATAAATATTAATTAATGCATTGATTAACCATGTTTATTTTCATATTATGTGTTTATAATGTTCCTAGTATCTCTATGTATTAATGCCCATTGTTTAAATATGATAAAGTACTTTCTTGGGTGAAAAATTGTAACTTTCGATGCTACCGGAACGAATTAAACCCTTTACGTGTATTTCCTGTACACGCTTAACGACCAAATCACTTAGCGACCGGTTTCGTGGAACAAATTACCGTCGTTAAGAGTGCTTCTATGGCAGTAAATTAGAGAAATTAACCCTCAGCCTAATAATTACAAGCCTCCCGTGATCTGTATGTAGTATGTTGAACTTCTTTCGCACTGTACGTAGCCAACTTTGCTAATCGGAGATGGTTATTAGTTAATGTGCGTGTTGCCTATTTCCGTTGAACAGTTTAGCTGACCTGAACCTGAGGAGCAGTGTGGACGATGCCGCTGAAAGCAACGATACGGATTCTACGTCGACGGCCACTGAGGACACGCAGCAGTCGCACAGAGGCACTGAGAGCACCCTCACACCTGCGCCAGCTGTCTCCAGCAAGCCCAGCAGCAGATCACCGACACCGAGGGCAGAATTGGCTGCGGGTCCCGGTGAAGACTGTATGGATACCGGCAGTGTGTCTTCCTTGGGGGGAGGGAGCATCAGTGGCGACACGCTCGGCAATATGGACAGAGGCCTCCTTTGGGCCTGGGTGAGCACTGGAGCCTGCGACATCGACAGCCAATCACAACCTGCTGTGGTTCATCCAATCCACAGGTGCTGCAGTACACCACGTCAAAGCGTTATGTTCTCATGTGCACACATTTGCCGGTCTGCCTATTGGAATACAAATTCGAACTGCTCTCTTGCTCAACTGAGCATTGAGGCATTGGTGGTGCTCATCTCCTGTTCACAGCTCTGAGCCAGTGGTTGCAATTCCACATTCCTGTGGCAGGGTTGAGTGACTACATATTACAGCCGTTGTTGACTTCCCCACGAAGTGGTACTGATTTTAGCTCACCACAATGGACAATGGGCTGAGTCAACCCCAAGCCAGGCTTTGAACGAGCATCCTTCTCATTGCGAGCCACTCGGCCACTCTCCCTACCGCTGAGCCATTTGGCCGGATAGTCCTTGGAGCGGTGGTTTGTGGTATGTTTTATATTTCAACTTGATGCCTTGGACAATTTGCTGTTATGGAGCAATGTAGGAAACATATTAACATGAAAGTACAGTCTAGTCTTTTTCAAGTTATTATCTTACAGTGAGAACCAACTTAAGTTGTGAATATATTGGGGCACTTGGTAAACGTTGCAATCGGGATGGTGAATATTGAAGACTCGCGATGCAATGTGTGGTACGATCTGACAATAAGCCGACACGCTCCCGATACATGGCAACAGTCGCGTCGGGACGACGTAGCGCCAAGCACGGTGCTCGGAAGCACCACATCCACTGTTGTAAAAGGCACTGCAGACAGAGCATTGGCATGATCGTGAGTGATAAGGCCACAGATCGGATGTTTGTAGAAATGGAATATCTGGTTTTGGTTCATGATGTAATGAAGCCTCGTTGATGACACAAATATGAATATATTCTGTCTTGTGGTAAGTGTATATGTCGGGATGCCACGGAGGCGAGATGTTAACTATTTTGCCGGGTATGCAGGAGGTCGTGGGTTTGATCCCGACCCGGATGCCTGTATATTTGGAGTTTGCATGTTCTCCCTGTGGTCACGTGGATTTTTCTCCTGGTCCTCCGGTTTTTCCCTTTATATTTAGAATCAACATCACGCGTTTTTAGAGTATTTGACTGCTATAAATTTCCACATGATGATAAGCCACTTTGTTGAGCTATCATTTGTGGCCAGATCGCTTCTGAAAAAGAGCTACAAAGCTCAGTGGGACTTACCTGGTTAAATAAAAAAAAACAGTTTTAAATAGTGGTGTGACGTATAAGAATGTGGTGTGATGTGCATTCGTCACGAGGTTCCCTGCTAAGCGGACCTGTACGCGACCCCGCGTGGAGGAGGGACATCGTGCAGCAGTTGACCGATCGCTCGCTCAGAGAGATATCCAACTTTGAGGACTACGAGTCGGCCACAGACAAGGTACCCGCAGCTTCCATGCCCGTGGGAGGCGACGCTTATGCCGGTTGCGGTGTTTATAGCAGCAGTGGCCAACCGGCGTCTCCCAAACCGCATGCTGCTCTTTAACCCACCACATGCGGCTCTATCGAAGGGACCATAACGTAAGAACATACTATCATAGTAGCAAAGAATAATGAATGTCTCCCGTTCCGTGCCGAAAACTGTCAATATACACACACTTATGTATACACTTGGCTCTACGTGGGTACTTCTTGTCTGTTACAAGTTGGTCCGCCCCTGGTTCACAGCTATTCTGTTTTGCGCGGTGTGCTCACAGAAGACGGTGTGGGTGAGGCGTGGCGTGCTGTCGTGGTGGCAAGACTGGTATCCCCAGCGCTGGATCGACCTGACGGTGCTGCTCGAGCAGCTGGAAGGCGCAGAGGAGCGCCCCGAGGCCATGCTGTTCCTGCACTACATGGTCGGCGCCACCAAGAAGGTGGCCGACGTCACACGACAAACTTTTAATTTGTAGTCCAGCGCCAACTCCACCGCCACAGCTGTGCCGTCCGCAGAAAATAAGAGTCCTGTCCTTTTTTGTTTTTGTTGTAAATTCTTTTTACAAATATTTTTAAAAAGAGCTGAGGGTATTAAAGGACTAACAAGAGGAAGGGCGAGATATAACAAACGAATAGTTTACGTGACACGTTGCTTTCACCCTCGCGATCAGAGAACGGACGAGAGCACTCCGGCTCGCCGCCCTATCATGGCAGGGGGAACAATCGGGGACAGGGTGTTTCAAAGGCGAGCGAAGGATATGTGGAAAAATGGCAGCGAAGATTGGGGGTGACGGGGGCATCCGTGTCCAGTCGTTATCGGTGCATTGGTGCTCGACTGGTGCTGTGCGGTGGTGTGCAGTCCTGTAGATGCCCGCGGCCCAACCCGGACAACCGCACGAGGTGTCTGCACCGATGCTGCACTTGTCCTTGATATGATAATTTTCAGGCTCACAGGCAAAGACGAGCGAGAGCCGTCTGTGCTTGTGAGGAGAGTAGGACACAGGAGATACTGAACTTTAAATCAAATTCCACGTAAAAAAAGGGAAGGTCTTTTAAATTTTCCCTCCATTGTTGATTCCTTCATGCACGGTGTTTCCTGTGGTGGTGCTGCTATTGCATAGTGGTGTCCTCTGGGTGTGTGTGCGTCCGCGTGTGTGCGCACACGTACGTGCTTGTGCGGCTACCGCTGTTATGTGGAGTGGCAGTGCAGCGGTTAGCGCTACGCTGCGCTATGAACTCCGGCGATCCGAGTTCAATTTCCACTCACGGCCAACACCAGTGACGATTATCTAAACCGGTCCTGGGCCTCCCCTAAGTTGACTCGGCCTCAAATTAGTACCTGGTGCCGTGTGTAATCATCGTCAGTAGAAAGGCGGCCAGGGCGTGGTGCTGGCCAGCCACCCCCTTTGCATACCATTCCGGTCTTCGTAGGTGCTCGCCAATAGTACTTCTCCCCGACAGTCCGTTTCGAGTATATACGGGGGCGGGGGGTGATCTTTGCCTTTTCTGTGCGTCTCTGAGCGCAGTACCTGCACATCTTCATCAGCGAGATCACGGCACTGGTGCCAGTGCTGGACACGAATCGGCACACCTTCGCTGTGTACACGGCGGAGCGCACGGAATCGCGTGCGCCCATACGCTTGGCTGCTGCAACTGAGCAAGACATGCACGACTGGGTGAGTTTCCGCACTCTCCCTTCACCCGTTCGTTTTCGAGGCTACGTCTATAAAACGACGTGGCAAAATTTGTCATTACGACTTTGTGTTCAAGCTTGCCAAGGTCGCCATTGCCAACACGGTTGGGGGGCGGGAGGTGGGGGGGCAGGGTGGTTGGGGGGTGGGGGGGCAGGGGGTGGTGGGGGGGCAAATCGCCAAGGTGATGTCTTTCGGTCGTTTCGTGAAGGTGTGCATCTGGCCCGGAGACTACAATTTTGTAAAGGATGTCTGGAGTAAGAATGCGTATTGGGTGTGTGTTTGTGCAAACCTTTGGTACCTCTATGCGTGCTTAACCCTGTCCCGTTCCAGGACGTCTGCAAGTTGCAGGGTGGGTGCCCTCCACGCATGGCCTTGTGGGAGCCTCGGTACCGATAAAGTTATTATATTTTAGTTTTTGTATGTACGTATGTATGCTTAACTTCTTTTGCACTTTACGTAAGCCAACCGTGTTTACCGTACGCCATCGGAACGGAGCCGTAAGAAAAAGAACCGATGACACGCACGCATACAGTCGTCAGAAACGGGTCAGGCTTAACGTGTCCGTGCTCTGTGTATGTGCCTCGGTTTGCCGGCTGCCACGCCGTCAGCTGGCGGTGCTGAACACGGCGTGCTGCGAGGCGCGCGGCCTCTCCAGGAGCCCCTCTCATCGCGCCGTGTGGTCCGTCACCTGCCGCGGTGACGTGTTTGTGAGCGAGTGCTCGTCCGAGGCTTCCTCCGGCTCAAGCTCTGCCCTCCATATGTACGCTGCATACATCTACATAATTGGAACCTCATTTGCCAGTAAAAAATATGAGAATTAGTTTTTTATCCTTTTATCTGGCAACAAAACTGACACCTTTTTTTACAAGGAGTCATGTTTGCATAGACCACAATACTTGCAGTCATAATGCAAACAAAAAACATAACTCTGTATGCATTGTCCTTGAAGTTGATTGGTCCACACCCGAGACAGCTGTCCTTAGAGCCTAGTCTCACATGATGTTGGACCAGATGACGCATTATGACTGCAGGTATTGTGGTCTATGCAAACATGACTCCTTGTAAAAAAGGTGTCAGTTTTGTTGCCAGATAAAAGGGTAAAAAAACAATAATCATACATCTACATCGTCGTCATCATCACGATCCATGGTGCAGATAGCCCCGTGTGATGTCCACTGCACATTTCGTCATTTGTTTCCACTTTCAGTCTGTCTTGTGCTAATATGCTCAAGCAGTGCAACATCTTTCTGGCATCAATTTCTCACGTCATCGTCAAGCCTCTCTCTCTGGTAGGTCTTCTTCTCTTACCGGTTCCTTCCATTTTTCCAAACAACACAATTTCACTTTTCCATGTCGTCCATGCTGCATACGTTTCCAAATAGTGCCAGTTTCCTTCTCATCAATGCCTGCATCATCGTGAAACACCATGAAATAAGAATAGACTTTACATTTCTGACAATAAAATAGGTGTTAAGATGTTCTAACACCAAATGGAAACCTATTTCAAGGCATAAAGTCTGCATTAACCACACGAGTTTGATTCCCGCTCATGGCCAAACACCAGTGACTATTACCTGAACTGGTCATGGGCCTCCCCTAGGTCGACTCAGCCTCAAATGGGTAACTGGTGCGATGTGTAAACATCGCCGCTGGAGAAACAAAGGCGGCAGGGCGTGGCACTGGCCACCCACCCCTTTGTGTGCCGTGCCGGCCTTCATAGGTGCAACTCGCTAACAGCACTTGCCCCAACAGTCTGTGAAGGCTACACGGGGGGTATCTTTGTCTTTGTTTGTGCGCGTCCCCCCCAGGTTCTGGCGGCAGATCGGTGGCCACCTGCGGCTGGTTGAGAGCGATGGCAGTGGCGTGGTGTGGGGCCTCGGTTACGACCACACGGCTTGGGTGTACACGGGCGGGCATGGCGGAGGATTCCTGCAGGGTAACGCGCTCAGCCCACCCACGCAATGCATAACGGGGGACATAGAATATTCGGAGAATTCCCCAATTAAAACCGTTGACATGTGTCCGACCTCACTTGGTCTGTACGCTATGGATGTACAAATATAGCCTCGAAGTGCAATAACGGGTTTACTACGTATGTGTTAAGTGACACCCTAGACACACTTGCAAATGAGATGTTTCACCCCAAGGGTGTATTCGGGGGAAATGTTTTAATTAATCAAAGTGTGGAATGTTTTCACCAAAATACTCCTAAGGGATACATTTTTCTGATAGTTTTGTGTCCAGATAATTTGAGATTTTTTTGTTTGTTACAGCTTTAGGGAGGTCGCTTGAGACCCATTCTTAAAGACCACTCACTTGCAGACATCTTAATATTCCACAATACAATGGTGGCTGGAATTAAGTAACCAGGCACACCCATACCCGTACATACACGCACAGGCACGTGCATCTCTCTGTCTTTGTGTTTGTTGTCCTTCAGGGAGCACGGATGGCATGCACCCCCAGACGGATGTGATCCAGGTGTACATCTACGAGAACCAGCGCTGGAACCCGCTGTCTGGCTACACTGCCCGGTGTGTGTTTGTGTGCAGGGAGCGGTGGGGCAGCGGTTAGCGCTACGCTGCGCGACGAACCCGGCAACACGAGCTCAATTCCCGCTCGCGGCCAACGCCGGTGATGATTATCTGAAACGGTTCTGGGCCTCCCCTAGGTCGACTCGCCCTCAAATGGGTACCTGGTGCGGTGTGTAAACATCGCCATTGGGGAGACAAAGGCGGCCGGGCGTGTTGCTGGCCACCCACCTCCCTCGTGTGCCGTGCCGGCCTTCGTAGGTGCTCGCTGACAGCACCTGCCCCAACACTCTGTTGAAGGCTATGCGGGGGATCTTTGTCTTATTTTTGCACTCATGCTTCCCGGCCGGGCGTCGCCGCTACTTTAGCGACGCGTTTGTTTGATCGCGACGCTTCTTAAGAGCCTCTCCAATCCGAGTGAAGTGATAGCTGGGCCCAACCATGCATCGCTAAAGTGAGCGATGCTCATAGTTGCTTTGTCGACCTCACTGCAACGAAACTGATTCCCTGCCGAACGTGCAGTGTGCCAGTAACATTTTCTCGCGTAAACTTTTATACAATTTCGTTTATTTTGTGATACATTTTTGATTATTCAAGGGTTTTCCTGTTACTCAGTTGCTATTGATTAATATGTAACTATTTATGTGCCAATTTAAACACTCTTTTTTTACTTGGCCCTGTGGTGTAAATTGCAGTTTCCAGCTCTTATTATATCCACTCTATCTCACCGGTCTATATCTGTGTGCTATGAAGAAGAGCCATTGCCAAAAAACCTCACCTATTCTATATTTTTGTTATTTTTAAGCCACAGTGTTATTGACGAGTCTGTTGAGTTATTTTGTTGTTACTGATGCGTGGATCGTTCGTAAGAGTCCCTGCAGTGCCTGCCATAGTTCTGTGGACCACTCCCCCACGGCCTTGCGGACCACTGCAGTCGGCGCGTACTGCGGAGGCTTTTTTGGGACTTTTGCGAGCGTGTGTGCTTTGTGTGTGCGTGGCATTTGTGCCCCCGTGTGACAGCGGCTTGCCGACTGATCGCTACATGTGGAGCGACATCACGGGGCTGCAGGAGCGTACAAAGACTCACACAAAGCCACCTTCACCACAGTGGACCTGGGTATATATACCTGCAATACCATATCCTAAAATCCTAGGCCTCACTTTAGTCCAGTGGTTCCCAACCCACAATTAATAATTATGGACCACTGTGCACCAATAACATTTTTCAAATATATAAATGACTCTTACCAATTCTAGCAATTACCAGATTCAGTCCAATAGCCAGCTGTGTTGATGGGTCATGAATAAAATATCAATAGTAGTACAGTAGGCAGTAGCATAGACCACTTCCCATAGCCTTGTGAAGCACCAATGGTCTGCACACCTCCTATTAGCACGGTTGGCTATGTATGGTGTGAAATAAGTTAAACATATATGCACAGTTTGCAAACAACTTCTCCATCCTTTACTCTGACAGCTGAGTCTTAATCCAGATGCAACCCGACACCTTATTGTCAACACATTAATTCTATACGGCAATTGTGTAACTCTTATTTACCCAAAGTGTTATGCCAATTAGGAATCCGAAACTGCGTTGAGAAAACGCCAACTACAGCATGTGTGCACAACATATTCGTTGCTGTTTGCCCACCTGCTTGTTTGCTTGTGTATGTGTACGTGTGTGTACGTGTGTGTGTGTGGGAGGAGCGGTAGTGTAGCAGTTAGCGCTCTGCGCTACGAACCCAGCAACCCGAGTTTGATTCCCGCTCACGGCCAATACCAGTGAAGATTATCAAATGAGTACCTGTGCAGTGTGTTTAACATTGCCACTATGGAGATAAAGGCGGCCGGACGTGGTGCTGGCCAACCACCCCCTCGTGTGCCATGTCGTGCTCGCTAACAGCATTTTCCTCGACAGTCTGTTAAGGCTATACGGGGGATCTTTGTTTTTTTAATCTTTGTATGTGTGTGTGTGTATGTACGTGTGTGTGTGTATGTGGAGAGCAGTAGTGCAGCGGTTAGCGTGCTGCGCTACGAGTGCAATTCCCACTCACGGCCAAACACCAGTGACGGTTATTTGAATAGGTCATGGCCCTCCTCTAGGTCGACTCAGCCTCAAATGAGAACTGGGGAGACAAAGGCACAACTCGCTAACAGCACTTTTCCAATATGCCTGTTAAAGCTATACGGGGGATCTTTGTCTTTGTGCGCTCGTGACCATGCAGGTGTCGGACTGGGCGGTGGATTTCGGGGTACCCGGGGGCACGGACCGCGAGGGATGGCAGTACGCCGCCGACTTCCCAGCGTAAGCGCCACTGCTCGCTTTGACCCATTCAATCCTCGTCGCTTCCTGCTGCTCTAAATGAGCAATGAGGCATCGGTGCTCACCCCCCGTTTACAGCCCTGTGACGGTGGTTGAAATGACACATTGATATGGTGGGATGCGAGTCCATCCATTGGACAACCACTGCCGGTTCAAGTGGTACTCAGTTTATCGACCCCGGAGGGACGATGGGCTGAGTGATCCCCCAACCAGGATTTTAACTTTTCCTATTGCGAGCCGCTCGCTCTGCCGCTGAACGACCCGGCTGGATTTGGATGGAGCCTTACAATTCCTGACATGTGTTGTCCCTCTTATGAGCACCACCAATGCGATATCGTGAGATGATGAGATGCGACCGATGTTCAGCATTGATGGCGAAAACGTAGCGTACACATACTTGGCCAGTGGTCGGCAACCCGTGGCTCCTGGAGCCGAATGCGGCTCTATGTGGACTGCTTCGTGATGTCATTGTGTACGTACGTATTCACGTGCATTGGCGGCTCTTGAAATATTGATTTTTGTACCGTATTCGACAAAAAAATAGCTCTTCTTGTTATTTTGGTTGCCGACCCCCATGCGAGATGTATAAACATTCCAGACGTGTGACAGAAATAAAGTAGGTTATGAATCGGTGCAACACGAGGCTTGCTGATGTAGTATAGCAGTGGAAGTGCTTATCACATCACAACACTCGCCCTGGCAGCGTTACCGGACTGGCGTGCTGTTTCTGTGTGCGCAGGCGGTACCACGGATACAAGACCATCAAGGATTTTGTGCGGAGGCGACGCTGGTCAAGGTAATTGCTTTAGATCTCTAGAAAATTGCACTGCAAGGTATTAAATGACGAGCATCATTTTTTTTTTACTGCTCTGCAGAGACGGCGGAGGGACGCTCTGTATTCATCGAACGCAAAAAAAACATGTTTCTCTTGGTGGGGACGTTCCCCTAAAGATTTCGCTCTTACGAATGAACAACATTTTGCCCCCGAAATTTAGAAAAATAGCATCCAATGGGAACCAACATCTTTTATTGGTAGAATAGTCTACAAGTTGAGTTCCGCATTTAAACTCGTTCCCCACGATAGGCACTGTCCCTCATACTGAATAAGAATGTTTATTTATACTGGAGAAATCCGATGAGCTATGAAGCTCTTTTTCACATTTGTTCAGTAGGGGCGCGTCAGAAAGTTACAACAACAAACAATACAAAAACACGATAGGAGTGCCAAGTATAGGAAAGGTAAACAAATCACAAATTTTAGTAAATTTTACTAGGTAAAGCCCAATGATCTATTAGCTTATTTTTCAGAAGCGACCTGGCAACAAATGATAGCACAATGAAGTGGCTTATCGCGTGGAAATTTATAGCAGCCAAATACTCTTAAACGCGTAATGTTGATTCTAAATATGGAGTGAAAAACCGGAGGACCCGGATAGACATGCAAATTCCAAATATACAAGCGTCAGGGTCCGCAACGAACCCCCGACCTCCTGCATACCAGGCGAGGGAGTCAACATCTCGCCACAGTGATGACAACATCTGTGGCTTCGCTGCGGCGACATCGCCGATCGGGCTTAATGACACTGATGACATCATCGCACTTGGTACCTAATCCTTACTCAATGCTTGCGCGGCCGAGGGCGCGCGGTGAAGTTACATCCACGCAAATGCGCGGCCAAGTGCTCTTGTATGAATGCATCGTGTCTGCAACGGGTTTCGCTGAGCGCGACGAGGTGGTGTGCAGGCGGTGCAGGTTGGTGACAAGCGGCCCGTGGCTGGAGGTCCCTCCGCTGTCGCTGCGCCACCTCTCCCTGAACGCCACCTCGCCACAAGCGCCCGCGGACTCCCCCGTCGCCCTCTGGGCCGTGAGCCGCAAGGGCGACGTGCTGTGCCGTCTGGGCGTCTCGCGCGTCAGTCCCGCCGTGAGTCGCCGTTCCCTAAGGCCGCAGCTGTCATCCGTCTTGGCGGTTTCAAGTCCACTTTTTATTCTAATTTTTTTTATTAAGTTGCAACAAAACACGAGGTCGGTACGTCACGCCGAAGGACTTCGATTGAAGGGGGTTTACAGAGAGTCCGCGGAAATTCCGATTCGGCGAGAAGGAGAGATAGAATTTGGGCCCGCTGCCCCAGCCAAATGGGGACCCACGCAGTGGGAGGGCAGGTGGAGATGGGGATTTAAATGGGGAAAAAGAGGGTAGAGGGGAGGGTGTTCAGCCCACTCTGAATTGTGTATGAAGTCGCATTTGTTCATTATACACTGTTGCACTTGGATAATAGTCCCTTGAGATGCAATTGTCTCATTTGCAAGTGCGTCCGACACGTAGCGTAGCAAACGTGTCATGAGAACACATGCAGACATTATGCATCGGTAACTTGCACGGTACGCATTCACGCAATGATTATAATCACGTGATAATTATCACTCCACATCAATAAATGCGTAAACTATTAAGTGATGCAGACCATCGGTTCGCATAGAATGCACTCTAGCTGTGATCGTTGGTGACGTGAGAGTGAGTTTTAGTGAAAGTTTGACATTGGTGTGACAAATTTCGATTTAAAGCTTTCGTGACTGCAGGGATTCATATTCTTGGTTCTTTCGGTAAAGTCACGTAGAAGGTAAAACAATAAAATAATAAAATAATAAACTATAATAAAAATGATGGTTGGTGACGTATAAAAATAAAACAAAATACAATAAAATTGTTTTATTTTTATTATTTTATTGTTTTCCCTTCTACGTGACTTTACCGAAAGAACCAAGAATATTGGTGGTACAGTTTCGTGCGTCTGGGGGGAGGCTATTCTGTGTTGAAGCAGTGGTGTGTAGAAGACGGTTGTGTACCTGTCGAGAAGCAGAAACCATCACCACGCGAACCCCGGTCATCCGCGTGACAGCGACTTTTAGCTCGCCGTCGAACAAAGATTGTCACCGCATCGCGTGCTTTGAGATGCGCTTCTGCGGCCGTCTGGAACGCTCTTCCTTCCGATATTAGGAAGCCGATGGAGCTATGCACTTTTAAATTATCTCGATTGAAAACTAATTTCTTTAGAACTGCTTCTTGTGTTTAGTTTTTGTTGCCTTTCACCTGCACCTCTGATTTGCACTGTTGGCTACACAAAGTGCGAAAGAAGTTCTGCAGACATATCTGTTCGGGTTTTGTTTTTATCAATAAAATTGGCCCGCCATTTTCCAAATGTAACTTAATATTCTACAATACAATGTGGTTAGAATTAGGTAACCAGGCACACCCCTATACTCGTACGACTGTGCAGTTGCTTCAATCTTTCACAGACAGCCATGTAGCAAAAAAATGTGTTGTGAAGATAACATTCTTAGGATCTTGCGACAGTGACACGGACCACATCCCCACGACCTTGCGGACCACAGGCTGGGAACCACTGCCCTCGGGTGGATGGAAAACATTCGGAAAACGATTTCACAAACCGTGATAAACATCTACCAAATTAAGACAAAAACAGAGCAAATGTCCCCCACCGACAATAGTTTGGAGGCCAACAGCTCCTGTTGAATTAAATGGTGTGCACCTCTACAGGCAGCTCGGGCTGTGGATACTCTCCTCCTGCTGCCAAAGAATAATATTAACCCTGCGAACAGCAAGGCCGTGCGTGTAGTAAACTTCACCCTGCAATTACTGCGGTAGGCCTCGGCTGCGCCTTCCATTTGAGGGACATTACAAAAGGAAAGATCTCTCCCTCCTCTGTGTTGCCGACGCAGGGAAGCAGCTGGCTGCACGTGAGCACGGACCAGCCGTTTGTCGCCGTGTCCGTGGGGAGTGGCGGCGGCGACGGCGTTGTGGTGGTCTGGGCCCTGGCGCTGGACGGCTCCGCCTTCCTGCGAACCGGAGTGTCGGACGCCAACCCAGTCGGTACGGTTCAGAGGTCGCAATCGGATACCCGATACCCGTACCCTACCCGATAATAAGTTAATACCTCAGTGGGCTTTGCCTGGTAGGATGGGGATTGTTTAGTTTTATTTGTATGGGTTTGGGTGATTTTTTTACCTTTCTTGTACGTTTACACTCCTGTCGTGTTTTTGTGTCGTTTGCTGTTGTAACGTTCTAACTCCGTGCCCCGACTGTACGTCTGTGAAAAAGAGCTTTACAGCTCATCGGATTCCTCCTCCTGCAGTCTAAATACTCATTCTGAATATGTCTGTCGGGGCTGTGCTGTGTTGTGCTTTTGAAATGTGTCCGGTGTGTTCAGGACAAACCTGGATCCATCTTGCTGCACCCACTAAACAGAAGCTCAAGCACATTTCTGTCGGGCCATCTACCGTGTTTGCAGTGGATGAGCAAAGTAAGTTGAGTCGCGCACGGGGGTTGCTGTGACTTGAACGTGATCGGCCGTGTCCATGTCGCGATGAGAATAAGGCACCTCCGATTAGCACGGTTAACTACGTATGGTGCGAAGGAAGTTCAGAATACTGTGCACTGGAGATGTTTTCATTATGTTGCATTGCTTAAGTGACTACATCACATTACAATTGTTTTGCTCAATACAGTCATCTCTTGTTATACATAAACTTAATATACCAATCTCGCGATAATGTAACTCATAAATTAGAAAAGGAATTCAATATACATTCCGTAAAATTTGCGTTTATGGAATCTTGAATTTTCTAAATTAGAATCAATCTTTTTTGGTGGTGCACTTTTCATATTGTACTGGTTTTCCGTGACATACTCTACAAGTTTCATACATGTCAACCCATACGGTTTACCCGTATTCTTGTGCAAGGAAATTGATTTTTAATGTCCATACGGTGTACAGCCGTTGCAATACGGGCAAAAACTGTTTTTGACTATTTGTTTGTGTTTCTCCCTTGTGATGGGACTTTGTAGGATGAACGTTGAGATTTATAAAGGGCACGGGGTGACCAATAAGGTCTGAATTGGTCTGTAATAAGGTAGGGTACTGACAGGGGATTGATAGGTATGAAGTTTTCTGTGCTCTTCACGCCATTGCCCAAGCTTGGCTTGTTTTGGTGGAGTCTTTTTTTTATTTCGTCAACTTATTTTTAGTATTTTCATATTTTATCTGGAAAAAATTATCGAATTTTCATCAAATATTTGCTTTAAAAAAATGTTCGCTGCATTCTTAAGTGTTGTGATTTCATGACGTCTTTGGGACTGAAAGTGTTTCCACAGGAACGCGTGTTCGATTACTTAACGGGAAGTCAATGGGAATACAGTAAAACCTCGTTATGTCGGTATTTGACCATTCGTAATTGGGGATAATTTGGCACGGCTGCACATTCGGCATATATACAGAATCAGTAATTCGCCATTAGCCGAATGGTCGGACCGAATGGTCTAATTCCGGCATACACGTGGAGCGACGCCACACGCCACGACCAAAACAACGACTCGGTCTGGTGGCGGCGCGCGTGGTGAGCGTCAGTGCAGACCACCCGTCGCTTTGGACTTTAACTTGTTTGTGCACTCTGTGTAAACCAACCCTCTCAGAAATGTCGTCTACACCTACATCAAGAAGTAATAGAAAGGGACTGAAGTAGAAATCCCTTAGTCTGCGAGACAAATACAAAGTTTGGGATAGAATTGATGCAGGTTGTGTGTCGATGCGTCTGGTGTGTGAAGAGTTTGTAAAACTAATTTTAGATTTTTTTTTTTATTGGGGCAAGAGGCACGAGGGAGAGGTACCATTGTACATAATTCAGAATATTGGATAATTCCGCAAGGCCAGAGCCCCATGTGTCGATTTAACAAGGGTTTACTGTATAGGGTTCGATAAACGGAATTTCACGTAACGGGCAACTTCTCCAGAACGTATCTGTTGCATATATTGAGTGGTGGCCAGCACTGCGATTCAGACTTGGGCAGCGCCTATGTCAAGAGAACAACCACGGCTTTAAAACGACTGCTGCAGAGCAAACAGGAGAGATCAATGGCGGCAATTCCGTTACGCCGCACCTCTTGTGCATGCAACGTCACGTTGCAACGACGAATCGCGGTCATTTTCTTAAACATGTTTAGTCTTTGCAATATATTTGAGCTCAAAGCGTTAATTATCGTGCGCTTTGAGACTGCCGTAATATTTGTGCACTTTCGTTTAAAGGTGTTCGTTTCCGGGGGTTAGATTAATTCCTCTAAATCACTTGCCGCCAAGAGGTGGAGAGCACGTGAAGTGGGGGCGGTGGTGTGGGGGAGTAAGTGGCGTGCCTTGTGCTTTGTTTGCACTTTACAGATCAGCTGTGGTTCCGAAGTGGCATTGAAGCGCAGGCTCCGTGTGGAACCGACTGGGAGATGGTGTCTCCCAACGTGCGACTCGTGTCTGTCGGGCCACAGAACCAGGTGCGGGAAGCCACTGGGAGCCGTGGCACTTGGAAATCTAAATTTGAAAACTCATTTCTTTAGAACTGCTTTTTGTGTTTAGTTTTGTTTCTCCATCCCCCGCGCCTCCGATTGGCTTGGTTGGCTACGCACGGTGTGAAAGAACTTCAACATACACACACACACACATGCATATGCACTCACTCCTTCGATGAAAAAAATCACACTCATTTGGAGAGGGTGCCCATCTCAACTTACTCACTTTGAGGTCCAGGTGTGGCAGCAGTGGCAGCAGTGGCAGCAGTGGCATGCTGTGGCATGCTGTGTGCGTGTGCTGTGTGTGGGGAGTGGTAGTGTAATGGTTAACGGCGCTGCACTACGAACCCGGCCACCCGAGTTCAATTCCCGCTCACGGCCAACACCTCAAATGACCTGGTGGCCGGGTGTGGTTCTGGCCGCCCACCCCCTTGTATGCCGTAACGGCCTTGATAGGTGCTCGCTAACAGCACTTGCCCCAACAATCTGTTAAGGCTATATGGGGGATCTTTGTCTTTGCTCTGTGTGTGTTTGTTTGTGTGCGTGCGCGTGTGTGCTACGTGCAGGTGTGGGGAATAGCAGATACTGTGCAGGGCAGTCAGAGCACGAGCCAGGGAGTCGTTTGCTGTCGCACCGGAGTGGGCCCTACCTCGCCCACGGGACAGTCCTGGGACTACGGCATTGGGGTGAGAGGGGTTGGGAGAGGTGCGAGTGGGGCATGAATCCCGCACCGGCACACAGGTGGCTCTGCTGCACACCTGTGAATCCAGCAATCCCTCCCCTACCCGTGGGAATCGATGTCGCCATCTCCTGGCGTGCCCGGATATGCCAGTAAAGCGAGTTGGACGTATGTATGTTGTACATGAAAACTCAATGTATTGGTCAATAACGCTTAAAACTAAATATATAGTTGGCAATGTTTCGGGTAATGCTTCTTATTAATAATAGCACATGAATGGATGTTATGTGTCATTTCTACAGGGATGACCAAGGTTCGTTGCTTTGGTCATCCCTGTAGAAAGGCAATTAACATAAAAATTAAGCACTACGTATGTTGAACTTTTTGAACTGTTTAGTTTGTTGTCCTTCCCCCGCACCTCTGATGAGCACGGTTGGCTACGTACAGCGCGAATGAAGTTCAACATTCATACATTGACAGTGGCTTCAGTTTGCAGGCAAAATGTAAGCCTTGCAAACTGATGATAATATAACAGGATGAACCTTGAGGTAATGTTTATTATTTAGGCATATATGCATATTAGCACTCAGAATTACCGGTTAAGAATTAACGTTTGTCAACGGCCCCCAACGAGTTGAAATTCCCGTGTCTCTGTACGTGTGTGTGTACGTGTGTCTGTACGTGTGTGTGCGTGTACAATGGCGGGTATTGGTGTGGGGAGTGGAAGTGTAGTGGTTAGCGCGCTCCGCTATGAACCCAGCGACCCGGGTTCGCTTCCCGCTCGCGGCCAACATCAGTGACGATTATCTGAACCGGTCGTGGGCCTCCCCGAGGTCGACTCAGCATCAAATGAGTACCCGGTGCGGTGTGTAAACATCGCCACTGGGGAGACAAAGGCGGCCGGGCGTGGTGTTGGACATCCACCCCCTCGTGTGCCGTGCCGGCCTTCATAGATGCTCGCTAACAGTGCTTGTCCCAACAGTCTGTTAAGCCTACACGGGGGCCCTTTGTCTTTGTGTGTGTGTGTGTGCGCACGTCGTGCTGATTTCCCAGGGAGGGTGGGACTACATCACGGTGCGTGGGAACTGGACCCAACCGCGGCTGCAAGGTGTGGAGGGAGACGCTGCTCCTGGGAGTAAAATGCCTCGACCGTAGTGCACCGTTTCCTGTCGACCTGCTGCTTGCCTACTACTGCCACCCTTTCATCTGGATTGAAAACTAATTTCTTTAGAACTGCTTTTTTGTTTAGTTTATTGTCCTACCCCCAGAACCTCTGATTAACATGGTTGGCTACATGCGGTGCGATAGGAGTTCAACATACACACACACACACACACGTACCCTCCATGCTGGCAGCCAGTGGCGGGCTCAGCCAAAAATTTCAGAGGGGGCAAAATTATGTCCACAAATAAAATTGACTGCATATAAATTACTTTTCATTATAATATTAAAAGTATCTCAAATGAAATACACATCAGGACGCATTTTATAGATCTATTTTAAAATGTTACATTTGTTAAAAACCCATTTCAAAACTGGTTCCCATCCTTTCTGGACCCGTGAATAGCTGTCAACTCCCAATATTTTTTTTTGCAGACCACCATGCAAGCAATAACATGTTTATAAATTAACCACCCCCCCCCCCATACTTTAACCGCAGTATCTGTCACGGCTCCACGAAGCAATTCCCACGATCTTGTGGGCCGCCTGTTGGGAACCACCGATAAGTGACCAACAAAATCGGGCGTGGGGGGGTTTACTACCCCGTTATCCGCCCCCCACTGGGTGTGCCATGGTGGCGAGATGTTAACTACCTCGCCTCGTATGCAGGAGGTCGTGGGTTCGATCCCCGACCCTGATGCCTGTATATTTGGAGTTTTCACGTTCTCGTGTGGATTTTTCTCTGGGTCCTCTCCATATTTAGACTCAACATGCGTTTTAGAGTATTTGGCTGCTTTAAAACTCCACAACACCAGCCACTTCGTTGAGCTATCATTTGTGATAGCCAGCTCGCTTTTGAGAAAGAGATACAGAGCTAGGTGGGCCTTACCTGCTAAAATAAAAAAAAATTATAAAAAAAAAACAAGGTGCCCCTTTGCTGACAGCCAGTAGCATTTCTCCACGGCGAACAGGGCGATCCCCCTTCTCCCCAGCCTGGCCTCGTCGCAAACATTCCCATAACCAAGAGCACGGGGCAGCATCCTCAAAGGGGTTGTGTTCATCAGAGCAGAGCCCTCGTTCTCCACTTCAAGCGTCACACGTTGCCAAGAACCTGACCTTTGACATGGAGTGCAGCCCGTACTCACGCCCCAAACTCAGAGGGGCATTAACGCGCCCAAACCAGCAGGAATGTATTTAGAGCACTTTGGCATTTGTAATGCCAGTTCCCACAGAACATTGCCAAGTACAAGTTGCTCCATTGTGCACTTTGGGTGAACAGCTCTCGCTTGCCTGTAAGCAATGGCATCTCCCCATGCATGGGAATAAAAACATATGCATCTTGCAATGGTTCATTTGCTGTGGTCAATCTCACCGACCGTAACCAACGGTTCAATATACTGTGATAACCACGGCAAGGGTTATAACGCGTAGATGTTTGTGCTGTTACAGTACTGTACTTGTGTATAGAACGCACATTTTTTAAAATGCAAGGCAAGGCCCTGCGTCGTGTTTTGCAGGAGGGGGAAGCCCTCCAAGCATCGGCTCCTCATGCGCTTCACTTGACGATCCCAGCGCTCCCCTGTGTCAACTTTAAGATGCCGAGAATTGACTGTCGGTCAACAATCTGAGCGATAGCACAACAGTCAGTGGAAGTGTCGAAGCGATCGTTACATTCTTTCAAACTGAACATGTGAAGGATGCCAGGGAGCAGAACTGATTCTGCCTCCCTCCCATCCCGGGGTGGGGGGGGTGTGCAACCTTTAGCGAATCTCCCAGCTTCTGCTGCAAGCCGAGAGGGGTGCCGCACAGACTTGCCGAGAACGCAACGAAGTGACGACCGCAAACACAAAAGTGGGTGGCGGCGTGTTCACGGGCGGCCACGTGTTCACGGGCGGCCACGTGTTCACGGGCGGCCACGTGTTCACGGGCGGCCACGTGTTCACGGGCGGCCACGTGTTCACGGGCGGCCACGTGTTCACGGGCGGCCACGTGTTCACGGGCGGCCACGTGTTCACGGGCGGCCACGTGTTCACGGGCTGCCAGCATTGCCCCCCTTGTTGTTCACGGACACTTGGCGCTCGCTGGCCCCGGTTAAAAAAAAAAAACCCTAGGATGCACAACCTAAATCGATACTGCCCCACGTGAGAGAAATCCATGTCCATGCACTGATGTCCATGCACTGATCCCCATTGCCAACAACAGCACTAAAGCAGAGCCTTCTTGAACCACCGCTCTGGATAGTTACTGCGAGAATCGGACTCGGTCCCCGTGCAAATCGTTAATTTCACCCTCCTGTGGAAATGACTACAGCCAGTTTGCAAATAAAGAGCAGGGGTGTGTGTTTTTGCACCCACGTTTGTCAGATGTACATTTTCTTAAACTTCCAAGTATTTTTAAATAAACGTAATGTAGAAACACTTCCGATGTGTCGTAGGTGATGTTACGAACATGCAGCTGGTTTAATGTTGCCAAGGATGGTTCTGGTGAACTGTACCCCTATACAGGGTGCTTCAAAGAAATGTTAACACTTATATGGGACTTGTTTTTCCTAGATTTGAAGTTTTCGTGATTGCAACAATCCATATTTTTTGGTTCTTTCGGTGAAGTCATACGTAGGTGAAAAAATAAAATAAGAATAAATAAATTAAATCACGACGTGTCTATTGCAACACAAGCAATCATGATCAGGTGTGACAACCACATCAATAATTTTTTTTCTGAAATGGGCGAGAAGAAAAACATTTCTTGTTGCGGTTGTCACCTGATGATGATTGCTTGTGTTGCAATAGACACGTCGTGATTTAATTTATTTATTCTTATTTTATTTTTTCACCTACGTATGACTTTACCGAAAAAAACAAAAATTACTATTGTTTTTAATGGAAAAAGAACAGATAAAAAAAGTATGTTAATCGCTTCAAAAAGTCAAGAGTCTCCACTTGTTCGCCATCATTGTCAACACGTGGCCTGGAATCTTCTCCAGGTGGTCTCCAGAGCCCGGAGGCACATTTATTGTGGTGTTGTTGCAAATTCTCTTTAGTGTTAACATTTTTTTGAGGCACCCTGTATTATACCATGCTTTCTTGTGAACACGCATAAATAAAACTAAAATATTAACGGAATAAAATCCATGTTATACAACATGTGATACCATGTGGCATGCACGAATGAGTGGAATTGTGTCGTGTACGTAAAACGGCAAAATTTATATTTGATTTTTTTTCATTTCGCAAGGTAAGGCCCACTGAGCTTAACAGCTCTTTTTCAGAAGCGACCTCGCCACAAATGATAGCTGAACAAAGTGGCTCATTACGTGGAAATTTAAGGTAGCCAAATCACCCAAATGCATGTTTCTAAAAGTGGAGGCAAAAATCGGAGGAGAAAAAAAATCCGCGCGATTAGTGAGAGAACATGCAAACCGCAAATATACAGGAGTCGGGGTTGGGATCAACCCAGACCTGCATACCAAGCGAGGTAGTTAACATCTTGCCACATTGCATCCGTACACATCATCCCCAGCTGCTGCTGCAACACTCACAGCGTTGCGATCTCAAGGAAAAGGAACTGAATTCACTTCGCATTTAAGTTGTCGCCACGGTGGCAAGATGTTAACTCCTTCACCTGGTATACAGGAGGTCGTGTTCTCCCTGTGATCGTGTGGATGTTTCTCTTGGCACTCCGGTTTTTCCCTGCACATTCAGAAACATGCGTCTAGAGTAAGAATAGGTTTTCCCCTTTTTTCTGGCAACAAAACAGCTGTGTTAAGATTGTTAAACACCAAACTGAAACATTTTACAAGGAATCATGTCTGCATTAACCACAATACTTGTGATCAGAATGCAAACAAAAAAACACTAAATATATGCATTGTCTTTGAAACTGATTGGTTCGAGCCTCGTCGCTGGTGTAGACCAATCAGTTTCAAAACAATGCATATATTATCAGTGTTTTGTTTGCATTCTGACCACAAATATTGTGGTTAATGCAGACACGATTCCTTGTAAAAGGTTTCAGTTTCGTGTTTTAACATCTTAACACCTGTTTTGTTGCCAGAAAAAAGGGGAAAACCTATTCTCATATTTTGGTACTGGCAAGGAGGTCCCATGATTCGTTTGGAGTATTTGGCTGCTCTACATTTCCACGAGATAAGCCACTTCGCTGAGCTGTTATTTGTGGCCAGGTCACTTCTGAAAAAGAGCTATACAGCTCAGTAGGCCCTTACCTGGTAAAGTTTTTTTTAAATGCTTAAGTTCACAGATCCCAAACCTCGTAGCCAAACGTGAAACCTCGCTCCACTGCAGCCCCTGAGGTGAAAACCAACTCGGAGTCACGGACCACGAACGAGAGGTGGGCTTGCGACGGACACACGCCTATCAGGATTTACGGCCAGTCGATGAAATTGATGACGGAATGGCAGTCAAAGGAGAGGACACGCATCTGAGAGCACGACCACACTGCAGAGATGGTTGGGAGGTTGATTCAGCGGTTGATTCAGCCTATCATTCAGAAGTTTTCGTGACTGCAAGGATCCATACTCTTTGGTTCTTTCGGTAAAGTCACGTAGGGGAAAAAATAAAACAAGAATATAAATAAATTAAATCACGACATTTCGATTGCAACACAAGCAATCATCATCAGGTGTGACAATCACAGCAAGAAATGTTTTCTTCTCTCCCACTTCAGTAAAACATGTCTTGCTGTGATTGTAACACCTGATGACGATTGCTTGTGTTGCAATCGAAACGTCGTGATTTAATTAATTTATTTTAAATTTTCACCTACGTGACTTTTAGTTGTCCTATGGATAGACTTACCCCCCGCCATAGGAACGTGGAAATTCCACCATTGATTCAGGGCTGTAAACGGGGGACGGTAACTGCCTCAATGTTAATTTGAGCTGGAAATCCATTTGTGACTTCTCGGTTGAGAGCAGGCCATGAAGTAAACTATATAATGCAGTAGTTTATTGCTTATAGAGGTACAACCAAAATCCTAGTGTATTTTACATATTTACCAGACATTTCATTGCTCATAAATAGCAACACATTTACAATGCCGATGACGTTTTGTTTCGTGGGAATCCGGTACTGCAAATGCTTTGTATTAAACTGCTTATAAAACGTTTTCTTTTTACAGAAACCTAAAAGTCATTCTAAAGATAGAAATATTAGAATGCTAAAGGTGCCGCTGATAAGAACTCTGAAATGCAAAGAACATAACAGAAAAACGACGCACTTCCGTGGACCACAAGCAACTAGATGTTTGCAACACCGCAAAGAGTTAATGTCATTCTTCCAGTGCATAAAACTTCTACTATTTAAACGCAGGCGACAACTTCACTGAAACATCCAATCACTTGTGCTTAACTGGGTGAGAGCTCGTTACAAATTGGCATAGTTTTAGACCAGAGTAGCCATAATTATATGGTGACAGTAATTTATTTGGAAGTAAATTCTCAACCTTTGGGGGGTCTTGTAGTCATCATCACCAAACAGTTACGTGGCACACTGCTCAGTCTATGCAGACATTACGAATATAGAGGCAGTAATCAAACATTTATTCTACATAAATTGGCCAAATAAGGCTCCCCAATGGTGTCTATGAGGATACCCAGCTGGCAATATTAATCTCAAACATTCTCAGTTGCTCTGGATTATATCAGTATTCCACTTGTTAAAATACTATACACATTTTTGGCATCTTTAAATGTCAGTCTCATTTTGAATTCGATTAAAGATGCTAAATGCCAACACAACGGTTACAAAAGGTTTTAGTTCAGGGCAGAATTCCTCACGTCAAAGGTCTGTTCCCTGGTGTTAACGATTTCCATGAACCATATAAACGAATTGTAAGTCTTGGCTCGGTCACCAAATATATCTGCACTCAACTCGGTCAAAACCAACTCGGTCACACAGCAGTGAATGTTTTTTTTTTTACAAATGCCAATGGACTGTCCTTGGGGAAAGGATGAAAACAACTGTTGGTGATGAGTAAACCACTGGAAGCAGTGGTGCTATCCACACAAATGCATTCTTATCAGAATCGGTTACAATGAGAAAAATGCTTCAACATTAGACTGGCACCAGCAGCACGCACTGGCCGAAGTTACTTTAATAACGCCTAAAAAAAAAGACCTAAAAATATATTAAACTTGCAGAAAGCACAGACCACACACCGCGAAAAGAAAGATATCAGACTCTACATTCAATTAATTTGTTCTCGTGGATGTTTCAACAAAATAATAGCTGCTCGAATTGCCAATGGCTATTCGCTCTATACAACAATTGAGATCAATGTTTTTGTTCAAAATCAATTAAATCACAAGCTAATGTACACTCTACAAATACAAAACAGTTGGCTACATTTACATCCAAATTTTGTTCAAACATCCGTTCCAAGCACTACTTACTGTACAAGTGTTAAAATATATTTATATATTTTTAATGAACAAATCACTTGTATGCACTGGGTGGCAAAATTAACGTTTTCAAAACCCAGATATATTTAGGCCCTTTTTTAATACAAATAATTAAATCTAAAGGTAATTCGTGAGTTTTTACTCCATGACATAACAGACAAAAGGTGGTCCCCTAATGCGGGCCACCTTTCGCTTAAAAAGTGCAGAATGTCACAAAACTTTGCCCCATTTCTGCACATTTTCTTTCCCCTCCTTCCAACACCGAGATTTGCATCAGCAATTGCACCTGACACCTCCCCCATTTGTAAAACAAATAAACCGACGCATAATCCTGAAATAACAAAGAAAATGGCATGTGCAAATGCAAAATGAACAGGGAAACGGCAAGAAACCTCGAGATACACACAGCGCGCGACCGACACGGCACGCCGAGTCTAGTAATGTTGCGAGGAAATGCGAACGATACCAATTCCCAAACGGGACGAAGCCTCCAAGTGTCAAGAGGCGTATCACAGGAGTGGGGAGGAAGGCTCGGGATGGTGTGCGGCGCCTGCCTGACTGAGGCTGTGAATGCACTGCGGGTCGGTGGGCGGAAGCAGTGTGAGCGACTCCACGCTCAGTCCGTCGCTGCTGTCGTCCATCAGGAGGGAGAGCGTCGGCTGCTGGCTCAGAGTCAAGCTGGGAGGCAACGCGAAATCGTCTTCTGACGCCGGGGCAGGCGCGGCGCCGGAGGTCTCGGGCTGCTCCGAGTCGCCGTCACTTGCAACCTGTGTCTCCTGCACCCTGGCTGTGCCCGCGTTGCCAGCTGCAGCTGCTCGGAATGCACACACACACACGTTGTGTAACACACACATAATGTGTAGCACACACACACACACAATGTAACACACACACACACAATGTGCAACACGCACACACAATGTCCAACACGCACACACAATGTCCAAGACGCACACACACAATGTCCAACACGCACACACAATGTCCAAGACGCACACACACATTGTGCAACACGCACACACAATGTCCAAGACGCACACACACAATGTAGCACACACACACATGTTGTACAACATGCACACACAATGTGTAACACGTTGTGCAACACACACAATGTCCAAGACGCACACACACAACGTGCAAAACGCACACACACACACACTTTGTGCAACACACACACACACAATGTACAACACGCACACACACACACACACGTGCAACACGCGCACACACACGTTGTGCAACACACACACACACGTTATGCAACGCACACAATGTGCAACACGCACACACACACACGTGCAACGCGCACATAATGTGCAACACGCACACACACACACGTGCAACGCACACATAATGTGCAACACACACACACACAATGTCCAAGACGCACACACACAATGTGCAACACACCCACGCACACAACAGACACCATGACAAGTATCTGACGTTTGCCTCAACCAACGTGAGACTCGGAATATTGATTGGCAACAATTTCATTTTAAAAAAAATTCGTGAAGATTATTGAATTGGCAGCAGACCAAAAACTTCTAATCTTTAGGGTGCAGAGGCAAGCAGGAATATATGTTACCTTATACACATGCTGTACAAGTACATAATACCTTAGCTAAATCTGTTTTATTTACAGACGGTCCTTTGAATTTGACCAAAAGATAATTGCATATTTCCACAATGTATCCCGAGGGTAAAATAAATCGTATTATTGAGAATGCACACAGACACGCAAATGTACAATACAGTAGTCCCTCGGTTTAAGTTTTTAATTCGTTCCATGAAAACTACTGTAAACCGAAATAACTGTTAATCGAATATAATAATTACACGAGTCTGCAAGAGAGCTGTTTCTACTGCCAAAGCAGAAAAAACCACGATGTAAATAAACCAAGCCAGTCGCGAGGTCTGAAACGGCTCACGAATGGGCGTCGTGAATTGGCCGAGGGCGTTGCTCAGCCCCTGCTGAACGAACGCTTGGCTTGGCCGAAATTGGCGCCTGCGTGCATATCGTAAACACGGTGCCGTCACATCAACATTTCAACGCCAATGTCACTGTTAACCGAGGGACTACTGCACCCACATAACAGCAGAACTGTAATGAAACAATGACGCAACGGGACTTTTTACATGGGGGCGGAAACAAAGGTCAAACAATGACCTTTATTGTAGCCAAAATGTATCCATTCCGCCATTTGAGTGACGTTGAAGCGAATTGTGAAATCCACCGCAGGGTGGTTGCGGGGGATGGTGGCGATGGGGGGGGAGGTGACTTTCATGACCGCTTCAACGCTGGAGAACGGAGATTTCCAAGGTTTTGATCCGTGTGATCAGGGAGTTTAAACGACTGTGGGGATTGTAAATGAAAGGGATTACTGGGGCCTTGCTCGCCACAGGAAATGGGGCACGGGGCAGCAGAGGGTTTATGTCGGTGAGCTGCATTTAGATTGCTTAAGATGATTTAGATTATTTGGCTGCTTTAAATGTCCACGTGATAAGCCACTTTGTTGAGCTATCATTTGTGAAAAAGCTAATAGCTCTGTGGGCTTCACCTGGTAAAATAAAAATTGTGGGTTTTTTTGCGATTTGGTTACCTTTCCTATGCTGTGCCCCGCTATCATATTTATTGTTTGTTGTTGTAACGTTGACCCACCCTTACTGGATGTCTGTGAAAGAGCTTCATAGCTCATCGGATTCCTCTAGCATAAATAAACCTTCCCATTGTTTATTAAAAAGTTCACGCACCGTAGAAAAATAAAACATTCGACGATACTAATAATGAAATACATTAGGAAGCTAACAAGTTTACTTAACATTGCGTCAGCTAAAAAAAAATGTGCAAAGTGACCGCAATTGGCCAAACATCCCCAATGCCAAAAATGTACCTGCAAAATGATGCGATTAGGGTTACAGTGACCGCGACTTTAATAGAAACCTGGCAAGACCTTCCTGTAAACGGAGACTCTGCGAGGGTTTCCTGGGTAAACAAGTGTCATGAATAATAATAAAATAACTAGAATATATGTTAATGCATACTATGCGATGTTAAGTTCTCACAATTTGAATTATATCTAAATTACTCATTTTGAGAAAAGTTTATATTATCCACACGGGGAGGCAAATTTGTATCAAATATATTTTTTACCCAATTTGAGTTTTAACACGCACAAAAGTGATAAGTTAACTTCAGCCCAGAATCAGACAATTACAGGGGAATCCACTCACCACCACAACCCTGTACCAAACCGGGTTAGAAAGGTAATTTATCTGTCAAATTATTTTTTTTATGAAATAATGCACCTGGAGGAAGCATTGACTCATCAACAGTCCCACACCACTACCCACAAATACATCTGGGCTAATAAAGTGATGTGGGCAGGGGAACGAACGCAGGTTCGCCATCGGGATTGACAAGTGTTCAGACAATTCACTGCCGTATAAGCTCCAAGACTTATACATTTTACGGTTCGTTTAAAATGCATGTTGAACTTCTTTCGCACCATACGTAGCCAACCGCGCTAATCGGAGTTGTGGGGGGGAAGGACAACAAACTAAACACAAAAAATAGTTCTAAAGGAATAAGTTTTCATTCGAGATGATTAAAAAGTGCATGGCTTCAGTGGCTTCCTAATATCAGAAGGAAGAGCGTTCCAGATAGCCGCAGAAGCACATCTGAAAGCGCGCGATGCAGTGACCGTCTTTGTTTGATAGTTAGCCAAAACCCGCTGCTGCGAGGATGAACGAAAAAGCACACTGGGTACGCCCACTCTAGCAATTTACAAATAAATGCACTATTTATTTTAAATTATTTTCTCAAACAAATTCCAATCATTATAATTGTCGGCTCTTCATCGCTGTCGTTCAAAAGCTACTGGATTGATCTGGAAGTCAATAGAAGCTAATCGCCAAGTGACATTAATTTGAAGCGGAGTGCAATCATGAAATCTTTAAATGACGCTTTCAATTGGTGTCTTTTCAGATTATTTGACGTCGATCAAATGTCGCTATTAATTAAGCGGTGCTTGAGTGAAATGCGTACATTTTTTACGATCGACGTCCAATCAGAATTTGCACGATTCTCGTGAAATCGGCAGCATTTTTTTTACGCTGCATGTTTGAGCTAAGCACAGTGAAATGGACAGCACGGGTGATTGGAGGCAGAGATCTTTAATCTACGGGGGCCCACACTACAACTGCTCAGCACATTTACTCGGCAAAGCCTCACCGGGTCTCACGACTCTTTTTCAGGGAGATCCTGGCCAAGCGTGCCAGGTGTTCTCAGTAGCGGAGCGATGATTGCTATATACATTCCAATTAAGTAATTTGCAGGTACATTTTTTAAAAATTGGTCAATTTGGACCGTGGCGCCGACCACCCAATGGCTCACTCTTGCGAACGTCACAGGAACTTTAACGTTCCCCTGTGCAGCAGACGACGTGTGGTACACGTTTATGGTTCATAGCACACCGCCTGCGGTATTAATTATGGTGACCGCTTTTGCTGCGTGATGTGACTGAATGCAGTGGCATTCACTTGCTTGTAAAAATAAAATGTTCACTTTGAAAGCAAGACTGCTATTTTTGAATCAATCGTACTTTGTTTCGAATTGCTTCGCAGTTTGCTCACAGGTTTTTTTTATGGTACGGTTCTTCATAATTGAGATGGTCTCATCGTATTATTAAAATGCCGTACTGTCGTCTTGTTTACTTGGCTGTGTTATTTAGAACTTGCGAGGCAGAAACAGAGGTATTTTGTAGCTCAATCAGAATCAGAAGTTATACTGGAGGAATCTGAGGAGCTTTAAAGCTCTTTTTCACAGGTGTCCAGTAGTTACTCAAGTTACAGTGCGGGCTTCTTGAAAAATGGACATGGGTCTTCATTTAAAATCGGCGAAATGTGACCTTTGCTGGGTTAATTTTCTGTTGCTCGTGTGAAAACTCAAATTGAGGCTGAATACGTTGGGACGCTGACCTTCAAGGTCTCATTTATTTATTTATTTATTTATTTATTTATCCCACCTGTTTACCCAGAAAGCCTCGCCGACCTCTCAAGACTTTCAGCAGGGCCCTGCTAAGTTTTTTGCAGCACGGGGCAACGATTGCTATGTTTCCCGATGACTAATAAGAGATCCAATTGGACAGCGATCTGGGTTCAAAACCTGGAATTTTCCATTCCCTCCATGTGCACACCCAAGATGAGGCACAATGCCAAGTTTTGGAAGGTCAAATTTGTTAATGAACATTTTTCTTTGCCCATGAAAAAAGCTAAAGGTGTAAGCGACAACTTAGAGTGTTCATAGAAGATGCAAAACACCGAATGCGAATAACCAACCGACCAAAGAAAAAAATCAAAACTTTACACAAATACGTCAAAATTAAATGGAAATTAATAAGAAGCGTATTAGATTTGTTTTCGAAGCGAAGCCGCTACTGCGGTAAAAATGAAGCTACCTGCCCGCGGCGGGGGGGGGGTCTCCCGCTGGGGCCACTCTAGCGGCCTCCTCCTCCTCCTCGCGTGCCGCACATCACCAAGGGCAAGAGCAGCCATCAGCCAACACAGCTCCCGACTGCTCTAGGCACGTACGCACGTTGAACTGCCTTCCGCACCGTACGTAGTCAACCGTGCTAATCGGAGGTGCTTTAACACGAGTGAAACGTATCGTATGAGATCAGTCATTATCATTACGCTTGCTTACCCACGAAAAAGCCTCGCCGAGTCTTAAAGACTGTAATTCAGGAGTGTCCTGCCAGGATTTCAAAGTAGTTGTCGTGCGTTTCCCAATCACATGATTTTTTCCCCTCCACAATTAGAATCAACATCACGCGTTCACAGTATTTAGCTGCTATAAATGCCCACGTGACGACAAGCCACCTCGTCGAGCAACCATTTGTGAAAGCCAGGTCGCTTCCGGAAAAAGACCAATGCAGCTCAAAGGGGGCCCTTACCAGGCGAAATTAGTAACGGTTTGTAACTTCTGAAGAATCGCTTTGTTGTACGAACTGAAGTGCGTTGTACCTGTGAAGCCGGCAGAGCAGCCGGAGGAGGAGCTGCCCCCCGATGGACGGCGGCTGTGCGTGCCGCCGTCCGCCCCTGCCCTGTCTACGCTCCTGTGCCTTTGGGGAGGAGGAGGGCTACCCTCAAGCACGCCTCCCAGGCGGTGAGGCAAACCGTGGGACGACCCCTGCACGGACGAACTCGCCGGGCTGTCCTGCGACGAGGCGCCACTGCTCTGCTGACGAGCCACTGCAAATCCTGGAGGGGTAAAAAAAAAAACATTCCGGTGCCGCTACAGATGTTGCATGACGCCACTTGTCTCGATCGTACAATTTTAATGTACAATTTTATTGAGGGACTGTGTGTTGTTGTCTTGGTGTGGTCTGGGACTGTTTTTGCTGTTGTTTTACTGCCTTTCCCAAGCTTGGGAAATGATGATGCAATTTTAATTCATAAACTTTATTTAGTTATTTAAGGGGCACCACAGTGGTGTCATCTTATCTTCCTCGCCTAGCACGCAGGAGGTCGGGGGTTCAAATCGCAAGCTGTATATTTGGAGTTTGCATGTTCTCCCTGTGGTCACGCGGATTTTTTCTCCGGGTCCTCCAGTTTTTCCCTCCACATTTAGAAACATGCATTGAAATTATTTATATTATTGTGCTGCTATAAATTTCCCCATGATAAGCCACTTTGCTGAGCTGTCATGTGTGGGCAGGTCGCTTCTGAAAAATAAGTTAATACCTCAGTGGGCTTTACCTGTTAAGTTAAAAGTAATTTTGTTTTATCTGTATATTTTTAATTGATTTATTTACCTTTCCTCTACTTTGCACTCCTATTGTGTTTTTGTGTTGTTTGTTGTTGTAATGTTTTCATCCGCCCCCACTGGACACCTCTGAAAAATAACTTTATAATAGCTCATTGGATTCCTCCAGGAGAAATAAATATTCTGATTCTCTATTATGAAAGTACCAACTTTCAATGAGCAGCAGCAAACTGTTAATATTAGTTATTTTTTTTCTATTTTTTCCCAACATTTAAAAAAATGATTGCATCACGTGTCATTCATTGCTTACCATCCCTGTCCAAAACGCACAACGAGATGCCGCACGCAGCACCAACAACGTCATGGAGAGCAGTGTGGCGCAATTTCCTCGTCCGAAAATGCTGCGATCTATTTAGCGCTTAGCATTTGTATCGACGGGTTTTGGGCAACCCCTTTTGATGATTTGCCCGTGTACTCCATTAGGCGAGTCTCTGAGAGCAATTTAAGTAAAGGGTTGTTGCATGTGGTGCTATCTTTTCGAGAGTTATCGTGACTGGCCACGCTACTAATTGCATACCCACGTGTGGAAAAATGTCAAATGCTTTCAACCACAGTTGCAGAGCATTAAGAGGTTGTTATAATAATAACAACAAACAATTGCGGAAACACAAACTAAGAAAATAAAGCCAATTCTTATTTTTTTTTATACGGCTCATACTAGATGAAGAGCAACGACTACAATTTCATATTCAGGTGGTCAAGCCAGATAACCCCGTCAGGAGTAGCAGTGTGTATCTTGCTGTGATGTCTCCCTCGTATTTGTGGATGGGGTATTGCGTCGTTATACGTTGCTGTACGGTCTATTCTGTATAACCATAGTTGCACACTACTGGAGAGTTTTTTTTTCTATTTGTGCATCAGGTATCTGCATGTGCCATGGTTTGTGCAGTGGAAGCGGGTTAGGGTGACTCATGAGCTTCATGGAAAATCAATCCCAGGAATCTTTTGCGTTGGGTCTTTCACAACGTGGTGTTTGCAAATGAATTTGAATTGCATTCAGCTCTCCAAGCTTCATTGTTGAAGGTTAAGCGCATGGGTCCAAAAGCCAATGGAGCTATCTTACGATCTGCCGTCTTATTTCACTTGTGTTCTTTTCAGATCAGTGCTCGGTCCTTTGGAGTTAACCGTAATTGTGCGCCTACTATTTAGGAGCTCCCTCATCGCTAAAAAGCACGGTCTGTCAGCGGTGACTTAAGCGAGTTGAGGGCTCATACCAGGAACTCTGTCGGTGGAGGTGAAGGACGAGCGTGGGTTCGCGTGGTCGCTGGACGCTCGGCGCGAGGCTTCGTAAAACCGGAAGGGGAGCCCCTGGCTCCCAGTTCCGCGGAATCCCAGGTTCCCCGATCCCTCCGGCGACGGCTGCACCGGCAGCTCCAGCAGCGCTGACGGCACGAGCGCGGCGACGGTGGAGGAGGCAACGGCAGCGCACGCACACACGGCAGGACGGAAACACACACATGGCAGGATGCGGGCCAATTATGACACGGTCACGTCACAAGTACGGTCCGTTCTCTCCGAGAACGCTGCACGCTGTCATTCCGTGGATTGGATATAAACGTGATGAAGGCATTAGGGAACGCATTCTTGCATAACGCGGATGCAATGCGACCGAGTGAACGGAACGACGTCGCGCGAGTAGGAATTTGTCCTTCGTTGTCGGCTCACCGGCAATGCGCTGCATTTTAATGTGGCGTGCGCGCAATCGGCCCTTGGCCAGACGCTGTTTGGCAGCCATGCAGCGGATGTGGTCGTCGAACTGGAACGTGGCTTGCAGGAGGGGCAGTGGCCGCGCATGCGCCGGAGAGCCTGGCTTGTGGATTGTTACGTGAAGAGAGCGGTGGTCTTCCTTGTCGCCGGTCACTTGCAGGTCCTGCCACGAAACACCGGCGTCCAACGAAGGGGGTGAACGTTAATATACGTGGACTCTCAAATGCGACCGAGAGTGAACATGAACCTTCATGTTGCAATAATAGGGTTTTTCCCCTTTTTTTTTTCATGTTACACTTGTTCACTTGAGGATAAGGATTTGGAATATATTAGGCATGTCAATGCGGAAGCATCTCAAAGCACCTGGCTACCTTCCCACTTGTCTGCGGTTCATCGCGCCTCCGGATCGTTCTCCCCCTCTCTCTTGGACAAGTGAGCAAATATTGTGCTGTACGATACAAGTTGAAATTATAAAGTGTTCCCCCCCCATCTTTAAACTCAGGTGCACAGTGTTCAGGGCTAAGATCCACGGAGTTTCTGTACCCGCTCTCTGCGGCAGGGTTTGTGCTTTGCACTGGGATCCTATTGAAATATAACAATAAATATTTGTAAACATTGTTATTAACCCATTCCCTTTCCCGTTTAGAGATGTCTGCAAGTTGCATGGTGGGTGTCCCGTTCACCGCTGAATCTCGGAACACGTAAGTGGCACAACGCTCATTTTATTTAGAGAGGCGGAGCGACGTTTTTAAAAATATTGTTCTCACTCCAGAGAATTGTAGCGACACGACCGCACTCTACAATGACTGGCACCAAACTGTGCCACACACCCTTCACGCATGGCCTTGTGGGGAGCCTCGGTACCGATAAAGTTATTTTATTTTAGTTTTTCTTTCAATTCCGGTCCGATGACATTAAGACGCGCGGTGCCAATCTCCCGTTTTCACCCCTGAACCGCCGCTGGCGTAAATTTCACATCCTTGTGGCGAGTGTGCCTGGGGCCAATCTTCGTGCAGGACAACCACCGTTCACGCAAAGCGGTACTCATGTTTATCAACCGTATTGCTGTTATTATACTATTTTTATTTTGCCAGGTAAGGTCCACCGAGCCATATGATGTACATGTAGGTCATCGGAACGAGAAAGGGTTCAAAGTAACGGCACGGAGCATGTGTCTGTCTGCGGGTGGCCGGGGCAGCACCTGGAGGAGGCCAGCGAAGCGTACAGCTCCCCAGCCAAGACGCTTCTCATCGGGTTCCACGAGCAGCACCTGGTACACATCCACGACGAGGAACCGGCGGACACGGCCGCTGTCCCGCTCGCTCACCACGCACGACAGCAGGTCGCTGTTATCTGGCTCGCGCACACGCACACGGATGCAACCTGTTAGAATGCTTGAAATGTCAGAATCATTCAAATCTGTATTTAAACTGGAGGAAAACGATCCGCTCCAGGTGTCCAGTATGAGCTGGTCTGCAAGTTGGCCCACAAGGTGGCTCAGCGGTTGAAGTGAGTGGCTCGCAATCGGGAAGGTTGGGAATTAACATTTTTGAGGGTGTCGACTCATCATCACTCGAAGGTTGATGGGGTGCCACGGTGGCGTGATGATATTAACTACCTCGCCTGGTGTGCAGGATGTCGTGGGTTAAATCCCGACCCTGACGCCTGTATATTTGGAGTTTGCGTGTTCTCCCTATCGTTTGCGTGGATTTTTCTTTGGGTTCTCCGGTTTTTCACTTCACATTTAGAAGCATTCTTTTATAGTTTTTGCTGTAAATATCTACAGGATAAGCCACTTCGCCGATGTATTTATTTGTGGCTAGGTCGCTTATGAAAAAGAACTACATAGCTCACTGCACCTGTACGTGGGCCACCGTGAATTTAATTCGGCCTCGCCCTTCAACGCTGACATTGCCGAGCCGCGCTCAACACCGGTGGCTCCAACAACCCGCGGGCCGCGGACTACTGGTGCTCCGCAATGTCGTGGAGAAGTGCTGAGCAGTGGTCTGCGCAACGATTGCACGCTTATTTATATTACACGCCATAGAATTTATTGCACAGTGGTCCGCCAAAGTGTTTTGTGAGGATTGACAGTGACCGGCGGGTTTTCCGAGAGGCCGGGGGGAACCCCCGCCCCACACCGCTATATGTTTTCCACGTCACTCACTGAGGTCCAAGACGTCTTCAGCTTTGATGAGATCTTCAGCCCTTGTGAGGGGGAGCTGCATCTCGGGTTCCGAGCGCAGCGCCAGGGACAAGCTGCGCAGCATCAGGAACACTCGCATGGCCTGTCGAAAACCACACGCGGCAGCAGTTGCAAAAAAATGTAACTGGAAAATGAAGCATATCACTGTGACAATATTATTAATGTTCGAGGCTGCTTTGCAATACAGTGGGTGGCTTGCAATTGGAAGGTTTGTGAGTTAAATCCTGGTTGGAGGTAGACTCAGCCCATCGTCCCTCTGGGGTAGATGAGGACAACTTTGTGGGGAAGTCAAGATTGGCTGTCTGAGGGATAGTCTTACCCCCGCCATAGCTATGAGGAATTTCCATCACTGGCTCAGGGCTGTTAACAGAGATAGCAACGTTTCATACTCCCGCGAATGAGCAGACATTTTGACATTTGAATGTGAGACAATGCACAACTTACAGATAAAAACTACACATATTGCGACTTCATGTACCAAGCAAATACCTGAATTCTACACGTGTGAAGATGACAACACAATCAATCTTGGAAGCACCCAAAACAACAATGGAGCACCCCGGTATAAAATTATAATTACACAGACATTCAGTTGAATGCGTCACATGCCCCTTAAAGCACACGCTTCATTTGTTAGTTTTCAATATAAAATACAACGGGCTGGAACAGTGGCAGTCAACTCAGGTTTATAATGTCAAAATACAAAGAGATCACATGCCCATGCCTCTCGTCAACGCGTTGCGTGTAAGGCATTTGTGTCGCGTTGTCAATGTGTGTGTTTTGTGTAGTAAGGGATCTATTTCACAGTGTATCTGTGTGTTTTGTGTAGTAAGGGATTTATTTCACAGTGTATCTGTGTGTTTTGTGCAGTAAGGGATCTATTTCACAGAGTATCTGTGTGTTTTGTGCAGTAAGGGATCTATTTCACAGAGTATCTGTGTGTTTTGTGCAGTAAGGGATCTATTTCACAGAGTATCTGTGTGTTTTGTGTAGTAAGGGATTTATTTCACAGTGTATCTGTGTGTTTTGTGCAGTAAGGGATCTATTTCACAGAGTATCTGTGTGTTTTGTGTAGTAAGGGATTTATTTCACAGTGTATCTGTGTGTTTTGTGCAGTAAGGGATCTATTTCACAGAGTATCTGTGTGTTTTGTGTAGTAAGGGATTTATTTCACAGTGTATCTGTGTGTTTTGTGTAGTAAGGGATTTATTTCACAGTGTATCTGTGTGTTTTGTGCAGTAAGGGATCTATTTCACAGAGTATCTGTGTGTTTTGTGTAGTAAGGGATTTATTTCACAGTGTATCTGTGTGTTTTGTGCAGTAAGGGATCTATTTCACAGAGTATCTGTGTGTTTTGTGTAGTAAGGGATTTATTTCACAGTGTATCTGTGTGTTTTGTGCAGTAAGGGATCTATTTCACAGAGTATCTGTGTGTTTTGTGTAGTAAGGGATTTATTTCACAGTGTATCTGTGTGTTTTGTGCAGTAAGGGATCTATTTCACAGTGTATCTGTGTGTTTTGTGTAGTAAGGGATTTATTTCACAGTGTATCTGTGTGTTTTGTGCAGTAAGGGATCTATTTCACAGAGTATCTGTGTGTTTTGTGCAGTAAGGGATCTATTTCACAGAGTATCTGTGTGTTTTGTGCAGTAAGGGATCTATTTCACAGAGTATCTGTGTGTTTTGTGTAGTAAGGGATCTATTTCACAGTGTATCTGTGTGTTTTGTGCAGTAAGGGATCTATTTCACAGAGTATCTGTGTGTTTTGTGCAGTAAGGGATCTATTTCACAGTGTATCTGTGTGTTTTGTGCAGTAAGGGATCTATTTCACAGAGTATCTGTGTGTTTTGTGCAGTAAGGGATCTATTTCACAGAGTATCTGTGTGTTTTGTGTAGTAAGGGATCTATTTCACAGTGTATCTGTGTGTTTTGTGTAGTAAGGGATTTATTTCACAGTGTATCTGTGTGTTTTGTGTAGTAAGGTATCTATTTCACAGCGTATCTGTGTGTTTTGTGTAGTAAGGTATCTATTTCACAGCGTATCTGTGTGTTTTGTGTAGTAAGGGATTTATTTCACAGCGTATCTGTGTGTTTTGTGTAGTAAGGGATCTATTTCACAGCGTATCTGTGTGTTTTGTGTAGTAAGGGATTTATTTCACAGTGTATCTGTGTGTTTTGTGTAGTAAGGGATCTATTTCACAGAGTATCTGTGTGTTTTGTGTAGTAAGGGATCTATTTCACAGAGTATCTGTGTGTTTTGTGTAGTAAGGTATCTATTTCACAGCGTATCTGTGTGTTTTGTGTAGTAAGGGATCTATTTCACAGTGTATCTGTGTGTTTTGTGTAGTAAGGGATCTATTTCACAGTGTATCTGTGTGTTTTGTGTAGTAAGGGATTTATTTCACAGTGTATCTGTGTGTTTTGTGTAGTAAGGGATCTATTTCACAGTGTATCTGTGTGTTTTGTGTAGTAAGGGATCTATTTCACAGTGTATCTGTGTGTTTTGTGTAGTAAGGGATCTATTTCACAGAGTATCTGTGTGTTTTGTGTAGTAAGGGATCTATTTCACAGTGTATCTGTGTGTTTTGTGTAGTAAGGTATCTATTTCACAGAGTATCTGTGTGTTTTGTGTAGTAAGGGATCTATTTCACAGTGTATCTGTGTGTTTGTGTAGTAAGGGATCTATTTCACAGAGTATCTGTGTGTTTTGTGTAGTAAGGGATCTATTTCACAGAGTATCTGTGTGTTTTGTGTAGTAAGGGATCTATTTCACAGAGTATCTGTGTGTTTTGTGTAGTAAGGGATCTATTTCACAGAGTATCTGTGTGTTTTGTGTCGTAAGGGATCTATTTCACAGTGTATCTGTGTGTTTTGTGTAGTAAGGGATCTATTTCACAGTGTATCTGCGTGTTTTGCGTAGTAAGGGATTTATTTCACAGCGTATCTGTGTGTTTTGTGTAGTAAGGGATCTATTTCACAGTGTATCTGCGTGTTTTGCGTAGTAAGGGATTTATTTCACAGTGTATCTGTGTGTTTTGTGTAGTAAGGGATCTATTTCACAGTGTATCTGCGTGTTTTGCGTAGTAAGGGATTTATTTCACAGTGTATCTGCGTGTTTTGCGTAGTAAGGGATCTATTTCACAGCGTATCTGTGTGTTTTGTGTAGTAAGGGATCTATTTCACAGTGTATCTGCGTGTTTTGCGTAGTAAGGGATTTATTTCACAGTGTATCTGCGTGTTTTGCGTAGTAAGGGATCTATTTCACAGCGTATCTGTGTGTTTTGTGTAGTAAGGGATCTATTTCACAGTGTATCTGTGTGTTTTGTGTAGTAAGGGATCTATTTCACAGTGTATCTGTGTGTTTTGTGTAGTAAGGGATCTATTTCACAGCGTATCTGTGTGTTTTGTGTAGTAAGGGATCTATTTCACAGTGTATCTGTGTGTTTTGTGTAGTAAGGGATCTATTTCACAGCGTATCTGTGTGTTTTGTGTAGTAAGGGATCTATTTCACAGTGTATCTGTGTGTTTTGTGTAGTAAGGGATCTATTTCACAGCGTATCTGTGTGTTTTGTGTAGTAAGGGATCTATTTCACAGCGTATCTGTGTGTTTTGTGTAGTAAGGGATCTATTTCACAGTGTATCTGTGTGTTTTGTGTAGTAAGGAATCTATTTCACAGAGTATCTGTGTGTTTTGTGTAGTAAGGGATCTATTTCACAGCGTATCTGTGTGTTTTGTGTAGTAAGGGATCTATTTCACAGCGTATCTGTGTGTTTTGTGTAGTAAGGGATCTATTTCACAGTGTATCTGTGTGTTTTGTGTAGTAAGGGATCTATTTCACAGCGTATCTGTGTGTTTTGTGTAGTAAGGGATCTATTTCACAGCGTATCTGTGTGTTTTGTGTAGTAAGGGATCTATTTCACAGCGTATCTGTGTGTTTTGTGTAGTAAGGGATCTATTTCACAGTGTATCTGTGTGTTTTGTGTAGTAAGGGATCTATTTCACAGCGTATCTGTGTGTTTTGTGTAGTAAGGGATCTATTTCACAGTGTATCTGTGTGTTTTGTGTAGTAAGGGATCTATTTCACAGCGTATCTGTGTGTTTTGTGTAGTAAGGGATCTATTTCACAGTGTATCTGTGTGTTTTGCGTAGTAAGGAATCTATTTCACAGTGTATCTGTGTGTTTTGTGTAGTAAGGGATTTATTTCACAGTGTATCTGTGTGTTTTGCGTAGTAAGTGATCTATTTCACAGTGTATCTGTGTGTTTTGTGTAGTAAGGGATTTATTTCACAGTGTATCTGTGTGTTTTGTGTAGTAAGGGATCTATTTCACAGTGTATCTGTGTGTTTTGTGTAGTAAGGGATTTATTTCACAGTGTATCTGTGTGTTTTGTGTAGTAAGGGATTTATTTCACAGTGTATCTGTGTGTTTTGTGTAGTAAGGGATTTATTTCACAGAGTATCTGTGTGTTTTGTGTAGTAAGGGATCTATTTCACAGTGTATCTGTGTGTTTTGTGTAGTAAGGGATCTATTTCACAGCGTATCTGTGTGTTTTGTGTAGTAAGGGATTTATTTCACAGTGTATCTGTGTGTTTTGTGTAGTAAGGGATCTATTTCACAGTGTATCTGTGTGTTTTGTGTAGTAAGGGATCTATTTCACAGTGTATCTGTGTGTTTTGTGTAGTAAGGGATCTATTTCACAGCGTATCTGTGTGTTTTGTGTAGTAAGGGATCTATTTCACAGAGTATCTGTGTGTTTTGTGTAGTAAGGGATCTATTTCACAGTGTATCTGTGTGTTTTGTGTAGTAAGGGATTTATTTCACAGTGTATCTGTGTGTTTTGCGTAGTAAGGGATCTATTTCACAGAGTATCTGTGTGTTTTGTGTAGTAAGGGATTTATTTCACAGTGTATCTGTGTGTTTTGCGTAGTAAGGGATCTATTTCACAGAGTATCTGTGTGTTTTGCGTAGTAAGGAATCTATTTCACAGCGTATCTGTGTGTTTTGTGTAGTAAGGGATCTATTTCACAGAGTATCTGTGTGTTTTGTGTAGTAAGGGATTTATTTCACAGTGTATCTGTGTGTTTTGCGTAGTAAGGGATCTATTTCACAGAGTATCTGTGTGTTTTGCGTAGTAAGGAATCTATTTCACAGCGTATCTGTGTGTTTTGTGTAGTAAGGGATCTATTTCACAGTGTATCTGTGTGTTTTGCGTAGTAAGGGATCTATTTCACAGCGTATCTGTGTGTTTTGTGTAGTAAGGGATCTATTTCACAGCGTATCTGTGTGTTTTGTGTAGTAAGGGATCTATTTCACAGCGTATCTGTGTGTTTTGTGTAGTAAGGGATCTATTTCACAGTGTATCTGTGTGTTTTGTGTAGTAAGGGATCTATTTCACAGCGTATCTGTGTGTTTTGTGTAGTAAGGGATCTATTTCACAGTGTATCTGTGTGTTTTGCGTAGTAAGGGATCTATTTCACAGCGTATCTGTGTGTTTTGTGTAGTAAGGGATCTATTTCACAGCGTATCTGTGTGTTTTGTGTAGTAAGGGATCTATTTCACAGCGTATCTGTGTGTTTTGCGTAGTAAGGAATCTATTTCACAGCGTATCTGTGTGTTTTGTGTAGTAAGGGATCTATTTCACAGCGTATCTGTGTGTTTTGTGTAGTAAGGGATCTATTTCACAGAGTATCTGTGTGTTTTGCGTAGTAAGGGATCTATTTCACAGCGTATCTGTGTGTTTTGTGTAGTAAGGGATCTATTTCACAGCGTATCTGTGTGTTTTGTGTAGTAAGGGATCTATTTCACAGCGTATCTGTGTGTTTTGCGTTAGCAAGGTATCGGTGCGTATTGTGGTCGCAAAGTAACGCCCGATGAACCCCTTGCAAATATTTGTTTTATCCTGCGCGTTATCCGTCCCGCGGACTTGCACTGGCTGAGACGGTACTTTCTACACCGAAAGTTTCCCAGCTGCACATGGGGCCCACGCAGGCCTCACCCTGCGAGCCCGCTCTGCGTCGCCGCACGGCAGCCGCTTGGTGAACTCGATGCCGGTGAGGGGAGTGCCAGTCGGAGGGAGCAGGATAGAGGCGTCCATCGTAAGGTACTCCACATTCAGAGCCTTGGCCTGAACAAGGAGACAAATACCCGAGAGCCAAATGTTCAATCTCAAAAACAGTCAAAGTGATAGATCTTCATCAAACAAGCATCTGAAGTGGTGCTTCAGCTCCTGTTCTCAGGCCCTGAGTCATTGGTGGAAATTCCACGTTTCTATGGTGGGGGCGAGACTGTCCAAAGGATAACCGCTGTTGACTTCCCCCGCAAAGTGGTCCCCATTTTTATCACCCTTGGAGGGATGATAGGTTGAGTCAACCTCCAACAAAGGTTTGAACTCGTATCCTTTCCGATTGTGAGCCGCTCGCTCCACCGCTCGTTATGCCGCTGAGTCACGCAGTCAGCTCCCCATTTCATCAGCATTCTCCACCTTACATACGCAACATCCCATTTACCAGTTTAAATCACATGCTGCAATTAACAGGCATTCCAGATACTGTCAGAATAGAAGTGACGTGTGTTTTGGTCGCAGATTATTGTACCGCAATAGGGTTGTGCTCCCGAATATCGGATGAATCTGAGATATCAATAAATTGGGGCAAGATACGAAATTTTGGGTTGTCCAATTTTTTTTTTATTTCAGATGAAAAAAAATGAATCCCAAGTGATGTCACTGATAGGACGTCATTCTCACGCTTTTCCCAATGAACGTGGTGCTTCGTGGTAAAGGGTGACATCACGATTGTTCGCACCGAAACATTGTTAAGTACAAAATGTAAATTATCCAAAAATCCAAAAGACCAGAAATTGGCCGTGACAATCCACAAATGCGATTTTTTTTAATGCAAAACTATTTCCTCTACCGCATCCATCCGATTACATTTGGCTATGTAGTTGTGCCAAATGATTTACACAGTTTAATAATAAATAACTATTGAAAACATTTTAACATGTACTCTAAGCAGAAATTTAAATGCATAAACAAAAATCATTCGACACGAGTAAGTTATCTAGGCTGTTGGAAGCGAGTTTCTCAACGTGAACGTGACATTTAACGTATAGCAAGTTGTTATCAAAAAGCGAATGTTCTTACGTTCATACTTCTACATTCATCTTCAAACAAGTCCAAAAATATCTCTTCACCCTGAAAACAAAGAATCAACATTATACCGCATTAAGCTCTGCTTGAGAAGCAGTCAAATTGAATACAGACCTCTAAAGCACATTTGATTTCAATTGCATTGCTCCTCCATACAAATGGGCCTCAGGACACTCCATGGAAAAGGCTTCTTGTTATTATTATTATCATTAATACGCTTGCTTACCCAGGAGGGCTTCACCGAGTCTCAACAAGTCGTTCCGAATTTTCGCAGTATGTGTCGTGTTTCCCAAAGAGTTACGCTTTTACCAAATCTGACAATCTGAACCACGATGCCGACACACAATGGTCTACTCTTTAATGGCCACTTTTGAAGCAGACAGCGTGTCGTACGTTGTGGTTACTACGCCGGCAGAGATAAACAGGGCAGCCTGCCGGATTTCTAACCACAAACCTCTACGTCAAGCGGCCAACGTGCTGCCACAGAGCCACATCGCTGCGCAGCGTGACCCGTGCCCAGTGCGGACCGATAAATAACCAGCATTTTGGCCCTGACTGATGCGGATAAGCAATGGTCTAAAATGCACCAATAACATTTCTAAAGAATAACTCGAGATTTGGTTGTATGTGAATGCTATGCATATCCAAAATTCATTGTGTCAGATGTATCTCTCAAACAGCACATGCACAAAATTACTTGAACCCACACCTCCAAAATTCTGGGTTCAAGTAAAAGTTAATTTGGATGTGAGTTTTAAACAGCCACTGTCATGGTAACAATTCATTGTCTCGATGATCTTTGGATGCACAAAACACAGCAAGGACTAGACAGCTTAAGTTTATACCGAGCATGAAATGTCACAATAAACTCTCATGTAAAAAAGCACGTGATTACATCTTGAATAGCCACACAATACCTATTCTAAATGGACACTGTACAATTGGTATGCTTTCAAAAAAGGTGCGTGTACGCATGTGATGATGTGTGTGCGATGATTCACTTGACACCCTGGATACTTTGCGTTCAACCAGAACGGATTAACCAGATGAAATATTTTACCAAATCTAATTTCAAAAGATATATATCCCAAAGTAGTAGGCACACTCGCGGTTTAAGGTATAACGGTGACTGCGGATGCAACTGAGCACTGTGTGACCCATGACTTGAGTCCAGTACCATTCACCCTTTCCCGTTCCGAGACAAATGCACGTGGCAGGGTGGGGGTCCCATTCACCGCTGAATCTCGGAAACCACGAGCGGTTTCGGCGTTAATTTTATTGAGAGAGGCGTAGCAGCGCCGTTGTTTTTAAAGACGTTGCACGCTCACCACAGAGAAACGTAGCGGCACGACCGCACTCTACGATAGCTGGCGCCAAACTGTGCCACACGCCCTCCCGCATGGCCTTGCGGGAGCCTCGGCACTGATGAAGTTATTTTATTTAAGTTTTTCTTCCGAATCGGAAATATATTTTTACCGGGAAAGGGTTAATTAGCTACCAACAAAACTATAAATAATGAAATGAAGTTATTTTTTGTGATGTGACATCAACTGTTTAAAATTATTTTCAATTGTGGAACGGATGTCAAAGTTACCTTGTAAAAATTACGCAACAGCGCGACGCTCTCCTGCCTTGCACCCTGAAAAATATCAAACGGCACAACGGTGTCATCAAGCCAAACGAGTGTGCACTTAAATGCGTCAGTGAGCGCGTAAAGCGTCAAAACAAGGCAGTAACTATATTCTTGGTTCTTTAGGTAAAGTCACGTAGAAGGGAAACAATAAAATAATAAAAATATAAAACAATAAAATTCTCTGAGTCAACCCCCAACCAGGATTTGAACTGGCAACCTTCTGAGATTGTGAGCTGCTAGCTTTACCACCGAGCCAAGATGGAAGTATGTGTATTACATTCCCAGCACCTTCATGCATTGACATAGTGGTGAATATACTATTATATGACTGCAGTGTTTAAAATTTGAAGTGGAAGTTAGAAAGCAACTTTATTGTAAATACCCCGCTTTGGTCAAAATATATAACAAATATTTAAAAGCCTAAGCATACCAACTATAATAGCATACAGTAGGTACGCACATATTTTAGGCGAAATCAGTGTACATCAATCACGAGTTCGCACCGTGCGTACCCAACCGTGCTAATCGGAGTGCGGAGGAAGGACAAGATAAACCAAAATACTAATTTCCAATTTGAAGCTTTCGTGACTTTCAGGGATTAATATTCTTGGTTCTTTCGGTAAAGTCACGTAGAATGGAAATAATAAAATAATCTTTTTTTTATTATTTCCCTTCTACGTGACTTTAACGAAAGAACCAAGAATACAAAATACGAATCACAAACTAAACACAGTAAAAGCATGTTTGCACGTGTTCGTGTGCAGCTGGGTACCTCGATGCAGGCGCGGTGAACGTCTTTGAGTGTGCAGTGTGCCCCCGTGGAGACCAGCTGCTTGAGTAACAAGCAGGCAAGCTCCAGCGTGGCCAAGCGAATTCGACTGTCTGCACTCACGCACGCACCACACGCACGGAGCTTAGTGGGTGAGTGCGAGTTGATTGAATTTATCTATGGTACCTTTTTGTCAGTTTAAAAATGATGAATAAATAAGAATAGGCTTTACACTTTGACAATAAAATAGGTGTTAGGATGTTAAAACACCAAATAGAAACCTATTGCAAGGCATAAAGTCTGCATTAACCACACATACTTGTGGAAAAAACATACAAACATGCTTTATTAATATATGCATCGTCTTTGAAACGGATTGGCCTACACCAGAGACAACCTTCTTTATGGCCTTGTCTCACCAGTGTTAGACCAGACAACCCCAGTTCTACAACTGCTCAACCCGACGCTTGCATTGCCTGTGTACGGTTCACCCTTTGGCGTTCTCTGGTCTAACACTGATGAGACAAGGCCATAAAGAGTTTAAAATCTAGACGATTTAAAAGTGCATAGCTCCAGTAGCTTCCTAATATCAGAAGGAACAGCGGCTCCAGCAGACGACCGAAGAAGCAACGCATCTGAAAGCGCCGTGCGATGCGGTGACCGTCTTTGTTCGATGGTTAGACAAAAGCCGCCGCCGCTGCTGCTGCTGCTGCGAAGATGACCAAAAACATTTGTTCGGCCCAGTGGCTTAGGGGGCAGGTCACCGGGCATGGCTGCCTTGTTCAGGATGACGATGATCCTCTCGACGAGCAAGTGGCTGTAGTCCTGGGTTGCTCCTCCGTCGCCAAGAGGCATCTGGATGCTGTCCAGTATGACAGGATCCATGCCTGCAGGGGAAGAAAATTCAAGCTGTCATCGCCCGTAGGGGGTGGGGACAACTGAAGAGAACGGGCATGTCAATCGGCAAGTGGCACCGCGCGCATTGGGATGACCCCCGAGCGTGCACCAATCCATGGGTAGTTAAGTCATACAAGCTCCCGGAAGGCCACGTTCACCAAGAGAATGCCGACTCATACTTTTGCTTTTCGTGGGCAGGAGATAACTATGGAAAGTGGCGGCATATTAATGAAAGTTGTTCATTGCAAACCACATTCACCATCCCACTGGACCATTAGCGACATAGCGACACAGCCGGCATGCATAAGGTAATACAGGCGTGTCTCGCTCGTTAAGCAAGACACGCCTGTGCTTAATTGCTAACCTTTATTATGTCGCAAAGCGTACAGAAGGCAGAGGGCAAACAATGCAGTCGAATCATCCTCTTCGCACTCCAAAGCCGAAAAAATGGCATCAATGAATGGCCTAAGGAAAGCAAAAGGTATACATACACATCAGTGACATGCCAGAACACATGCACAACTACATAGATATAGCATGCAACGCTCAAGGCAAGACAAAACAATGCGGACTCTGCGGGAAGTTATGTTTGAAATACGAGCACGTGTTAATGGTGAAAATGTTTGTGCATAATTATAAACTCCCAAACCCCTTGTGTTTTGTAAGCCATCGTTTTAAGTTGTACGTGTATAACAGTTGGAAATGCATGTGATAAAAACGACCGTGTATTTTTACTAAAACCTGTACACAACGTGCAGTGTCATTACGCGTTTGCTATGTATGTCATCCAACACACCCCACACCCTTCGATTAGCACGGTTGGCTATGTACGGTGGGAAAGACGTTCAAAGTGCATACATACTGGACTACCGCTTGCAAAACAAGATGTTTCATCTCAACAGATTATCCAGGTTAAACAGTTTAATAACAACCATAATACAGGGTTTTTTTGGGGGTTAGATCGCGCAAATATATGTCGTCAAACCCGCCACCACTCGACATAGCCAACTAGTAAGGTTTGTCTCGTAAATAGAACATGCCAATGCATTACTAGCACAGCACACCGGTGTGTTGGAGAGCCAAGCCACAACATTTACAATCCGAGCACGACGTTTCGCCAGTAATTACAACTAGCTTCATTCGGCGGCAGCCAGATTTGTGGAGAAGTCCACCTGTTTAATTCCTTAAATAGAGGCGTAGATGTGATGACAACATTCGTGCGCTCTTCTTGCGCGAAGTGGTAATCAACATACATTATGTATTCGCATTATGGAAGCCCATAGTTCTTGTACTTAACTAAAGAAAAGTGTGCGCGTACCTGCTGGTGGGCGCCTGATGTCTGGACGCAGCAGCTGATTTCTCCTCATCCGTGGTATTGAGGCGTGTGATGTGCGATGGTGACGACTGAGCGTGGCCTCCTCTTTCCATCACCTTCATCTCAATCTCTGTGCACAACACCGTAGTACATTTCTCATCCAATCACTCCGACCAAGAAAACGTTTAAACAAACAGGCTTCAACGCAGAAGGCGGGTTTCAAGCGTAATGTCCGTGCGCAATGCCAAGCGCACTCAACTATTATTCTTACCAAAGAAATATACAGAGACACTTTCCGACAGCAAAAATACTTCCTACGCAGTAATATTCTCCGTCCCACAAAAGCAGCATCGAGTCCATGGTCAAGGCACAGCACACCCTCACAATCATTACAATTTGGAACCAGGTCAAGGTCCAGGTCCAAATTTTTTTTTTATTTAGTGTTTCTTGGGAAACGGTGTCTTACCACTGACACTTTTCATGAGTAATCTTGCACCTTTTTTTAATTCCTTAACTCAAAACTTTTACTGGATTCATTTTATATTGAAAAATTATATAATTTCTTACCGAAATTTATTAGTCTGTACTATTAATAAAAATTTCTCTGTTATATCGGTCTTTGAGACAGTGTTTTGTTTTTATTGATGAAACCCCACTGAGTAGCTTCTTAGCTCACAGGGAACTTCAAATAAACTGAACTGAGTGGAACGGAGGTCCTTTGTGCTTCGAGGCACAAGTGTCCACCAATGCACCGCCCTGCTGCCTGAATGATGTTATAGAAATATCAAACATTATTATGATTAATTTAACACATAATGCGACCAATATCATCCATAAACAGGAGGATTTCTACACAAATCGGGCTGTCGCCTGAAGAAGTCAGTTGCAATAACTGGCGAAACGTCGTACTCGGATTGTAAATGTTGTGGCTTTGCTCTCCAACACACCGGTGTGCTGTACTAGTAACGAATTGGCCACGTTCTGTTTACGTGACAAACCTTACGAATTGGCTGTGTCGGGTGGTGGCGGGTTTAACGACACATTTATATATTTACGCGATTCAACCCAAAAAAACCTGTATTATTATGATTGAGAAGGAAAGTAAAACGTATGGGTTCACCTTCCACATCAGACACCGGCTCTTGGCTGCGTGGGTGTCCTTCCAGGCCCGCTCCTGCAGACTCGGCCTCGGCACAGGCCGATTTCTCTGCATCCCCCTCCACATCTTCATCCTCTCCGATGTTCTTGTAGTTGGGCCTCTTGGATGGGACCTTCTTTATATGGCCACGACTCATCTCCAGGGATTTCTCCAGTGGCTCAGTGGGTTGGGTGAATCTACGCACCCCGGGCGAGAGCTGCAACGCGCAAACACAAAGTACACGCACGCACACAAACAACACGCAATCGCCCAAATCAATTGCAGACATTAACACGCGTGCACATTTTAACTCACAATTGTAAACAAGCGTACACACCAACATGCACACAGAAACACACAAGTTCACACTCGCACATGATACATACACTAATATACACAGTTAACATTCACACATACGTCAAATTAAGAGGCATTATATGTGTTTAATAAATCAAACTGATATAATATGTTGCATTTAGACTTTGTGGATATTCCACTGCTTTTATATACAACCATATAAAACACACGGCTAGCAAACATGTTAAATTCTGGTTGGATAGTGTGTGGGATATATTTCTCTGGTCTGGCGAGCACAGGCCACATGCAGTTATCAATCAAGAGGAGATGCAGGAGACTGCAATCAGCTGAGCAGGCCACTTCAGTCCCAGGAAGTAATTCAGGAAAACAGGCTGTAGAGGTGAGCCTAACTTAAATTATGCAGAAATCGAAAGCAAACAATTGAAATCTAAATTTTTTCACAAAATGAACATTATTTGACAGCTAACACGGTGGAATGGGTGTGCTTTCCCCATGCCCACAGACACTGTGCCTCTACTGAGATGGCGTCCCGTACGTATGGATTTTGAACGTCTTTCGCACTGTGCGTAGCCAACCACTCCAATCAGAGTTGCGGGGGGGGAGAGAACAAACTAAACACAAAAAGCAGTTCTAAAGAAATTCGTTTTCAATCTAGATTTAAGTGTACAGCTTCAGTGGCTTCCGAATATCAGAAGGATGTATGTATTTTTAACTTCTTTCGCACGATATGTAACCAACCACGCGAATCGGATGTGTGGAGGGAAGGTGGCTCTGCAGCTACAGCCACAAGCAATAGTTATTGTTGGGGTGCAGAAGAGCCCAGGCAGCAATCACCCACGAAACTCGAGGCAGTTAATTTTTAATAGCAGTATAAATAATATGGTCATTGTAGTTCTATTACCAAGGCAGTTGATTTGCTGAAAAAAACAGCTTTTCCAATTACTGAAATTTGCAGTGCATTACCCGTAATGTCAAAGCGTAATTAGCATACGTCACCGTTCCTGTCTCGCGTGGTTAAATTGAGCCATTACATGCAGGATTTCGTACAATTAAATGTATTCAGCTCATTGGCACAATTCCAGACCATGCTTATGAATCGAGATATAACATAGGCTGAAAATGCTTTACAGGGGCTCGTCTAATTACGGACATTCGACTTACGATCTTTCAGAGATACGAACAAACCTGCCCGTATATCCAGTTGCCTGTTCGGACCGACAGTCATAAGTTCAACCGCCGCGCAATAGATGGCAGTGGTGGCATCTACATCTACAGGAGATATAACTTTTCAAGCCATTCCCCTTGTTCCGCGTACATGCCGTACAACGTTTGGAATCGACACGAGTAAAGTTCGACTTAGGAACAAATCGACATGCGAACAGATCTCTGGAACCTAACTCGTTCCTAAGTAGAGGAGTCACTGTACTCCGTTCCCTTTACCACAGGTACCACCAGAGGTGGCGCAATTCGTCACCGTAGCGCGTGAACATGGGACTTGCCGTGGCATGGGTGTGTGCGGGCGAAGGTTCACAGTTGAAGACAGAGATGTCTCCAGTTGAGGATGACAGCGCCCAGAGAATTTACCAAAGGTCCGTGGTGGATGATCAAGAACACCTATTTTGCATTCACAAACACAAGAGTCAAAGATACACATTTTCTACTGGATATGCTCAAAATAATGAGATAATTGACAATATGTGGAGCGGTAGTGGCATCATCGGAATCTCAGCTGCAAAGCAGTCTGGGTATTTCTAAGATTGCGGCAAACAGTGCATCATGTGGTGGCGAAGAACGTGATGTAACCAAGTTCCTGGCAAAGGAAAAAAACAGAAAAGCGCTGCGATGTACTAATGTAGCGCATGTCACACAGACGTGCGTTTGAGCAGTTCGAAAGGTTTAAACGTGGGAGTGACTTGATTAACACGCTTACACGCAACCAAGTATTTCAACTCCCACAAAGTGACCCGTGTTGAACTGTCGACTTTCAATAATCGCCACATGAATGTGCATCATACAGCGTGAGCTTAGGAAGAACACATTGTTCGAAGGCAGTACGGCTGACATACAAAAAACTTTACTATTTTAAAAACTAAACAATTTTTTTTATTTTACCAGGTAAGGCCCAATCAGCTATCGAGCTCTTATTCAGAAGCGACCTGGTCACAAATGATAGCTCAACGAAGTGGCTTATCATGTGGAAATGTGGAGAGAAAAAATCCACGCGACCACAGGGTGAACATGCACACTCCATATATACAGGCGTCAGGATCGGGATTGAACCCATGACCTCCTGTAAACCAGGTGAAGAAGTTAACATCTCGCCACCGTGGCGCCCAAAAACTGGTGATGGAATAGCAGCCCAAGGCGAGAACATGACCAAGAAATCGATCAGTGGTGATGGAGAAATGAAATTATTTCAAGTTCAAGGCGTGTGGCATTTGTGGCATAGCAGGACCATGAGGTATGTGAAAGCATGGGGCAGTCATCATCCAGCAGTGGATAGACAAGAGCTGATGATGACAACTGTTGCTCGTGTTCTTAAATAAATGAAGTCGAAGGCCATACCTGGGATAGCAGGTAAAGAGAAACTTTGGGACTAATTTTTGGCCAGTCCAACTGAAAACAAATAAAAAAAAGTATTACTCAAGTGTCACAAGACCAACAACTTTCATTTACAAAGCGCCTTTCAAGATCGTGTCCTCACACGGTCCTTAACAATCTAAATGTAGAGTTACTATATATATAAAACAAACATTCACATCAGCTAAATAAAACAGTGCTATTTGCTATCAAGTCAAATGTTATTAAAAACCTTTTTGTTTAAACGAATTTAACTTCAGGCGTGAGTTTAAAATGACCACCGAATCAAATATTAGCGAGGCATGTAAGAAGTCGCAACAGTCAACAAAATAATAAGGAAAGTTTTCCATCACCCTCAGTACCTCGGGGCAATGGCTTCAGTGTTCACAATGCACGCTCCACCACCCCTCCGGTGAAGCTAACCATCCAAGCAGCAGCGACCAAATAGCACAAGCTCCAATTCTACCACGCTAAATAAACAAATTAATTATTCCCATTATCCCAGGTAACTATTGCAAATGAAACTACCCTGCTTGTCAAAGTTCTCACCTGGTTAAAGAATACAAACTTGAATCCAGGGGGGGCCTTAAAAGTCATGGCATCTTGCGAATGTCGTAAATGAGCAATATTGATATTATATTCTTGATTCTTTCGGTAAAGTCACGTAGAAGGGAAACAATAAAATAATAAAATTCTCACGACGTTTCGATTGCAACACCTGATAATAATTGCTTGAATTTTATTGTTTTATATTTTTATTATTTTATTGTTTCCCTTCCACGTGACTTTACCGAAAGAACCAAGAATATGAATCCCTGCAGTCACGAAAGCTTTAAATCAAAACATTGATATTCTCTTACGTATTTACCAAGACCCGAATGACTTTATCGTGCTCTACGCATGCGGGCGTGCTTCTGCAATGAGCGCTCTACATCATCTCTGGTTGAGGCACCTGGTGCGGATCCCATGTCACGAGGGAGTACGTGTAGAGTGGCAGGAAGAGGCGATTGAGCAGGTGATCGGTGAGGACGTCGTTCAGGAAGCCACAGTCGATGATGAGTATGTCATTGAGATAGTGAAGGTGGTCCAGGTGCTCCGCTACCAGGTCGCTGAGACGTCCACGGTTCTTGTGCCTGAATTCGACACGAATTGCACAAAGTGTGAGGTCGCACTCATTGCACACAAAGCGTTCACCACAAAGTAACCAAACACCCCGCTGATCTCGTCATGGAGCATAAACTATCAAGCGAGCTCCGGTTAGCCTCACAGCGGCTTTTGGCACGCCATCGAACAAGGATAGTCACCGCATCGCACACTTTAAGATGCACATCTGCAGCCATCTGGAATGCTCGTCTTTCCGATATTAGGAAGCCACTGGAGCTATGCACTCTTAAATATATATTGAAAACTAATTTCTTAAGAACTGCTTCTTGTGTTAAGTTGGTTGTCCTTCCCCCACACCTCTGATTATCACGGTTGGCTACGTCCGGTGCGAAATATGCTCAACATACATACGTACAAACTCATCAACGTGGATGTCCTGCCCAACGTGGATTTCCATCTCCCGTTCACAGCCCTGAGGCAGTTGTGGGAATTCTGCGTTCCTATGTCAGAGAGCGAGCGTACCCATAGGACAACCTCTGTTGACTTCTCCATAGTGTAGTACTCGTTTTATCGACCCAGGAGTGACGATGGGCTCAGTGAACCCCCGAACCAGGATTTCATCTTACAAGCTTCCACTGAGCCACCTGGCCTATCAAACAAAGTGTTTTCTGGCTAACATGGGCATTGAGGTGGTTTCCATCTCTGGTTTACAACCCTGAGCCAGTAGTGGACACATCTCACTGTAAAATATTTGTTTTAAAGAGTTTACAGCCATCAACACCTCAGAGTAAGAATGCTCGAGTAAAAATCTAAAAATATATCAAATGTGTACGTGTGACATGCCATTAAGGCAAAAAAACAAGTACGGGTTTCTGTAGTTGGGCTGCTTTTTGAGCATTTCTTCTCTCAAGCTTTCGCCACGCAATACTGTGGGGAACTTCAGGAGTTGAACTGAGGCTTCAGTTCCAGCGTTTCCCCTCTCAAGCTTTTGCCATGCACTTCTGTGTGCATCTTCAGGAGTTGAACTCAAGATCAACTCCTGAAGATGCCTGCATTGTATGTATGCATGTATGTTGAACTTCTTTCGCACCATACGTAGCCAACCGTGCTCAACGGAGGTGCGGGGGAAGGACAACAAAATTAACATAAAAAGCAGTTCTAAAGAAATTAGTTTTCAATCTCCATGATTTAAAAGTGCATGGCTCCAGTGGCTTCCTAATATCGGAAGGAAGAGTATTCCAGACGGCCGCAGAAACAGATCTGAAAGTGCACGATCCGGTAACCGCCTTTGTTCGATGGCCAGCTAAAGGAATTAGTGCGGGGCGAAAGCTGGCAAGGGTAATGCTCAAGAAGAAACCCAAACCGGAGAACCGCACTTGGATTACAAACGGTTGTTGCGCTGACCTAACGCGTGTTAAGAGAGAAAACAGATTGCCGAAAGATTAAAGTAATTGCGTCAACGTTTGTTGCACACTGCGCTGGTACCTTACTCTTTATCAGAGGTGACACATCTGTCCATCTCGATGACGTGGCTCCCGATAAACCACACGAGATTGGAGAAATACGGCGCTGCAGTTTTGTCTCGAATATAGTGGAGCATTCCATCATTTTCCACTGCACACATTCCAGAAGAAGCACAACTCTAGATCAGCACAGCGCATCGTCCTTTACTCTGAACGGCCATTCACATAAACGTTGCCCGTACAATAGCACGGTTGGTTATTAGCAACGTTGGCTACATACGGTGCACAATAATTTTAACATACATATAGTTGCTTGTTTTACTAATGTTTTAATCATGTAACCTTGCCAGAGAACAATGAATACCAAAGAGACATCACTGTAATAATGTAGAATACGTGCCATTACCTTGATAAATTAAATGTATGTTTACTGTAAAGGTTTTACCGTTTTAGGTTTAATTAGGTATGTAACAATGAACCCCTTAGAAATGTACGTGCAATGATTTGGCATTGATATATTGTTTAAGGAAATTTTTTTTGCCATTGTGGTGGCCGCAGCGACCTCCAGAGGCTGCGTAGACCATCATCATTAGCCATGGTCAATCCACTGCTGGATAAAGGCCTCCCCAAGCCACCGCTATATCCCGTACCCACACACGAGCAGATTTCATTGTTCCTTTTAGACGAAATCAGGCAGTGTGTAGGCAGGTGTCAGATGAATTGTCCAGCCTACGTGTTAAACTGGGTGAATTGTCGCGTGCACCTATTCAATACGAGAACCAATCATAAATAATAGTTTCTAACATGTGTGACTCGATGCATGCATCGTGAGCGTTAGGACTGATATTTAGTTGCATCGTTGCACGTATAGTTTCAGTCAGTGATAGTCTACAGGCGTTGTGTGAAAAGAGGAAAGGTTAAAATGACTTACATGCAACTTCGGCAACGGGGTTGACAAACCAAGATGACAAAAAGAGAGGTTAGAATGAAGGGGTTATTAACTTGGACATTCAATATTTGCAATAACAGTGAGAGAAAAAAACATGCACATTGTCGTCACGAAATGTTCGTTTAAAAAAAAATAAACGTAGTATAAAGTACTCACCTTTGTACACATTTAGGGTGAGGGTTCTCACCGCTATTCTCACCATGCTTTCTGGGTGGTTAAAAAATTTGATTGCTTCTGTGTAGAGCGCAAAGTCATTGGTATGCTGGGGCAAGAAACACAACGAGGTCATGAACAGAGAGCACGGCTCGTCGCATCAATCAGCCAATTTATCTGGGTGCATGCAAAGGTGTGTTTCCAATTGATAAATCTACGCCCACTTTTCCATGGCCACTGTGAGGGGGGAAGGCAATGGATTTGGTGCTCGAGGCGTAACCACTCACCAGAACCGTGGCCCTCCCCTGGGTTGAGTCCTAAACTAAACTTTTTATTTTACCAGGTAAGGGCCCAATGAGCGGTGTAGCTATTATTCAGAAGCGACGTGGCTATCACAAGTGATAGTTCAACGAAGTGGCTTATCACGTGGAAATTTATAGCAGCCAAATACTCTAAATGCACGTTAATTCTAAATGTGAAGAGGAAAAACAGGAGAAAAATCTACGCGACCACGAGGAGAGACATGCAAACTCCAAATATACAGGGGTTAGGGTCGGGATCGAACCCACGACCTCCTGCATACCAGGTGAGGTAGTTATCATCTCGCCACCCGGCCACCCCCTGAGACAACTCCAATGAGCCAACTAGCGGTGACCGAATTATGCGAGATCCAACACCGAGGAAGACCAGTCGCAACCGCGCACTATCATAAACATTCACTGTGATCAGATATGTTTAACTACGTGTAGCGAGACTGGATATTAGTCTGCTACAAGGTCTGTATGAATTTATTTGACAGATATATGATTGTTCCCTCAATCTATTACAACTTTGATATCGTGTTACAATTGAGGGTGCTGTTCGTTGGACGTTTTGGGCCTTTGCTCAGAGGGCGCGTTCAAAACAATTAGCACGCTGTGTGCGCGTGTACATCCATATTCTGCCAAGGCAACAGAGAGCACAATAATCGTATCTGCCAAGGTAGAATATATATCGAGATATATATGCCTTCCTGCTGTTAGTGAGTGAGCACACCTTTGTTGTTAACTGTTTGTGTCAAGCCTGTACGCATCTTTCTAACGCTGTGTTTTATCAAAATGTAATGTTGGATTTGACACAGAAAGTGAGACAGGGATTCCAGATGAGTGTCGTGTTATTTTGCCCAAAATAGAATGTGTGACATGACAGTTTAGGAGACCATTGCTTCCCTCTGGATGTAATATTTGTTTAGGCACAGAATTGTAATAGCATCGCTGTAAATGATGAGGCGCGCTGCACTATTAATTAAAAAAATGTTTCTTCCCACGATATATTTCCTCTTAAAAGTCCTGAGAAATGGGCTTACCTCATTGTAGAAAAAGTGTACGGTGTGGCTGTTAAGCTTCAACGACAACGTTTTCAAAAACGAAATATAATACGCCATTATTTCCTCATCCGAAAAATCAAACTTGTGAACAATGATCGAGTTCACGTGGTTGTTCGACAACAAATAATCTGAACAAAAAGACAAAGCAACCTTCTTAAAAAAACATTGAACGTTATACAGTACATTTTACACTTGAATATCTCTGGAATTTTACTTATTTATGTCAACAAAGTACTCTGGCTAATAAGGGCCGTAGCCTCACACATTAAAACCCACGTACAGATTTATATTTCTGTTAAATAGCAGTGGCAATGGCGCAGTTGGCGACGTTGCTTTTTTGTCTGTTTGTGAAAGTGGATCTCCCGCTAAATTTAGCATTAAGGCAGCGTTCATCTCCTGTTTACAGCCCTCAGCTGGTGGTGGAAATTCCGCATTCCTATTGCGAGGCTGAGTCTATCCATAGGACAGACAGTGTTGACTTCCCCACAAAGTGGTAGATACTTTATCGACCTCACAGGGAATATGGGCTGAGAATGCCTGTTTGTATTTCATAAAAAAAATTGGGTTCGATCGCATAAGTATAAATGTTTCGTTAACCCACCTCCACCCGACACAGCGAATTAGTAATGTTTGTCACGTAAACAAAAACGTGCTAATTAGTTGCTACTTCAGCACACCGGTTTGTTGGAGAGTAATCCCACAACCTGTGCAATTTGAGTACGACGTTTAGCTGGTAATTACAACCAGCTGCAGTACATTTTTTCAGAACTAGCTTCATCAGGCAAAATCACCTGATGAGGCTGCTTATAATCACCAGCAAAACTTCGTACTCAAATTGTACATGTTGTGGGTTTACTCTCCAACACACTGCTGTGCTCAAGTAGTAACTAATTGCCACGTTTTGTTTACGTGACGAACCTTACAAATTGGCTGTGTCGAGTGGTGGTGATTTAACGACAGATTTATATTTACACGACCTAACTAAAAAAAAAACTTTATTATTAATTATTATATTGGTCGCGAAATCCTACGTGTTAAACTGTTTGTATGTCACTGCATATGCATTCCTCGAGGTATTAAATGTGAAAAGTGGCTTCCGGGGTATACAATGACTTTATATAAACGAGAGTGATAAAATAGTCCACAGTTACTGCGGTTTGGCAATATCAAACAGTGAACGATCGATCATGAACACGAGAGGAATACTCACACAGGGATGTCTCGTGGCTGATGTTCTCAAAAAGAATGTTAAGCGTTTGCAAAAGCTGCACGCAAACATACCTTCCAGATTTTTGTCTTAAAATGTTCAAGAAAAAAGCGAACATATTTTTTTCCAAGAAAAAACTGAAAACGGAGACGACATGTGATCAGTAAACAGAAAAACCGCCAACGATACGAGTTACTTTTGTGAGCTCGCACGCCTACAGCAATCCATTTGTCAAGCTCAAGGCTTCACTTGAGATGCACATCAATTATGCCACGTGTCAAGTTTATTTTGTTTAACCAGGTGAAGGCTCGAGTAGACCAGGAAGGGTATGCTCATTCACAGAGTGACATGGGTGACAATATTTTTTTAAAGAAAAACAATGTAAGTCTATAATGTATTCAAACACATAAATCACAATTTGACTGTATTGGCGGTACATCGGTGGGCGACATAATAAAAATATAGAATTTTCTGCAATAATTCTTTATTTTCCTGCGACTTGGAACCCGGTTCACGTTATGTCAAAGCAATCGGAAGACGACTGTTTACATGAGGGGCTGAACACGAAGCTTCAGTCTGTTTCCATATAGCAGCACCCGGCCTGTTGACGATTGGCTGCTCCGTGTTCCATAGGCAAGATTTGACTCCCCGTGCCCTAGACTTGTCGAACGGTTCGTCGATTCAACGAACCCAAATCAATGGTCAATAATGACCTTTTTTTAAAGTAAGTCTCAGTACACTGAATACACCTTTGAATTGCGTCAAACTTGGCGACAGGGTCTAGATTGATAAACAGATTTGCTTATTCAAATTTTTATTGTATACTGTTTTATGAGGACCGGTGTGTTATGCTGCACTGGTGTACTGCCAATACGTCATTTAACGATTCAGACACAAACACCTCTTATTTGCACATAATCTGACGATCGATGCACGTAAAATGCACCACTGTATGTACTATGAAGATGGGCCCATGACCTGAAACGTCACCGATCATAGATTTTTTCCTTTCTAGGCAGTGTTATTGACGGATGTGTTTCATTTGCCAATGCGATATCTCCAAATAATTTGTTGAGTTGAAAAAATGGGCAAATTGCGCGAGATCCTCCATACCTACCTGCCCATCGGTATAAATGGGTACACCACAGTCAAGCAGCAATTCTAGTAAAAGCCTTTTCATGAGCAATAGTGTGAACAATTGTGCGTTGTGCTTTTACCTGGGCCTGTGCTTAGCAACTATTAAAAAACAAGCTGTAAATATGAAATCGTTGAAATGTACTGCAAGCTAAATTGCTCTTATCTATTGTTTTGGGTATGAGGAGTTCAAATCAAGGTTAATTAAAGGGCTGTAAACTCCTAGAGACATGTTATTGGCTTATCTGCCAAATTGGCAATTCTAGAAGTAGGTGTCTATTCCATTGCGGATAAGAAGCGTTTCACTGCACTGTGCAAACCCGCCGTTAACATTACGACGCTGCTGTTAACATAACGACCCAGCATCACGTTTGCATGCACTTAACAACAACTCACAACTTAAATGCCACACACAAAGTAGGCAGCGGTGTCATTAGCAGTCGGTGATTCACTCACTCAAAGACTGTGCTGTCATTTTGATCACCCCAGATGAGGATCTCGGAGATGGAACGGATCGTCTCCACTAGCAAGTTGCGGTTGCCCTCGGTCACGGTTGTGTTCTTTGCAAGAACATTATGGAGATATCTGAGAATCACAGTTAACAATGCATCGTTTTATACGGGAATGTACACAGGATAATACATTTTAAAATCTGGCCATAAAACAATTTACACAAGTCACGGACATAGTTCATAGTTTTCAATATTATGGAACGTGCCAAATTATTTAGCGAATGCTTTTACACGTCACTTTTACATTGCTAGAGCACCAGATACGCAAACAAAATTAAAGTTTGAAAATATTTTAAAAATTTTAATAACATGCCTAATAAGAAATTGGGTTGGAAACATTTACAAACATATCTAGTCAGGTGGCCCAGTGGTTGAGTAGCTCATAAATGGACATTTTGCAGATTCAAATTCTGGTTTGGAGCTGACAGCCCATCATCCCTATGGATAGATTCGTCCCATCAAAGGAATTAATCATTTGTGCACCACTGGCTCAGGGCTGTAAACAGAAGAGGAGCACCGTCTCAATGCTCATTTTAAAATTAAATAATTTAGACTTTATTTAATATTTAGAAAAAAGGGGCTTCAATTTGCAGAATGAATTATTGGGAGCAACAGCAAAGTGACGGCACACTGGTTTATGGAGATGAGACCTGTGGATTGAATGCGATATTCAATTATCACCCGATGAATAAATAATGTATCCCCATCTGTCAATCATTTGCTGGTTAAAGGCCACACAGTCTGCCGTGTCAATCTCCAGGATTGTACGGCCTTACTTCACCAGTGCAGATTGGTGATAGTAGCTTCCCAAGACAGTCTCAGATGTATCACTTGCCACTGATGTTATCTTTGGCCGGGAATTGAACTCTTGGTCGCCGGGTTCATAGCGAAAACGCAGGTTGCTGCTACCCATGGCACCAAAGTTGAATGTAGTGAGTTGTCTTTTTAAACACAAAAACTGTCCTGTAATTAATTCTCTCACAACATTCCGATGTACTGTGTTACGTGAGGTTGTACCATGGAGGTGTAGTTTCAGTTTCATTTATTTGGTTGAGCCCTGTGAGCCATTCGACTCTTGAATCGGGTGTAACCGCAACAAACAAAAAACAAAAACATGAACAAGAAAACATCTTAAGGTGACTATGCACAAACAGAAAAATCCAGGAAAAAACTGAAAAGTCTTCCAGAAAAAAAGCACCGTACACTAACGCTGTGCTGTGTTACACGAGGTTGTACCATGGAGGTGTACTGTGTTACATGAGGTTGTACCATGGAGGTGTACTGTGTTACATGAGATTGTACCATGGAGGTGTACTGTGTTACATGAGGTTGTACCATGGAGGTGTACTGTGTGACGTGAGGTTGTACCATGGTGGTGTACTGTGTGACGTGAGGTTGTACCATGGAGGTGTACTGTGTCAGTGAGGTTGTACCATGGTGGTGTACTGTGTTACATGAGGTTGTACCATGGAGGTGTACTGTGTGACGTGAGGTTGTACCATGGAGGTGTACTGTGTCAGTGAGGTTGTACCATGGAGGTGTACTGTGTGACGTGAGGTTGTACCATGGAGGTGTACTGTGTCAGTGAGGTTGTACCATGGTGGTGTACTGTGTGACGTGAGGTTGTACCATGGAGGTGTACTGTGTTAGTGAGGTTGTACCATGGAGGTGTACTGTGTGACGTGAGGTTGTACCATGGAGCTGTACTGTGTCAGTGAGGTTGTACCATGGAGGTGTACTGTGTGACGTGAGGTTGTACCATGGAGCTGTACTGTGTCAGTGAGGTTGTACCATGGTGGTGTACTGTGTGACGTGAGGTTGTACCATGGAGGTGTACTGTGTTAGTGAGGTTGTACCATGGAGGTGTACTGTGTGACGTGAGGTTGTACCATGGAGCTGTACTGTGTCAGTGAGGTTGTACCATGGAGGTGTACTGTGTCAGTGAGGTTGTACCATGGAGGTGTACTGTGTCAGTGAGGTTGTACCATGGTGGTGTACTGTGTCAGTGAGGTTGTACCATGGTGGTGTACTGTGTCAGTGAGGTTGTACCATGGAGGTGTACTGTGTCAGTGAGGTTGTACCATGGAGGTGTACTGTGTCAGTGAGGTTGTACCATGGTGGTGTACTGTGTCAGTGAGGTTGTACCATGGTGGTGTACTGTGTGACGCGAGGTTGTACCATGGAGATGTACTGTGGTATGTGATGTTGTGCTGTCAGGTTGGTGTGTGTGTGGTGTACTTTGTGTACTGTGTGACGTGAGGTTGTACTATGGAAGTGTACTGTGGTATGTGATGTTGTGCTGTCAAGTTGGTGTGTGTGTGTGGTGTACTTTGTGTACTGCGGTATGTGATGTTGTGCTGTCAGGTTGGTGTGTGTGTGTGTGGTGTACTGTGTGTACTGTGGTATGTGATGTTGTGCTGTCAGGTTGGTGTGTGTGTGTGTGGTGTACTGTGTCTGTGTACTGTGTCAGGGTGTGCTTTTGACTGAGGCCCGGGCAGGGCATACTCAGGGGTAGGTGGGGAGCCGGGGGTAGTGGGGGGGGGGGAGCTCGGCGTGGTGGGGACCCGGCTAGACACCAACACGAGCAGGGGGAGGAGAGGCCTAGACAGGGGAGCAGCAACAGAAGGGAGAGAGAGACCCGGGGTAGAGGAAGAGAAAGGTCCGGGTTGTGTGGAGGCCCCGGCTCCGTAGGGGACAGCGCAGGGGAATATCGGGGACCTGGACCTGGGGAGCAGCAAGGGAAGGGAGAGAGAGACACCCGGGGTAGAGGAGGGTCCGTGTTGCGTGGAGGCCCCGGCAGGGGAATGTGGAGTGGGGAGGGCCTCACTTGAGCTGCTCCAGGGAGTGGAAGGCCCTCGGAGCTCGCGAGGCCGCGCCGCCGATCCAGCTCCTGGATTTGCTGAACATGGCGAGGTGGTGGAGGTGGTGGACGAGGTGGTGGAGGTGGTGGACGAGGTGGAGGAGGTGGACGAGGTGAAGGTGGACGAGGTGGAGGTGGAGGAGGAGGGGAGCCGCTCTCCGCTACTGCTCCCCGGCGACTCCGCCGAGGCCGCGGCGATCGGCCGCGTTGACCGCCATCGTCACCCGCGAGCTCCAAACCCCCTCGGCGTCTCTCGGCGGCTCCCGCGTGTCTCTGCGCGCCCGCCAGGGGGCGGCAGAAGCCGCCCGCCCGCCCGCCTTGCCGCAGCTGCACGGGGGGCGGGGTGGGGGGTGGGGTAGGGGGGGTGGAGGGGGGGGGTGTGGAGGGGGTGGGGAGGTGGGGGTAGGGGGTGTGGAGGGGGTGGGGGGGTGTGGATGGGGTAGGGGGTGTGGAGAGGGTATGGGGGGTGGAGGGGGTGGGGGGGTAGGGAGGTTGGAGGGGGTGGGGGTGGGTGGGGGGGGGTGGGGGTGGAGGGGGTGGGTAGGGTGGGGGGTGGGGTGTGGAGGGGGTGGGGGGTAGGGTGGGGGTAGGGGGGGGGGTGTGGAGGGGGTGGAGGGGGTAGGAGGGTGTGGAGGGGGTGTGTAGGGTGGGGGTAGGGGGGGGGGGGGTGTGGAGGGGGTGGGGGGGTAGGGTGGGGGTAGGGGGTGGGGTGTGGAGGGGGTGGAGGGGGTAGGGGTGTGGAGGGGGTGTGTAGGGTGGGGGTAGGGGGTGGGGGTGTGGAGGGGTGGGGGGGGTAGGGTGGGGGTAGGGGGTGGGGGTGTGGAGGGGGTGGAGGGGGTAGGAGGGTGTGGAGGGGGGTGTAGGGTGGGGGTAGGGGATGGGGGTGTGGAGGGGGGGGGGGGGGTAGGGTGGGGGTAGGGGGTGGGGGTGTGGAGGGGGTGGAGGGGGTAGGAGGGTGTGGAGGGGGTGTGTAGGGTGGGGGTAGGGGGTGGGGGTGTGGAGGGGGTGGGGGGGTAGGGTGGGGGTAGGGGGTGGGGGTGTGGAGGGGGGTGGAGGGGGTAGGAGGGTGTGGAGGGGTGTGTGTAGGGTGGGGGTAGGGGGTGGGGGTGTGGAGGGGGTGGGGGGGTAGGGTGGGGGTAGGGGGGGGGGGGTGTGGAGGGGGTGGAGGGGGTAGGAGGGTGTGGAGGGGTGTGTAGGGTGGGGGGTAGGGGGTGGGGGTAGGGGGTGGGGGTGTGGAGGGGGTGGGGGGGTAGGGTGGGGTAGGGGGTGGGGTGTGGAGGGGTGGGGGTAGGGGGTGGGGGGGTGTGGAGGGGGTGGAGGGGGTAGGAGGGTGTGGAGGGGGTGTGTAGGGTGGGGGTAGGGGGTGGGGGGTGTGGAGGGGGTAAGGGGGTGCGGAGGGGTGGGGGGGGTAGGGTGGGGGTGGAGGTTCTAGGGGGGTGGGTTGGGGGGGTGGCTTTGCTCGCTGCCTGCCGGTTCGAAGTGACGCCGTGCAGCGTCATCAGGAGAGGGGGGGGGTCATTAGCAGGTGACGTCTTTTGTTTACTCGCTGCGTGATGACGTCGCCCCCCCCCCCCCTCGTTGACAGACGGCGACGCGGAAACCGCTGTGACGTCATGACGTCACCTGGAACATGACGCAGCCGAATCCATAGAACTCGCTGATGAATTGAAACAGAATCGGAATGTTTATTTGTACTGCAGGAGGAATCCGATGAGCTTTAAAGCTCTTTTTTCACAGATACCCAGTAAGGGCACGGGGTAAGAACGTTACAACAGCAAACAGTACAAAAACACGATTGTAGTGCAAAGTATAAGGTAAACAAATAATCCAAACACATGCAAATAAAAATTTACAATCCCCATCCACTGCATTAACACATTCCTGCGGAGGGAGCTGGTAGGAACGTTGGGTTGCTCGGTCAATGGCCTGCAGGGTCAACAGCGGCGTGGTGTATTCCGCAAATATGCCCGACTGTGAGGGCGGGCACAGGCACCACGGGGTGACCAGCCCCTCCCCACCCACTGGGTGCAGATGCAGCACTTGTAAAAAAAATTACATAGAAAACAGGGGGAACATAGACATAGAGGACGGAGAGAGGGGGTAGAGAGAGGGGGGGTACAGAGAGAGGGAAGGGGCAAGAGGGGGGAGAGCAGAGCGTGAAATCCCTTGTGAAATCTTTCATTTAAAAAGGGGAGGGGGGGGCACATAAAGCAAAGCATTGAAAAAAACCGAAATGATGAACGAAGCAAAGTGCCGACTACACCGAGCATCTTCTTGTTTCCTCTGATCGTAATTTTTTTTTAGAGAGGAGAGAGTGAGTGGTGGAGTGGGGACTAGGACACAAAGTTGGGCAGTGGTGTCCTCTGGTGATGAGTGACGGGTGACTGAACGAGAGGGCTTTGCAAGTCTCCGGGGCATGGCTTCATCAAAGAAGGTACCGATGTTTTATTATCGCTCACAACAGGACCTTTCAAGTCTCAAGGTTATTTTGTTTGACCAATAGGCAAGGATCAGTCTCATTTGCCAGAGTGATCTGGCCTTTGCACGGTGATTGTCATGTTGAATTTATTTTCAATTTGCTCGCTAATACGGTAGTGGCCTGAATTCAAAGATCAATTCTGCACAATTATGGATTTTTTTGTTCAAACCTTTACATGGTTTTGATAACTGCTGTCAATATCTAATCAAAGTGCTGAGAAATTTAATTTTAATTGCTGTAGAGTATTGCTATAAATGCAGTACTATTTATCATGGTTGGTTCATATGTGGAACCTCCGGCACACAGCCTCTTTCTTGGTAATCGTAGAGTCGCTGTTTGGTATAATATATAACGGCAGGAAATGTTGTAATCATCGTGATTTGTGTTTGATACATCACCCTTTACACTGGGGCACCTTTGAACGCTTTACATGCATTAAGGGGGTAAAAGCTGATCTGCCCCTCCTGGGCATCTGTAAAAAAAAAAGAGCTTCATAGATCATCGGATTCCTCCAGTCTAAATGAATATTCGGACTCTGTGTCACATCTCATCAATAACACATTTGAAAGGGCACCCCCAGCGGCAGCTCTCCCTGGGGCACGTGGGCACGAGTCGGCCAATAGGGGGCGATGGTCACTCGGGGAGCGGGTTGATAATCTGTTTCATTTTAAACGTTTAACCTATTGCGTCGTGTAATTAAAAAATGTTTATTGATGTGTAATGTACATTTTGAGCGTGTTAATCTGTGAATGTATGTATGTCGAACTTATTTCGCACCATACCTAGCCAACCGTGCTAATCGGAGGTGACGCGCTCTGAGACGGTATTATTGTGAAGGGCACTATACGAAATAATGTTTTGATTGAGTCATTTGTGGGGACAGTTTTTAATTCAAAATAATTTTGACCATGACGCCGATACTCAATGGCCTACTCGTTTGCATGATGTGAGGCGCTGTTTTAACGTCCTCTCTCTTGAAGTGCACGGCACGTTGTTAACAGGTTAGCACGACCCTCAGTAATAACCAGGGCAGCCTGAAGGATCCGAACTGCAAACCTCTGCAATTCACTGCTGGATGGGGTGGGGGGGGCATCTCCATGCCGTGTGGGTCTTGGGGGGTTATTTGATCATACTTCACCATGCTGGTCAATGTAGGTCGGTAAAAATATTTCCGTTTATGCAACAAAATGCAATCTCGTACAATCTGTTATCCTGGTTAATGCTGACATTTTGCAAAGGACAGATGGATAATGAGGATTTAACACTGTAATATGCTGATTTATGTACCAGCTTTACTTTCTCAGGCAAAGCCTAAAAAGGAAACATGGAATGCAGCCAAACATAAATCCGTTCTAATGCAGACCGCTCTCAAGAACGTGCTCTGTACCCTGCGTAGCGGACTGCATTCTCACAAACAAATACACCTTCCAGCAGATACATAATAATTATTATAAGTCATATTTGTATTATATGGCATCGCTTAAATGCCTCCTAAACTTTGTACACTTCATACAGTGACATGACCCTTAACACACACACAGTGTAGCATCAATAGATGCAATACATCTGTGAAACAGCCCCCATATATCCTACACCTGTGGTCTATATTTAGAACTTCTTTGTGTTTTGATTTAAAGCTTTCGTGACTGCAGGGATTCATATTCTTGGTTCTTTCGGTAAAGTCACGTAGAAGGGAAACAATAAAATAATACAAATAGAAAACAATAAAATTCTCACGACGTTTCGATTGCAACACAAGCAATCATCATCAGGTGACTTTACCGAAAGAACCAAGAATATAACTTATTTGTGTTTAGCACCTCGGATTAGCACGGTCGGCTACGTACGGTGCGAAAGAAGTTCAACATACGTACATGCATAAACTCAAAGCACCTTGATTTAAAGCTTTCGTGACTGTAAGGATGCATATTCTTAGGTTTTTTCGGTAAAGTCACGTAGGTAAAAAATAAAAATTTATAAAAGTAAAATAAAATAAAAATCACAACGTTTCGGAGGCAACACAAGCTTCCGTCTTCAGGTGGAACCGTCACAGCACGATAGCTGTATCAATTTTAATTTTTTACCTACGTGACTTTACCGAAAAAACCTAAGAATATCAAAGCACCTTGCATCCCATGTCTTGGGGGGTATGTGCTCTCATTCGCAAGTGGGGGGGGGAGGGGGGTTCCTGTGATACCGTTCGAATGGAGTGGGCCGTTGTGTGCTGGCCCAATGCTCAAAGTTCGCCAGGTTTAAGGGGTTACCCCTCCAGTAACTCAGCTGGGCTCACACGCAGCAATCGTTGCAAGGCCGCACAGGGGCAGCTGCCACTGGGGGTCCCCCTTCGAACTGTTGAGATGAGATGGACGGAGCTTTTGAGTTGTTGAGGCATTTAAGCGCCATGTAAATAATGACGTTTCTGACATTCTGTAAGCGTATTAATTCTAGATTTGAAGCTTTCGTGACTGCAAGGATTCATACTCTTAGTTCTTCGGTAAAGTCACGTAGGTAAAAAATGAAATTAAAATTAATAAAAAAAATCACGACGTTTCGGAGGCAACACAAGTCTGATCTGGCTGTGACGGTCCCACCTGATGACGGAGACTTGTGTTGCCTCTGAAACGTCGTGATTTTTATTTTTATTCATTTTTCTTTCATTTTTTACCTACGTGACTTTACCGAAAGAACTAAGAGTATATATTCTGTAAGTGCTCTCTACGCCGGGGGCGTCTCAGAGAGCACTTGACACACAATAATCAATCGATATCACATCTCATCTCAATCGATATTAGTTGTCCCTGTGGGCACAGTGACTCAGCACCTGATCTGCAACCGGGAATTAGTCTGCCAGTAGGGGCCGATGGTTGCAGCAGTGTGTAATCCAAATGTTGTAATTTGTGGGTAATTTTTTTTTTAATGCAATTGCGTGTGATTTCATATTTGCGTGCATCTCTGTTTTTGTAGGTGGAATGCTTGGTTTGCAGAATGCAGGATAAGCAGACAGGAGTTCCGCTGCTCACTCGTCATTTTATCACCTTTGCTATCCCCAACGCAATCATCGGTAACACACTGCGTATGCAATGCTCTCCTGAACAATTAACATCTGAATATATAAATCAGCTCAAGTCTCCCTTAAATCACATGAATTCTGTGTGGCTACCCACACTCTGAATTTCTCCCCTCTGTGAAACTTAGGGGCGTCACAGTGGCGAGATGTTAACTACCTGGCCTAGACGTGGGCTCCATCCCGACCCTGACGCCTGCTGTATTAGCATGTTATCCCCATGGTCGCCTGGATTTTTTTTCCGGGTCCTCCGGTTTTTCCCTTCAAATTTTTGAAATGTGCGTCTAGAGAATTTGTCTGTGATAAATTTCACATGCAAGGCATGACGGAGGGACCAATGTTATAGTTAGAAACATACATTTTTCTGTCTATAAATGAACATTTTCTTGCACTGTTCTGTCCGACAAGTGTCTCATCATATATAGAGCGTGTTAGGGTCGGTTTAAATGCCAATTGTCTACGACTGGAGCCCGGTGTAAGCGCCATTCCCATCTGTTCTAGGCTATAACATTGCTGACTGGATGTTAAGGGACATGAAAATCACACAGGAAGGTGAGATGCGTTCAATTTTGTGAAATCTTTCGAATGCTGTGATTGTTTCCTATGAACACCAGATGTGTAATCAAATGTTTTCTGAGTAATTTTTGTGGTTGCTCACGGTTATCATATCAGGGTATTTTATAATTTAAGAGAATCGAGGTCTCATGTGAGACATAAACAGTTGGCTGTCCATCCCGACCACAGACGAATTTGAAAACTGTGTGTGCTCTTCCACTCGGATGTCAATTATTCGAGGTCATTGCGACAGTCTTTCACATATCATTATCGTCGTCGTAATTGTGTTAACCGACGGGGGAATATTATGTTCTCAGAAACATCTAACCTTTGTAACCTGCTGGTGAAGTATGGATACTTGTACCCCGTTCGTCCAGCCGCACGCCTCGGCTTTCACCCAAGCAAGCTGTACCACTTCCAGGTAGACAAGAATCACATGACCCTTAACACACACACATACACAGTGTAGCATCAATAGATAGAATACATCTGTGATACAGCCACCGCATAGTCTACAGCTGTGGTGGTCTATAAGAAGCCACTGGAGCTATACACTTTTAAAACTAAATTGAAAATGAATTTCTTTAGCACCGCTTTTGGTGTTTAGTTTGTTGTCCTGCAGCCTGCGATTAGCACGGTTGTTTACGTACGGTGCGAAATAAGTGCATACATCGCATCTCATAGCATTACAATTATTTAACTTACATTTGTAACGCACACTGGAATTAAATCTGTTTTTAAATAATAACAATTTTGTTTGTGTTGTTTAACAATTGTGCTTATTTTTCCCATTGTGCACAATTACTTCCCCGAGAAGTCATCATTTATGTGTAACTTGAGTGTTAAATTTATCAGTGACTACGTAATGTTCTGACAAAATCTCCACCACCCAACACAGCCAGACAGAGTAATAGTCACGTGTACAAGCATTACATTAAAACAAAATTACAAATCATAATATTGGCTGCGAAACCACACGTGTTCTGCGTCTAAAGGTTGACCAATATTGACCGCTTTTCTTCCTCTTGACCCGTTTGAGGCAGACTCCTTACTTCTGGCCAGACAGACACCGAGAGGCCAGCGACGTGGAGTACGGTGAGCCAGTCCTGACCACGCCAGGTCCTCAAACGAGATTAGCGCTCCACTGACACACGACACCACGATGACACACGAGGGCAGGGGGCGTCAAACTCTATCGGTTTGGATTGCAATGCACCTCCCGCGGGTTGCCACACCGATGGGCCTATGAAAATATAATAATAAGAATGTGTTCATTTACTGAACATCAGCTGTATGAAAACGGTCCGTAAATTCACGTCAACAACCAACGTAAATCTTCTTGGTTCTTTCGGTAAAGTCACGTAGAAGGGAAATAATAAAATAATAAAAATGAAAACAATAAAATACAATTCTCACGACGTTTCGGCCACAACGCAAGCAGCCGTCCTCAGGTGAAGAACAGGTCTGTCGGAAAGACAGCGGCTGAATGAACACCACCAAGCTTGGTGGCGTTCTACGTGACTTTACCGAAAGAATCAAGAAGATGAATCCCTGCAGTCACGAAAGCTTTTGACTTTACCGAAAGAATCAAGAAGATGAATCCCTGCAGTCACGAAAGCTTTACATCGAAATTTAACGGACGTAAAGTCAAAACACATTAATGAATAAAATGATGTGTCTTCAGAGACATGATGACGTCTCATCTCAAGCGCATTTATTTTCAATTTATTTAAGGGGCGCCACGGTGGCGAGATGTGATCTTCGTATGGTCCACAGATTGCATTATAATGAAAATGTTATAAATATTGATATTAACTTTGTTGAACAGTGAAGTCTATCTTGCAAAATAAAAAATGTTTTATCTGCGGGTTCACATCTGTGGTTTGCACAACAATCCCGTGGCATAATAAAGCTGTTTTTTAGTTAGATCGCGTAAATATATAAATGTGTTGTTAAACCCGCTACCACCCGACACAGCCAATTAGTAAGGTTTGTCACGTAAACAGAACAAGCCAACACATCGGTGTGCTGTACTAGTAACGAATCGGCACGTTCTGTTTATGTGACAAACCTTACTAATTGGCTGTGTCGGGTGGTGGCGGGTTTAACGACACATTTATATTGATGCGATCTAACCCAACAACAACCTGTATTATGGATAATATTGGTCGCGAAAGACACGTGTTAAATACCGTGGCATTCCAGGCGCCTTGCTCAAATGATGTGTTTGGGGACATTTGTTGTTGTTGTTGATATTTTAATTACAGCTGTGCATCTTGTCAAGAAAAATGTTCTAAGTAATGGACAACTGGCAGAGTATGAGAAGGTATGTGAACACTGAAGTAACTGTAATTAATGTTATTTAATTAGTGGTGTAGTAACTGCATTATCAGCTCAGGGGTTGCGGAAATCGGTCAGGTGGGGCCCCAACATTTGATTTGTCTTACACGGTCACAGGGTGCTTCAAAAATATGTTAACACTTTGGAGAATTTGCAACAATACCGCAAGAAATGTGCCTCCGGGCTCTGGAGAGCACCTGGAGAAGATTCCAGGCAATCTGTTGACAATGATGACAAACAAGTGGAGACTCTTTGACTTTTTGAAGCTATTAACATACATTTGTTAGAATGTTACAGTGTAGTATCCGTTCTTTTTACACGCTTTCTATTAACTCACTCTGTTGTTGTCGTTGTCGTATCCTCAAATCTTGTAGCTCAATTTTAACCCACTTCCCAATGTGGTATCGACTGAAAACTTGGTATACTTATGTCATACTGATGACAATACAATATTCTATCAAAAAAATAAAAACATATTTTTAAACATTCATTTTTATATGTTTTGTTTCGGCTTGGGTCTAATTGTCCACGCTCAACTGACGTTGGCTGTAATTGGCTACGGTCCCTTACGTCATGGCAAGCTTTGGGGCCACTTTCCTGGCAGAGGTGTGGACTCGAGTCATGTGACTTGGACTCGAGTCAGACTCGAGTCATGAATTTGATGACTACCGAGTTGACCAGACTCGAGTCATGAATTGATGACTTCAGACTCGACTTGGACTTGCATAACAATGACTTTGTCCCACCTCTGAGGTGTGGACTCGAGTCATGTGACTTGGACTCGAGTCAGACTCGAGTCATGAATTTGATGACTTCAGACTCGACTTGGACTTGCATAACAATGACTTTGTCCCACCTCTGCTTCCTGGAGTCGTGGAGTTCTTCCATTACTAGTAGGGTACGTTTCATTAAAGCGTGTTTAAAAAAAAGTATTTTTAAATGTTACTTATTCCATTAAAAACGATAGTCCTGTATAAGTGTTGAAACAATTTTGAAGCACCCTCCCTGTATGTCGCAGCTCCTCTTGACTAATCACATCTTGACATAAGTTTTAGTTTTTTTACACTGTTGTTGAAATATAATCTCACGGTGGTTGTTAAGGGGGGCCCCCAAATTCGTAGCTTTGGCCACCGGCCTGGGGAGGTGGGGGGGCAATGCACCCCCTTGCCTGCCCTCCACGTTAAGTTACGCCACAGCAATGAACATAATGCACAGAGGTGGAAATGGACGCTATACCAGCACCTCTCAGAACTTTTCAGAACGCCTCATCTTCCGAAGTGCGAGACTATTCCGCTACTGATGGAATCGGAAGTTAAAACCGTGGGGCTGCAGGACGAATTGGGTTTCATAGCGGCCCTTCTGAACTCCCCACTTCGACCGCTGGCTACGCAACGCATGTCATGTTTGCTGCACAGGTGCAGTATCACCAACTCTACAGGAGTGAACACCACAAGTGGGACTTTGTGATCATTCAGGCTCAAGAGCAAATTCGGTTAGTGTGTGAGCTGACACAACATTGCACTTTGAAACGGTGTAAATATTGAAATGTATTGATAACTCATACCGCGCAGAATTCATGGTATGGATGTCTCGTTTTATTATATATTGAATGGAACTTGATTTGAAGCTTTCGTGACTGCAGGAATTACTCTTTGGATATTTCGGTAAAGTCACGTAGAAATAAAATAAATAATAGAATACGACTTTTCGATTGCGACACAAGCAACCGTCATCAGGTATGAACGAATGAGAAAACAAGTGCAGTGGGAAGCGAGTGGAAGCACGTAGGAAGCACGTGGGACGGAAGTGGGAGGCAGGGGAAGCATTTGCTTCCCACGTGCTTCCCACTCGCTTCCCCCCGGCCCTTACGACGGGCCGGGGGCTCCAGGATCTCACCACTGGCCCACAGAGTCCCAGCCCTGACAAGGGCAGCGGGGCTAGGGGTCCCAGGGTACTAGCCAGCTGGTCTTCTTGCTTCTGTCTTGGACTGGCCCTGGACCGAACCAAGGGTTCGGCTTTTATTCCCAGCACCGGTGCGTCAGCCCCTGGCCCCGCCTACCTTCCAGAGAGTTCCAGGGAGGGCTCCGGGGGATCCAAGAACACCCCGCAGACCCCTCCTGCTTTGGGGCTAGGAATATAGCGACTGCTCCTGCTGGTCCGTGTCTGCCCTTGCAGCTAAGTGTACACAGCCCATTGACATCTCGGCACAACACGTGCATTGGAGCTGAGCGTGTGTTTGTCTAGGACTCTGCAGGAACGAAGAAAAGGAGATCGGGCTGTGTTGGTCAGCCAGGAGCAGGCCTACTGGAGGGTGGCACGGCCACCGGTAAGTCCGCAAAGATTCTGCAGGCCGAGACCGTAGCGAAAGGTTTCATGTGTCAATCACCATACTGACACACGGTATATATTTTTAAAATCTAGAATGCTATTGCATGGCAGACCAACCTCTCGATAGCTACTAATAGTGGAACTATTGATATGCCAATTTAATACTGGCCATCAGAAAACTAAACAAAACATTTTCATCAAGCCCCACAGTGTAAAGTGGCAATCTTCAACTCTGATGATCCTCCGGCCTCTCTACGTGTGTGCAAAGAAGAAAAATTAACCCGTAAGAACAAAGTTTTTCACTCTAAATCCTTTATATGCGTGGCGGCTAGAGTCCTCTCGTCCTCTGGCTTGAGATGGCTGCCACCTATGGGTCAGATGATTGTCTGCCAGCATTAAGCAATTGGTAATTAAATATTTTTAAAAAATTCCCTAAACAGTGTAAAATTTTGGAAAAAAATTTTCACGAAAATTAATTGTCCCGCACAACGAGTCTGTGTGGAAAATGTCAGCTCGATTGGATCACGGGAAGTGGGTTAAAAAACGACCGAAAGATTTGCACGGCCGTAAGCGCGCAAGCAAGCAAACTTAATATAAAGGATTTAAAAAGGAGCCATCGCCCGAAATGTCACCGATGATGTCGTCGGATATGTGGATACCTCTCCCAACTCCGTCTCGGCAACTGGTCTCCCCCCCCCCGCCCCAAACTGCTCAGATATCCTACCGAACGCAACAGTTTTTGTTTTTGGCCTCACGATACCTGACGGAAGAAAGGTGACTCACTGTGGATTAACAATAATCCGTCTCCTGAACATGGAGAACTCGTGTAACTTTGTTTTGCAGCCTGGACTTGACAACGATGCATTGAATGGACCTGTAAAGCACACGATGGCTTTGCATCGCGAGCAGGTAATAGGTAAGCTATCCGCTTTCCATTTGAATACTCAAAAAGCGATTTTAAAGTCACAACACCAATTAGCGCAGTTGGCTACGTACGGTGCGAAATAAGTTCAACATGCATAACGTGCATAAACACTCTACGTGCTATTCTTTCAAATAAAAACCAGTCTGTTTGTTTTTCCCCCCCCCCGACAGCCTACACGCACGTGGCAGCTGAGCCGAGCCCTCCGTGTCACTCGAGGGACGTGAGCTAGAGTAGAGGACCTACAATGAGGGTCCATCTATTTATTTATTTCTTACATACGGCTGCCGGTGTAGATGCAGAGCAACGGCTACAATGTCGCATTCAGGTGGTTAAGCCACAGATAACCGCGTCAGGAGCAGTAGCGGAGTCGTGTATCATCGCCGTGATGTCTCCTTCGTATTTGAGCATCGGGGTATTGCCTCGTCACACGTTGTGTGGTCTGTTCTGGATGACCACATTTAGGGGTACATAATACACCACAACAAAGATTTTAAAAAATCAGCAAAAGCCGGCAAGTATCCTCATGTGATTGAACATGATAACCAACACATGAGAAAGCAAGTGTTTATTTACGTACAACAACGTTAATATATATTAATTTTAAGGAAATTTCATGCTCTCTTCAAAACATAAATTATTTTGAGAATGACACTGCTAATTAATAATGAAAGGTGCATGGCAACAGCATCGTCCCTACCTTGTGCCGTGGCGTCATGGTTTATTATCAACCTTTTAATATTCACTTCCTTAGTAACCTTTCTTATTTACCCCCAGGTTGCGGAACTTTACAAAAACCAGGTATTGTATTCTTTACATATTATTTATAATCAACATCTTTATTTTATTTTATTTATGGAGTGTCTTTCATACCACAAGGTTCAAAGCCACTTTATTTTAAATCATCTAGATTGAAAACTCATTGCTTTAGAACTGCTTTTTGTGTACGGTGTGAAAGAAGTTGAACATACATACATGTTGAACTTCAACACCGTACGTAGCTAACCATCCTAATCAGAGGTGTGGGGGAAGGACACCAAAATTAACACGATAAGCAGTTTTACAAAATTGACTTAAAGCTTTCGTGACTGCAGGAATTCATATTCTTGGGTCTTTCGGTAAAGTCACTTAACTTTACCGAAAGATCAAAGAATATAGTTTTAAAGAAATTGGTTTTAAATCTAGATTTAAAATGTTAAGTGCATAGCTCCAGTGGCTTACTAATATCGCAAGGAAGAGCGTTCCAGACGGCCGCAGACACTTCCATACTATATGCGATCACATCTCCTGGCGTGGCAGGTGAATGGAGCAAGTTTTTCAAATCCCTCCACCTCTGTCCATCGGCAGGTCACCTGTTGCAGGAGAAAGTGTGGGTAACACCCCCTCGTCAAACGCGGTTAGCGCTTCGCTGCGCTACGAACCCGGCGACCCGAGTTCGATTCCCGCGCACGGCTAACACCAGTGACGATCTTCTGAACCGGTCCTGGGCCTCCCCAAGGTCGATTCAGCCTCAAATGAGTATCTGGTGCGGTGTGTAAAAACATCGCCACTCGAGATACAAAGGTGTGGTGCTGGCCACTCACCCCCTCGTGTGCCATTCCGGCCTCCAGCACTTTCCCCGACAGTCTGATACGGCTATACGGGGGATCTTTGTCTTTGTCAAACGCATCTGGTCAACATGGAAGAGTAGACCAAATCCCCTCTAGAGTGGAGGCCCTTTCGCCAGCAGTGACATGAGCAAGGAATTGCAGTGCCAGCTCCATGCTTATTGAAACACGCTCGTAAAAAACGCTGTGAATTATGATGAGACTCGAACGAATAATAACCACGTGTTTTTGTTTGTTTCTCTCAACACTCGGTCACATTCATCCGTTGTCTGTCCCCCGTGTCTCCTGGCACCTGTTTACACACACAACCCCTCCAGATTGTGTATGGTCGCAGAGCTCTAGGCAGAGCGAGATTGAAGCCATCCGTCTCACTTGAGGGGTAAGTGTCTTCGTTAACATTCCAGTTCATAACGCTCGTCTTCGCCAGGCAAAAGTTTTCAATAAATATAATAGTTAAGGTCACATGATTTTTTTTTACCATTTTTATCTACGATCAGACACTAACAACTACTTCCTAAAATGTGTATGTTTTACCCTTGAAAGAAAAACACGAAAATTGTTGACGACTTGATTCAACTTCTTATATTTTATGATGTACCCATCAGAAACTGCTCGATTTAAAGATTCAGTTCTTGTTTTAATATGAAGAGAAACCCCTATCTTTTACCGTTTTCGAATTATTCAGATTTGAACATCATAAAACGCGGATTTTTTTTCGTTGAAACCCGCTGTAATCCGAAATATCTAAAAAACAATCAAAGCTAAAACAATGGTTCTCGATTAAATTGTATTTTCTGTTTAACGCTCTATCAAAATAAAAAAAAAACGCAATCTTATATTTTGAACGGTTTCTGAATGACACGCACAAACATGTTGATGGGGCACTTAAAATCGAGATTTGAGGGTTTTAAAATGAAAACTTTCGGATTTTCAGATTTTTCCTGTTGCTTGTGACCTAAAAGCTACATATGTAGCAAATTTCAGCTTTCTGCCTTGTCGGGAAGTACCCTTGAGGTTTTTTAGACATACAGATTTATGTATATTTTATGTATATATGCTTCTAAAGTGACTGTTATTCCAGGACGAATGTGATTGCCTTCACTTGATTAATTTAAGATAAATCACTCGTGTAACTTTGTTTTTGTCAAATACTTCTTTCAAAGGACGTTGTGTGGTTCGAATGGAGGTCAAACGTCTGCGCAGTACTTGGTTAAAACAAAACACGTGTTTTTTAAGGTACAATTGTGTCCAAATCTATGCAGGCTCCTCAAATACAGCGAGCAGTTCATTCCACTGGACCCCGTGCTGAGCGGTTGTTTGCCCAATAACCCCTGGATGAGCGATGACACGACATACTGGGTTCTCAACGATACAATGTGCGTACCAGCGTTTCCATGTAGCCACACGTATGTCGGCTATATGTATGTTGAACTTCTTTCACGCCGTACGTAGCCAACCATTGCGCTCATGATATCAAGTCGTTAAAACGTTATTCGTAGCGATAAACATTTACTTGTTTACCCCAGGAAAGCTATACTGAGTCCGAAGACTCTTTTATTTTTACACGAGGAACCTGCTACGTTGGGATGTTTGGTCAACGCCATAACTTTTTTACACGCTTTTATTTAACTCACTCTGTTGTTGTCGTATCCTCAAATAATGTAACTCAATTTTGACCCACTTCCCAACGTGGTATCGACTGCAAACTTGGTATACTTATGTCATACTGATGACAATACTATATTCTATCATAAAAATAATAAATATATTTTTAAACATTCTTTTTTATATGTTATGTTTCGGCTTGGGTCTAATTGTCCACGCTCAACTGACGTTGGCTGTAGTTGACCACAGCCCCGTACGTTATGGCAAGCTTCGGGGCCACTTCCTGGAGTCGTGGAGTTCTGCCATTACGAGCACATTTCATAAAAGCGTGTTTAAAAAAAAGTAAAAAATAATTTATTAACTGTAGGAAAGAGACTGGTGAACCCGGAAGAAACCCAAATAGAGCAGGGGGAGAACATACAAACTCCATTCAGAAAGGAGCCCGTTTCAGAAATCGAACCCAGGCCCTGCTTGCTGAGAGGCTAAATCGTGACCACTGCACCACCACCCCTGCTGCCAGATTATTATATATACGATGCCTGCATTTTACTAATCATTTCGCTACATTCGATAATTGGAGAATCTTGACCATAGTTAATTTTAGCTCGAATATGAATGCCTAGATTCGCAGTGGCGAGATGTTTTTTCCCACGCCTCATATGAAGGAGGTCGTGGGTTCGATCCCAACCCTGACGCCTGCATGCTGTCTCCGTGGTTGCGTGGATTTTTCTCCAGGTCCTCCCGTTTTCCCTCTACATTTAGAATCAACGTGCGTTTAATGTATTTGGCTGCTAGAAATTTCCACGTGATAAGCCACTTCGTTGAGCTATCTTTTGTGATGACCAGGTCGCTTCTGGAAAAGAACTACGTAATCAGTGGGGCCGTAGGGGCCGTCCATAAATGACGTCACGCACCTAGAGAGAGGGGGGGTGAGAAATGTGACGTCACATCAAAATGCGCAGCTTTAAATAAATATAAACAACACGTTCTACTTAATTAAATATACTTTTTAATGAATTTTTTCTCCTACAACATCAGAGTGCAGCGCCACATTAAATACGCACTACAATGACAATAGTTTAAAGCGATTTGAAGAATTTTTTTATTGGGGGGGGGGGCAGAGCTTTGTGACGTCATATTTGAGGGGGGATCGGACTTTTTGTGACGCCGTGTGACGAGGGGGGGAGGTCAAAAATTGTCCAAAATGGCGTGACGTCATTTATGGACGGCCCCTTACCTGGTAAAATAAACATCATTTAATAATAATAATGATAGCAGCAATATTGTTGATAAATGCAATTTGCATGAAAATATTTCGCAATGTCAAAAAATAAAACGTGATTATTTAAACGTGGGGGGGGGGGGGGGGGGGAGTCCACGTAAGTTGTGGGAGATGCTTTTGTTATCGGCAGGGTGGAGGTGCCATTGAGACTGCGAGTGGAGCGCTGGTCCTTCAGCTTCCAAGAGCTGATTCAGGACTTGCGCGGTCGCAAGGAATTCAAGGAATTCTTGTGCATGGAGTTCAGCGGTGAGCAGATCAGCGTAACCCCCGAGGAATGCGAGTCTGCGTTGTATTTACTATAGCAACCGTGATAGTATTGTGACGCTTGGAATTACCTTCAATGTGTTTGCTTAAAAGCTCGTTATGAAAAGAAATGCGCGCTTTGATGGTGAGCTCATTGTGCCAGCCCAGAGTGAAAGGCTCCACGTGGTGTCCGTGTTAAAGTGGTTTATACCACTTAGGTTTTTTCGGTAAAGTCACGTAGGTAAAAAATAAATAACAAAAATAATAGAAGAAATATTAGAAATAAAATAATAAATTTCTCTTTGGTTCTTTCGGTAAAGTCACGTATAAAGAGAAAATAATAAATTAAATACTAGCATATGATGTTTCGATTGCAACACAAGCAATCATCATCAGGTATAAATGAAATAGAAACACAAATCTAGCATACTTAGAAATGTAATGTAATACAACAGAGAGTCGGATAACATAACAGTCAACACCCTATACCTGGTTGATTACGTTCTTCCTGAGAATGCTAAATTTGAGAGAGAGCATTCTCAGGAAGAATATAATCAACCAGGTAGATGTTATCCGACTCTCTGTTGTATTACATTACATTTCTAAGTATACTAGATTTGTGTTTCTATTTCATTTATACCTGATGATGATTGCCCGTGTTGCAATCGAAACGTCGTATGCTAGTATTTAATTTATTATTTTCTCTTTATACGTGGCTTTAACGAAAGAACCAAAGAGTAATTCCTGCAGTCACGAAAGCTCCAAATTAAGTAAAAATAATAAATCACGACGTTTCGGAGGCAACACAAGCCTCCATCCTCAGGTGGAACCGTCTCAGCACATTTGCTGTATTACTTGATATTTACTATCACTTGATACAATTGTGCTGTTACTACTACTTGATACATCAATTGTGCTGTGTTACTATCACTTGATACAGCAATCGTGCTGTGACGGTTCCACCTGAGGACGGAGGCTTGTGTTGCCTCCGAAACGTCGTGATTATTTTATTTCTAATATTTCTTCTATTATTTTTTTTTTCTTACGTGACTTTACTGAAAGAACCTAAGAGTATGAATCCTTGCAGTCACGAAAGCTTCAAATCTAGAATTAAAGTGGTTTACTCTGTCTGTGCAGGTGAAAATCTCAGTTTCTGGGAAGCCTGCGAAGACCTTTTATATGGAGACTGCACCAGGGTGCATGCAAAAGTTGAACAAATTTACACGTAAGGATGTGTGCTCTTTATTTTTTTTTACCAATATTTGATAAGGGGCGTCCATAAATGACGTAACGCGATTTTGGACGATTTTTGACCACCCCCCCCTCATCACACGGCGTCACAAAAAGTCAGCCCCCCCCTCAAATATGACGTCACAAAGCTCTGCCCCCCCAAAAACATTTCCATTTTTAAAATAAAACATGACTCAAATCGCTTTAAACTATTGTCATTGTAGTGCGTATTTAATGTGGCAATGCACTCTAATGTTGTTGGAGTGTTGTTGTAACAATTAGTGTTGTTATAACAATTGCATATGTATTTAAAGTTGCGTATTTTTACGCGACGTCACATTTCTCAAACCCACCCCCCTCGTCACACATCGTCACAAATGTCTGACCCCCCCAGGTGCGTGACGTCATTTATGGACGGCCCCCTAACAGCAACAACAACAAAAAACTGACTTCACATTTAATCATCGACGTATTCCAGGCATGGGTAGAAAAAACCCAATTTTTCCAGCGGCAGGCATCGGGTTTTTTCTTTAATACAATTAAGCCCGATTTCGGGGAATTAAAACCTGGTTTAATGAATACGAAACTCTGATCCAAGGCTTAGGCTGCTTCCTCGTCGGTGCTGCTATCGTACTCGGGGGCGTCGGGCACGGGGTCGTCGTAGAATGCGGCGGGCAGGTTGGTCGTGATGAACACGAGCTTCTCCACAATCGTGGGCACTGCCAGTGAGTTCCTTAGCTTGGAATGGATGAAGCCCATCGTTGAGAAGTGCGGTTCTGCAATTAGAACCAATTAAACCGGATTTCTCCCAATCTCAGATGATCGGGTTTAATATAAAAAGACAATTAAACCTGATTGTAAAAAAACCCGACTGTGCCACCCTTGATTCCAGGCGCGGGTTTACTGAGTTGGGCTGCGCTTTGAGCTGTTCACCACACAACGCGTTCACCATACAACGCGTTGACCACACAACGCGTTCACCACACAAGGCGTTCACCACACAACGCGTTCACCATACAATGCGTTCACCATACAACGCGTTCACCACACAACGCGTTCACCACACAAGGCGTTGACCACACAAGGCGTTGACCACACAACGCGTTCACCACACAAGGCGTTGACCACACAAGGCGTTGACCACACAACGCGTTCACCATACAACGCGTTCACCACACAACGCGTTCACCACACAAGGCGTTGACCACACAAGGCGTTGACCACACAACGCGTTCACCACACAAGGCGTTCACCACACAACGCGTTCACCACACATGGCTGCGTGCGTGGCCAAAGCTTAAAGAAACGCGCATTGCTCAGCCCAACCAGAACTGCTCTCCACCTGAGGACGGCTGCTTGCGTTGTGGCCGAAACGTCGTGAGAATTATTTTATTATGTTTTATTTTTATTTTATTTTTATTATTTTATTATTTCCTTTCTACGTGACTTTACCGAAAGAACCAAGAATATCAACCAGAACACCCGCACGTGGGAGCACGAGCGGCTGCGAAAGCTTCCGTGTTGAATTCTTAAAAGAGCTTCGGGTAACTTTTAAACTATTTGTGTTCGTTAACTTGCCATTCATGAATCCGTTTGCCATTTTTAGAGACTTCTTAGCTCCCTGGGCTAAACGCTGCATCAACATTGACGCGAAGACGATGGCGGTGACGTTGGAAGGGCTCAAATCTCCACATCGTTACGTTCTCGAAGCAGCCCAAACACACATTTACATGCTAATGAAGAAGGTAAGCACAGTATCACGTTAATATACTCGATTACCCTCTTATACTGGTAGGAACCACCTGGTTCTACCAGCCCACAGGGGATTATTGTGTCCGTCCGTTGTGCATCCAAAAATGGGTGGGGTGGGGCTGGGTGGAGAGGGGAGGGGCTGGGTGGGGAGGGGCTGGTCACCCCGTGGTGCCCTTATAAAACTCAACGTTTAACCTACTCACGCCGGCTTGTGCCCGCCCTCACAGTCGGGCATATTTGCGGAATACCCCACGCCGCCGTTGACCCTGCAGGCCATTGACCGAGCAACCCAACGTTCTTACCAGCTCCCTCCGCAGGAATGTGTTATTTAGGTACATACCCATCCATCATGGGCTGCATCACAGTGCTGCTCTCTCCGATATATCCCCACCCTTACCCTCTCCTCCACCCCTTCTACTCTAAAAGTGGTGCTTTTTGTTTGATAATTTTTATTTTGTAAAGCGCCTTGGGAATGGCCCTGTGGCTCAGCAGTAGGGCGAGCGGCTCACATCCTGATTGGGGGGGTTTACTCAGCCCATCATCCCTCCAGGGTTGATCAAATAAGTATTCCTGTGGGGGAACTCAACACCGGTTATCCTATGGACTTGCTCCTGCCACAAAAAGAGGAATTTTCACCACTGGCACAAGGCTGTAAACGGGAGATATTCACAGCGTTGGGAAGCATCTTAAAATGTGATTGCTTTCACACAATAACATTTGAAATGATTTGTTTTGACAGGACTCGTATCCACGCTACCTCAAGTCTGACTTATACAAGTCGATGCTGGCTGGAGCTATAGTTCTATCTGCAGGAAACGCACACTCCCACTGAGAAGTTCCAAGAGTGGCTAGCCACCCTTAGACTGCTGGACTCCCACATTGCATGATAGTGCTGGCTGCATCCACCAGTGTTGACAACTGGAAATTATGAAGGGGTACTGTCTAATTAGATTTAATTCCATTAACATTTTTAACCCCTATAAGACCCAAATTATGTATGTTTAACTTCTTTCGCGCCATACGCAGCCAACCGTGCTAATAGGTGTGGGAAATTATCAAGTAACATTGCTGGGTTATTTTTTTTCAACTTTCGGAGGCATCAGTTATTGGTCACCATGGTTGTATAGTTTTGTTCAGGTATAGTCGTGTATGATATAAATGGAGCACATTCCTACGAATAAGCAGATGTAAAATCTGGAAATTTGATCAACTACAAAATCCAAGGGAGGAAACCGAGTTCAAAGTGACGGAAACACATTTCCACATTGTTCACATTCGTAAATGTCGATGTGTTAAGTACTTGCCGGATTATCAGGTGACTAATGCGGTTATTATCACCATTTTTCATATCACGTGAGTCGGATGGAAATCGTATTGATATCAGCTGTGATCGATGCGACTGACAGTGACTGAAGCATGCTGACATGCACATTTGTTTATGATCTTTAATTAGTTTTGTTCGTGTGTTTATTAAGTGATGGCAGTTATTTTAATGATTGCTTAAGGGTTTTTGATAACTTGCAAGACAATAATTAATCCTATTATGTACTCTATAGTCCATGTTTAGAGTGTTTCATTAGGAATGCATACTTAAGTAACTAAATGTATAGAGGTATTGCATAAATAGAAGTTTCATGATATTCCAAGTCTTGATATTAGTAATACTGCAATGTGTGTCAATTCAAAACAGTACCGTCTAGCATTGTAATTTTAAATTTCAAATAAAGTGGAGACTTCACAACATGAAACGTTTTTTAATGTATGTTGAACTTCTTTCACACCATACGTAGCCAACAATCGATAGTTGATTCGGGATTTGCATCTCTCGTTTGTTCCGTCCTATTTCTTCCAGCCATTACACTAAAATAAATAATTTTATACATCAAAACATATTCACGTATAATTTCACGTGTGTATTGTGACCCCAAAAAAAGTAACTTTGATTCATTGGTTGAATGTTAAATGCCCGCTGCTCATGGATGACGTTACTTCATACCTGTCAAATCCCTTAACACATTCTTGCAGAGGGAGCTGGTAGGAACGTTGGGTTGCTCGGTCATTGGCCAGGATCAACGGCGGCGTGGTGTATTCCGCAAATATGCCCGACTGTGAGGGCGGGCCACAAGCCGGCGTGAGTAGGTTAAACATTGATTTTATCAGGGCATCACGGGGTGATCAGCCCCTCCCCACCTAGCCCCACCCCTCCCCACCCAGCCCCTCCCCACCCTCCCCTCCCCACCCAGCCCCTCCCCACCCTGCCCCTCCCCACCCTCCCCTCCCCACCCAGCCCCTCCCCACCTAGCCCCACCCCTCCCACCCCCCACCCAGCCCCACCCTCTCCACCCAGCCCCTCCCCACCCAGCCCCTCCTCACCCTCCCCACCCTCCCCTCTCCACCCAACTCCACCCCTCCCATTAAAATGTCCGTGTTTTCAAGAGGCTGAAATCTAGAAACATGTAAATGGACAGCAACCACGCCACTTTCAAACATCACACTCTTTTTTTTATTGGTAAAATCGTAGCAAAAGGACCACAACTTACAATGACCACCTGTAGTAATGCGAGTCAAGTCACTGAGCTCGCCAAATCCACACGGCCAGCAGAGGATGGCTCTGGAAAGCTCAGAGCATAGGACAGGCACTTTTGAAATTGCTTTACTTGTTTTTGCATTTATTTATTTGTACCTACGTGACTTTACCGAAACAACCAAAGAGTATGAATCCTTGCAGTCACGAAAACTTCAAATCTAGAATTGCTTTACTTTTGTCATAGAAGTAGGAGTTTCGTTTTTAAAAAATCTAATCAAATGCATTTATCTGATCCTAACAACACTGAAATTGTCAGTCAACGATACAAATGTTTAGGCTCTATAATATGTTCCCACATACAAAACATGCAATTGTTAAATACATAAACCACAGTAAAAGTATTTTAACATAAACCACAGTTAATGTATTTAACAATTATAAATATCTCAATGCCTTTATTAATTATAAATGCCTAAAATAATCTTGTGGTGATCTCACAATACAATGTGGCATCGAAAAGCACGCACACAAATTGGTTTCACTGCAGCCACTATTTGACTCCACTTACATTTATAATTCAATAAATACTGGGTTCCTGGGAAATAGGGGGTCACAGTGAAACATCGTCATCCCAACATCGCGACAAGGCCCATCAAATAGGATCAGTAAACAGCCTCCCTGTAACTACACTGGACCATAATGAGGTTCGCATCTCCGATGAGCGCGGTTTGTTACGTACGGTGCGAAAGAAGTTCAACACACAGATCACTTTCCAAGTAGCTGCTTCCGCTGCTGCTCCAAGAGGCCTTCAAGATGCTCTGCGCGCTTTACAGAAGCCTGCAGCACACGACTGCCGTTAAAGCACCGTGCCACGAACCACATGGCATTTACACTCAACTTGGAAATATGCAGCATCATCTGTTATTATAACGAACATTGGATTCTATAGTAATCCATCAAGTAGCCGAGGGATTTACATTATCATAAGCCCACACCCATCAATGATCATTTGATTATGATTATGACAATATAAAGTAAAATATGAAACTAAATGCGTGTGATTTAAAACATTAATATTTTAAGTGTACAAACCTCATGCTGCTTCCTTAAACTGTTCACCATTTCTTCTTTTTTCACAATGGCAGCTTTAACTCTGAATAATAAAACAAAATGTAAAACTACACATTGCAATAAAAAATATAGAAAATAAAACTACCAATTGCAAGACTTTATTATTAAATGTTGAAATGATTATGGCAATTTAAGGTTTCTTAAATGGGCATCAACAATGGATGTTAAATCCATGGAAATTAGAAAGTTACATTGTACCACCGTATTCAACAACTTAGAATTCTTATTTTTAGCAGCAGTGTCCAAAACTCAAGAAGCTAAAATATGATTAAATTAAAGACGTAAATATTGCATTTTGACATGACGTAAATTTGAGTATCAGAATTAATTAAACAAACCCATTAAGAATTTACGTGTTTTTAACAGGCTGAAATCTAAACACATATAAATTGACAACAACCACATCACTTTCCAACATCACACTTTTTTATTGGTAAAATCGGAGCAAAAGACCATAACCTGCAAAATTGAGCTCAACTTGGAATTTGTGGAGCTACGCATTCGTCTGCACGTACTTACCTCTGGTGCACTTCCTGTAACTCCTTTTCCTTATCCTGATTAACCATCTGTATCTCTGCATGCTGCCGTGCTCTCAGCTCCGTCATCTCAGCTTGCAGGTGCCGATTCTCTTCCTCCGTCATCGCCAGTCGCTCTGCAAACTCCTGCCTCAGTACAGCACCAAGGCGATTCCGCTCTTCCATCAGTTGTGAATTCACCTGCACTCGCGTTGGCACACAACACAACACCTCATCATACACAAGGCACACAATATTGACCTATTCTTGGGTCTTCTCTCTAGATGAATTTGGAAGGCCAGCCTTCGGTTAAGGGTGACCCAGAGACATTTTGGAAAAGGGGTCGTTCGAATGAGTTTTCTGCAGAAAGACAGGCCATGCATGTAGCTTGCAGCCCGATTGTTGAGATCGAAATTGATGATGGAATGGCAACCAAATGAAAGACGTTGCCCATGAGAACGTCCAACGTGCTGATGGAGTGAAGAACTCAGCACGTGGTGCAGTCAGAAGATGAATTGTGGCATCGCAGGAGAATGAGGATTGGTGACATCGTGGTGAGCCCATCATCTAGCAGTCGAAAGATCATGGCCGATGATGATTGCGCATGTTTAGCTCTGTGAGCATTGTTACCTTATTCATTTCAGATAACTCTGCGTCCTTCTGCTGCAGCAAACCTTGGCAGCGGGCAGCCTCCCCCTCCACCTGGGTTAAGCGTGTCCTCAACTCAACAGCCTTCGACTGAGCCCTCTTCTCCGCTTGCTCCAGTTCACGCACCTCAGCCTCTTGCATTTCTCGCACACGTCGCAGCCTGACGTGAGACAAAGACAAGACAAAGATCCCCCATATAGCCTTGACAGACTGTTACGGAAAGTACTGTTAGCGAGCACCTATAAAGGCCGGCACGGCACATGAGGGGGTGGGCGGCCAATACCATGGCTGGCCGTCTTTGTCTCCCTAGTGGTGATTTTTTACACACCACACCAGTTACTCATTTGAGACTGAGTCGACCAAGGGGAGGCCCAGGACCGGTTCAGATAATCGTCCTTGGTGTTGGTGAGCAGGAATTTAACTCAGGTCACTGGGTTCGTAACATAACGCGCTAACCACTCCACAAAGGCCCCCCGTATAGCCTTCATAGACTGTTGGAAGAAGTGTGAGCGAGCACCTACACAAAGACGTCACTATGCACCAACGTGTATAGCCAACTCCTACCGCAGACTCTCTCCTACCGCAGACCGAGCTGGGATGTGCTTTAATTCTGCTTCACAATATTCCTGACTCCCTTTTCCCATTTGCTTCATCCCATGGTTGCCCCCAAGAATAACTCACAATCTAACACCCTTGTTAGCGTGACAATGACAACATTTCATAATCAACGTTTTTGGGTTAGATCGCGTTATTTATAAATGTGTCGAAACCCTCCACCACCCGACACGGCCAATCAGCAAAAAAGTGTCACGTTGACAAAAGACAAATAGTTCACTGCTTTAGCCCACCGGTGTGTTGAAGAGTTCACTATTCACATTTATAAATAACGCGATCTAACCAAAAAACGTTGATTATGAATATTGGTCGCGAAAGCCTACGTGTTAAAATTATAACATTGCATGTGCAATACAACCCTTGTCACCACCACAACAAAGTGTGAACACTAAATGTATTATAAAATGTAGGTTATTGATCATGTTTATTTAGAGATACCAAATCTCCTAATACTGGCACATAGGGATCCACGGAAGAAATGCGCCTTATATATGTAAACTATTCTTAGGTTTTTTGGTAAAGTCACGTAGGTAAAACATTAAAACTAATAAAAGTAAAATAAAATAAAAATCACGACGTTTCGGAGGCAACACAAGCTTCCGTCTTCAGGTGGAACCGCCACAGCCACGACAGCTGTATCAAGTAAATGAGAGATTGCAAGAGCTACCACTCCGTATATATAATGGTTGGAGAGGGGGAAGGGCCAAGTACGGCACACTTTTTATTAATATGTGTGCCGTACTTGGCCCTTCCCCCTCTCCAACCATTATATATACGGAGTGGTAGCTCTTGCAATCTCTCATTTACTTGATACAGCTGTCGTGGCTGTGGCGGTTCCACCTGAAGACGGAAGCTTGTGTTGCCTCCGAAACGTCGTGATTTTTATTTTATTTAACTTTTATTAATTTTAATGTTTTACCTACGTGACTTTACCGAAAAAACCTAAGAATATGAATCCTTGCAGTCACGAAAGCTTCAAATCTAGAGTATGTAAACTAGCTTTACTGCCCCGGCTTCGCCCGAGACTTGGATTCTTGTCTTGGATTAATGCACGGCCTACGCGGAGGGTGGGGGGTGCGTGACGTCAGCAGGCACACTGCGTGACGCTGCCGCATGCGGGTGACATCACAGATGTGACGTCACCGCTCACTTCCCCTGCATAACATATCCATTATTGCGCCCCCAAAATACAAAAGTCTATTTTTATACTTTTTGCATTGTGTACAGTCTGGAAGCTACCCACGTGCCAAATTTCAAGTTTGTTACATGTTGGGAAGTATGCTAAACATTTCAAACACACACACATATTCACGAATTGACCTTTTATATATATAGATAATTATTACTGCCGTTGTAAGGCCTATAGTGTTATCAAATATAAATCAATCAGTTTGGGTGG